GGATATATATACGCACGGAATTTGTAAGTTATAAATAGGGCGTATTTATATACTTAACATGACCGTATAATACAGTTTCAACACAATGAAAAATTAAGTTTGGGACATGGGAAAAGGTGACGGCGTCCGCTTAATAGAGGTGACCGTTTAATAAAGGTCACTTTACATGTTTGTAAATGTAGATCGTCCAGGTTAGTATCGTCCTGAGAAGGACTGTTTTTGTTGTAAACGTCAGTCAAAAACAACAAAAACAGTCCTTCTCAGGACTATACCAACCTGGACGATCTACATTTACAAACATGTAACGATACTCCCGGGTTCAATCCATTTACTTTAAAGGTCACTTTAATAGTACTTACACTATGAAATTTTCGGGACTTTGCCATATGACCGCTTAACACAGGGTGACCGCTTAATACGGTGCCGCTTAATACAGGTTCTACTTATAATATGAATTTTATAAACTGAATACAAAATGTGGCCTAGCATGGCAAAAATCGTTTGATGGTATCATGCTATGAATTTTATAGACTATATACAAAATGTAGCTACGCATCGTGAAAATCATTTGATGGTATCTACTATGAATTTTATAGAATGAATACAAAATATAGCTATGCATGATGAAAATCATTTGATGGTATCATACAATTTCGATTTTCACACCATTTTCGTATTAACATTGAATTGAGAAAGATATTAAAATTTTACTTTTACATGACGTTGAGGAAGTAATTTTAGCCTGTGCGAGTGTGTGGTTGAATGTTTCATCACACATTAAATTGATAAATAATTCTTTGTTCATTCATTTTCTCTAAGGAAAGTTTTGTATTATTTATGCACTATTTAGCAATTATGCTTTTAATAGTAACTGGGCGTGATTTATGATTAGAGGTTAAACTTTCCTATTGTGTACGTAAGCTCGTGGGTAAATTTAGGTAAACTCATCCGAAGGTACGAGAGGGGAAACATTGTAGAAATAATGAATATCGATTTGGCAGTCGTATTATGTTTACTGCGTTTGTATGTTTTAGATAATAGAGGTGACCGTTTAATAAAGGTCCTCCTTATGCAATAACTCTCTCATCATGAGCGAAAGCATCCATGGGCTTCATGGGAAAAAGGGATTATCGACTTTTTTATAATAGTTTCTACAAAGACAGCATTTAATAAGCCATGCAACTTGTATCGTCAAAACGAACCATTTTATTATGGGGTGTATTTACTTAACCCGACCGTTTAATACAGTATCAAAACAATGAAAAATTAAGTTTGGGACATTGAAAAGGTAAATTCATTGTGTGATAGCATAACTTGAAAAGTCATTCAATAAACATAAAATGGTTATTATCGTATTTTTCTTTCATAAATAACTTGCACAAGAACCATAAGAAAGACTTAACAAACACGATGAAAAGGAACTATCAACTATTTATAAAAAAAAGTCAATTAATTAGTGGGCGAGTATCATGAATTTGATGATTTTGATTGCGTGTTGTAAGATATCAAATACACTTATTTATACATTATAGCTGAATTTTGGAAGCAAATATCAATCTGTTCATTGGGATTTGCCAGTCAAATGTTGTTCTCTTTCCAGTTCTTGTATTCATCGTGTTTTACCGATAACCATGCAGAGACAGATATTTTTAAACTTTGGCCGGCTAAGAGCGATCAACTCGACGTTCAATTGTTTCATTTCCTTTTGGAAAAACTCTATTTTACGCACGGAAGCGATGAAGGTTATCAAAGCAATGACAAAATTTGTTTGAGAGTTATAAAAGAAGAAAGCAGATATGTATATTGATGGTAACTAACCCTTAGAAAGGTTTCCATTGAAGGGGTGGGGGTGGAAGATTGGTGTTTGGTTCACGAGTCAATCATCAATGAAAGTAGCATCAAATAAATTTATAGTGAGATTAATAAATGATTATGAGACCTCTGTACTTTAAAAATTATACTTTGATGTTCAAATTTCTCAGAAAAACATAAAGATTACCCATCAACACCCGGTAGAAAGTAAACGAACATATAAAGAAAACAGGTTTTTGGCAGTTTAATAAAGACAGAGACACAGAAGTTCAGTCTCTATAGAGATTTGCTTATAGTGCGCAAAATGTCTTCCTCATAGCTTGCTAAATTCACGAACAGGAAGAATGACAAACTCAAGGAACAAACAGACATTTTAATTAAGAAGTGGGTGTTCAACCCGTCATCATGTATAATTTTTATAAAAATTTCATGGACAGACATAATGAGTTGTTTTATCGGAAATAATCTAGTCACATCATAAAAAGACACCACAGAGAAACAAGCACGAACATTATTTATTTACGCTACACTCCTTCCTCACTAAATGTAGAAAATCAGGTCTTGCTCAAAATCCTTTCAAGGAACTTGCCACTTACACAGACAGTCATGGCATTGTCTAGTGATGTTGGACCATGATGATTAAAGTATTCTTCACTCTGAAGATTGATTTACTTAATAGAAAGTACATTTAACCCATGCAAAGCTGTATTTAAAGCAAGAGGAAAATCTACTAGTTATCAAAGATACTATACGATTTTGTTCTATTCACTAGAAAGTCACGTGTTTGAATTTTTCTAGAATTTTCACATTTCTAAATCAGTGTTTCTTTGTCTATAAATATACCTTTCCTTTCATTATCGTTATGAATATTGTGCTCTACCACAATAATACTCAAAAGCTTAAATAATTTTACACAACCCTCAACTGATATATTAACAAGCTACATACATATAATGATTATTTATCATAAACGAAGATAGAAAAAAAACCCGACTAAATGAAACCGCATATCACTTGCACCTCGATTTGTACATAAACCAAGGAAATCTTTGATATAGATGGAAGCCTGTCGTTTGAATAGCGTCTACTACTGCTTGCATGCTACTCAAGATTTTATCTCTTAAATACAAGAGCAAAAAGCTCACTTCATACTAACTACCCGTCGTGCATCTAAAGTAATTGAAGACAACTATGTCAACACATCATATTTTTCATGAGTTATGCACATGAAGCTGACGATGTTGGAACAGCTGCATGTAACTTGCTGTAAGATTTAAATACTTATAGTTCAAAAAACAAATCACTGAGAAATACCGAAATTACTTTTCACAAATATTTCATCACAAAGATTTTTATATATATAGCTAATTGACTACATGCATGCGTGAGAATCGCTTGCGCTAATTGAAATTATATAAAAAATTTTAAATTCATGGTCATTTCCCTCGAAACTGTTTCATATAATTGAACTGTCTCATAATACTTTTCCCCTCTATATACGTCCATCAAAGAATATTAAATCCCTCCGTGCGTAAAATGGAGTTTTTCCAAAAGAAAACGAGACAATTAAACGTTCTCTGTCTTGCTAGAGTGTGCTAAAAATATCTTGTGTACGATTAAGACAAGAACGACCATGGAAAACGAATCGATATTTGTTCAATCACAAAGATTATGCTGTGTATTTCCCACGAGTAGACAAGTTTGTTAATGAGCAAAATGTGATTTGTGTTACAGCAAAAAGAAACAAAAGTCTCCGTTTGATGAGGTTTGGGTTGTGGTATAATGGATGGAATATAGATAATACACCATCAACATTCATAACAAACAAAGCCAGTAGTAACATGTTTCTCTTGGGGTATAATGGATGGAATATGGATAATAAATGATCAACATTCATAACAAACAAAGCCAGTAGTTACATGTTTCTCTTGGGGTATAATGGATGGAATATGGATAATAAATGATCAACATTCATAACAAACAAAGCCAGTAGTAACATGTTTCTCTAGGGGTATAATGGATGGAATATGGATAATAAATGATCAACATTCATAACAAACAAAGCCAGTAGTTACATGTTTCTCTTGGGGTATAATGAATGGAATATGGATAGTAAATGATCAACATTCATAACAAACAAAGCCAGTAGTTACATGTTTCTCTTGGGGTATAATTGATGGAATATGGATAATAAATGATCAACATTCATAACAAACAAAGCCAGTAGTTACATGTTTGTGTTGTGTTATAATGAATGGAATATGGATAATAAATGATCAACATTCATAACAAACAAAGCCAGTAGTTACAGGTTTCTCTTTGGGTATAATGGATGGAATATGGATAATAAATGATCAACATTCATAACAAACAAAGCCAGTAGTTACATGTTTCTCTTGGGGTATAATGAATGGAATATGGATAGTAAATGATCAACATTCATAACAAACAAAGCCAGTAGTGAAGATGCTCGAGTTGCAGCTGCAATCTTCAATGTAAAATGTACCCAACGAAGAAAAATTCCAAATTTATTTGTGGCAAATAACATGGTTAAAATCTCCACAATAGGATGACATACAACAACACAACCAATAAATCAAAACAAGATACAATCATGATTAAAAATTAACACAGGGTTTTTTTTCGTTGATGAAAACTAAATACGTTGGCAGGAAAAGATAATCATTATTTTCATGACCTTATAGATTCAAGATTTCATCAAAGACCGTATAATTTTTAAATTTTGAAAACGATCATATAATTTATAATGATATTAAAGGTAGATTTTGACTTGATAACTATAAATAAACTAATAATGCGCAGCTAAAACCTGTTTGCATTTCTTTCATGGGAAACATTAAAGTTAAAAATAGAGAAATGATGTCTTGAATACATCTTTTGTTGAATTATTATTTTCGATTGTGAATTATTATGCAGTTTTTTATTTTTTTACAACTAACTCCACGACTGATAGATAATGAAATGGATGATTGGAAGTTATATATGAACTACATATGAAATTATATGGACGAGTGAATGCAGAACAAGGAACCAAACATGAAATGAAACGGAGTAGTGAGTGCAACAAATGAATTACTTGTGAAATGAAACATCAGAATGAACAGAGTATAAGAAACTATATATAAATTGGAGAACTAAATATGAACGAAATATTGGACGAAGATGAGTGAGCTGAAAAAATTGTAATTTGTTGTCCTGTAAAACCTATATAAGATTTGCATGCATTAATATTATATGGGCATTACGATTTCTGTTTTAACTTATTTAAATGATATATACTATGCTATATTGTTTAATTAATGCTTCATTAACATTGAAATTATGTTCCTACTATTATATCATATGCATTTCATATGATACAATGAATTATATATACAAATTATTGTAGTATTAAATATAAATACATCACAATTAATAAATAACTATATATCAACCAAAATATCATATCATAGCACTTATTCAAAGCATTGCATTCATGTTTATCATTTCTGAAGAAATGTTACCTTTTTTTGTAGTTTTTCAGCCCCTTGGGTTAACAAGCAGCAATGATACACTTTTGTGTCCCAGTACTCTTGAAACGGCCATTCATATCATAGACATCCTTGGAGAGATGTTTCAACAACTGAATTTGAAAAGCACACTGATCCTTTGTGCCAGGTTTCACTGCCGCTACCTTAACAAGTTTACTGGGTTTATTCAAGGATAGAAATCCAAGATTATAGCTCTGTAATAGAACAAAATACATACTTAAGTGTAAGGCATTAAACTTACTTCATGTAAGATAACTAAATCTTACCATTATTCTGACCCAAGATCGGACCATATTTATGGAGATGTTTGCAATTTGCCCTTCTTTGTGACACTGAAGACCTTTAATATACTTTCTATTCGTTCTGATTAGATAGCTGTGGATCATGAGTCTTTTTGTAATTTCCTCAAAGAACTCTTTAATCTGTTTTAAAAATGGTCAGAAATTTGTTCTATAAGTACGAGACTTCGAGAACTTAGCCTATAGTCATAACTGTAACTGTTTAAATGCGTTCAAGTTGCCATGCAAAAAAGATCAAATTGACATTTTTAGCTTTAGCAACTTGAATTTCATTGAATATGAAGATGGACGCGGCTTCTAATTTGTAAAAAATTTTTCTTACCGATAAGTTGAATGAAATTCTTTGAAAACCAGCATTTGCAACCAACATCTGCTTTCCACATTGATTACCACTGACCTAAAAAGCACGGTAATCACGGTAATTTTATAAACTATCATAAAAAAATGAACAATGTTTACAATATAACATTATATACAACTACAAAAAAGTCGGCCAAGGTAATGTCAAGGACCAAGGAAAGTCGTTACATAAAACGAAAAAATTCTTCTTTTAGAAATCATCTATGTACTTGAGTGAGTTGAGTCCTGAGAATTCCGTCAATATTTACCTCTCGATAAGAAATTTGCAGACTTAAAGCTGTTCGCTGAGCGTTAAGAATAAAGTATCGAAATGTCTCGTTGAAATTGGTAGACGCGCATGTTTTATGCAGTAGTCACGTGCTGGCCTGGGGAGAAATTTTGTTCTCACAAGAATATGAAATTTTTTTGTTGTGCTATTAAAGTTTAAATTTAATAATTGTCTGTTGTCTAACTTCTCTTATGCTTGCACGCACCGATATTTCAATTCAAAACAAACTTTTACTGTGTAAAATTTCAGCATCTTATCAGTTTGTAGTTCAGTTCTGTTGACTCGTCGAATGAGTCTCCGGAGGTAGGCTTGTCACTTTTGTAAGAATTAGAGATATTTTCAATGTGATTCTACCATAAGCGCTAAATTTTGAATATCTCAATGGAATAAATCTATTTGTTAACAATAAAACATTTGCATAATTAATGATAATATTCATTACTGGATGACACGTGTGCAAAAATGTGACTGGATTATTTGAAGTGACAAACAAGCACTCAGCTGGCCTCTCTTACAAAATGGACATAAAATGCGCATGAAATATCAAAGAGCAATGAAACTTTGACGTGCTGTACATTCTAGAACTTACCTTATGTTTAAGGCAGTTCTTCCACTCATGTACAACGATACTCAACTTGTTTAACTCGTTTTTAAAATTTGTACATTTTAGATAACAAATTTTCTCAGATTTTCCCAGACGCGCCATCATAAGGAGTCCAACGATACATAAACCCGCACCTGTAAACAGTAACGAAATCTCAATTGAGTAATTAACGCACAAAAATATCTATAAGGTGGCAAAATTCTCTTTACTTTTTCAAAAACTATGCTTAATTAAGAAATTAAATTCACACTTGACCTGAAATCATTTTCGTGAAACTTTTTTTGTCTTTCAAATTTACTTTTCGTTGTGTCGATTTCGATCAAAACCAAAAAATAATGAAGAGTCGACATGATTTTTTCCATTTTATACCCGCGCCTACTTATCATAAATCCCCTATTTTTTTATTTTTTATTTTCTGTATTCCAATTCTTTCTGCTCTCGCGGAACTTGTTCATTGTTTTATTCAAAAATCATTGCTATTTTTTCGCATTTTTTAAGTTCTTCTTTTGTTAAGCTCAGCTGGACGCCAATCTTTAACCAGGCTAAAGTCATTTAAAACTTTTGTACTGTAAGCTACTGTAAAGCACAAAAATCAATTATTGAAAGTGAAGATAACAGAAAGGCTTCCCGTCTACGGAATGCTTCTAAAGTCCTCCATTCTGAAATCGTTTATCAAGTTTTTCTGTGTTCAATTCATTGCGACTTTGTTATGCTTACATATTAGTTCATTTGTGTAATTTTAGTATATTTCAATATATTAACTTTCCTTTATGACTGTACCTAAAACCTATGAGATACAATAAAAAGGGGAGACACCTTTAAAACAACATCAAATGTAAAATTGAATGGTTATGAGTACAAAAATGTGTTAATTTACATCGCTTACTGTTCTAAATATTATATATTTAAAAATGTCGACGACTGCCGGTTTCGACTTCAAGCAGAGCTGAAACAGCGATAATTCTAATTTAAATTGTTGTCACGCGGGTTCGTCAACCCGGTGAACTATCAATTATGATATAATAGTACTAATCTGAGATAAAATTATCGAGAATGAACTACCAAATATAAAAGGAATAAACATCCGAACTAAATAAGATATTAAGAAATATCTCATGACTAAAGTAACCCACGCAGTTGCCTACTGAAAGAAGAATATTACACAAGTGAAAGACTTAAGAACCATAGAAATGGAATCAGAAAGAAAATGAACGTGAAAGATGTCTGACATCCTTTAAAGTGACTTCAGGATCATCTGTAGAGTATACATTCTTTACAATTTTTCGCATCCTTAATTACAAGCCCACAAGTCTTTAGACTGTATCATACGGCATGTATGATAATTATTTACATTCTTTTAGTGTTATAAGTTACTAAAAGTTATGCTGGACAATGACAACATAAAAGTTAGCAAGAATGCTTGCTAGCTTTATGCCTTTATTTTTCATTGCAACTTGTTAAAGCGCTCCTACAGTCTAAAATCTTTATATAATGCAGCCATTATTTTTGTATAATGACAGACTGATAGTTGCTTTCAGCCTGTTGCCTGTTAACCACTGAAACGTTTAACGTTTCATAACAAAATTCTTTGTAATTGGTAAAATAGTTTTACTGCAAGAAAAAATTTTTGCCGTGACACTTGTTGGCCACCGTAATATAGGTCTGTTAGTCAAACACAACTGCTAATGCATGCGTTGCAGCAGATCTTGTAAACTTGTATATGGTAAAATTGTATCTTATGCTCCAGTCTCCTTCCAGATTGCTCGTTTTGCTCTTTGGTCAGTTTAATTAAAATTTTAGCCTTAAATAATCATTTATTTCTCTTGTTTCGTGATTTTGTGTACCGGCAAGTGATAAGATCTCAAATCATCACAAAAAACGACAATCTTTTAAAGTTGTAATCACAGCAAATAATGATCTATCGTTCCAAACATGGTCTCTTAAGTAAAAGTCAATAGTAGTTAGCAAACAAGCTGCGTCCTGCATTAAGCTAGATGTCCTGAAATTAGGCCGTTCTTGTCGTTGAAGTTTTATATTACCGATGACAAAACAATGATTTACATGCAATTATGTATAAAACATTTTACTCCATTATTTGCTTTGGCGTGCTGTGAATTTCCACAATCAAATAACGTATTATCTTTCTCAAATCGTTTAGTATACATATTACTATTAATGTTGATTTATTGATTACATAAGACAGTTTTTATTAAGTTTTAATATTAAAATGATGTCGCACATTTTACAAACATTTTAATTTCATCTTTTCTTTGATAATCTTTATTGCCTCAGTACGTAAAATGGAGTTTTTCCAAAAAAAGATCAAACAATTAAATGTCGAGTTCATTGTCACTATTGTTTTAAGCCAAAGTCGAATATATAGTGTGTTGGTTTCTGGCACAAATATCTTGCAAACAATGAAAATAAAAAGAGGAATAGAGAAAAACAGTTGACACGCAAATGCCATCAGACAGATTGATACTTGCTTCAAAGAAAATGCTCTTCTTTCACCACGCTTTACGGCATTCGACCGGCGATATTTTCTTGAGACTCTTATTAATTTATAATTTGTATACAACATTGGTGGCGTATACAAAACCATGAATATTATACTGTGGACTTCCAACGAATACACAAGTTCATCCGTGTAAAATATATTAGAAGTAGTATAAATAAACTGTGCTACAGCGAATAGCCAAAAAAGTCTCCGTTTGGTGATGTTTGCTTTGTGATATAATGGATGGAATATGGATAAATAACGATCGACATTCATTACCAAGACAGCCAGTAGCGATGCTCCTTGAAATATTGTTGTGCTGGCTGTCATAATGTTTACATAACGGGAAGAGATTTTGAATTTCTTTGAGAAAAAGAGCATAGTTATGATTGCCACGACGGGATGATTGACCAACACTGTCAAGAAGTCACAACAACTCAAAACCATAATCATAAAATAACAGTGTTTTTTTCGCAGGCTCGTTGTTTGCCAAAACACCACGATTACAAGTGCATTTAGAATCGTACCAAAAAAGAAAAACATAATGTTGAAGACAATTAATGCCATTAAATGAAATAGATGAGCCTCCATTATCTTTTTGTAAAGTTGTAAAGTGCGAAGCTCATACTTTTTAATTGAAAATAAATGCTTATATTTGTTATACGCGGTGTTTATATAGGTGCTTAAGTATGTTTATGTTTATGTATAAATGTATGTAAAAGATAACATCACACAGCCGTTGTATGCACTTTCTTTTTGATAATGGTCATCACTCCCACCCATTACAATATAACATTCAAATGGACTCAAAACATCTGCTGATTTTACCGACATGCAATATCAAAAAATATTAGTATTTCGCACGTACTGTTTTATATGATATATGTGAAATGATTCACAGGCTTTGGAAAGAGTGAAAACTTAAAGCGCAGAAATTACAACCTTCAACCCAGCTCCATTTAATTATTCAACGCTCATATGAAAAACGCTCTCAGCTATATATGGGCTCAGGTAAAACAACTTTAAAAAAAATGCTTTTTTTTATCACACTTTTCATCAAACTTTGCATGTGGTAAAGTTAGATGGACAAAATCGAGTAAAGACACTGGCAATCATTTCCCGGAATAATTCTATACCGATGTATTGATAACATTTGACTTATTCCAGTCTACACACACGTATACATGATTATAGAGCAGCTCTTAGAAAAAAACCATTGTAATTGTAAACAGATTACAAAACGTGTAAAGTAAAATGTAACTATAGATAGAATTCAATCAATAAGCACTAGCAAAGTTTACACTTAAACCGAACAATATTTCCACAAGTTGTGGAGCTCGACTTTCTGTAATATATTTAGTTAGAAAAATGATTTCATTACAATAACCCATCTATCTTGAGGCCGATTTATATTATTTTATAAGTCATACAGCCATTTATATTTTTATTATATAAGTTGTGAAAATTTTTGTAACAATCCCGCGTCTTTTCTAAGTTTCCTGCGTACTGCAGAAACAGTTTTAATAGTGCATCTTATAGAAAAACTTGCATCAAAGAAGATGCTACAGTTTAAAAAATATATAGAGTTGATGAAAGAAACGTGGAACTACTAGAAGACAAAGATTAAAAAAATTGATAATACAGTATTCCACAAGAAAACAGACATGCAACACAAAATAAAGATATAGTTCACCAAAGAAAGAAAGAGAGTAAAAAAAAAACAAGGAAATACATGCTGTAGTACAAATAGAGCGAGAAAACAACAGAACTTAATGTAAAAAAGCGGAGTAGAATACTTAGAGATGGAAAAAGAAAGACAGTAAATAAATGACGAATATAGGCTGCGAAAGAAAGGGCAAAGTTAAACAAAGAAAAACACAAAATTCTTATAAAATATAATATACATACATCAAAGAATATTAGGGCGACAAAGAAGGAGAACATGTTCGAGAAAGAACTGTAGAAAGAAAATAGACCGAAGAAAAGCAGTTCGAGGAAAGATCTCCATGGAATAAAAGTAAACACGGGGATGTAGAAGATAATGTCCTACGATAATTGGGGTCGGGGGTATCTGGTATATATATATGACATATGCCGTAAAGTTCCATCGAAATCTGTTTATGGATTATAACATGCATACATGAATACTCTCCTCTCGATTATCGATCTTCCTACGGCCACAATTAGTAATGTAACATAAATTGAGAACTCCAAGGAAAATGTGTACAAATTAAAAAAAAAACCAAAGAAAGATACAGAGATATAAAAGAGCCAAAGGACATTCAATTTTATTTTTATAAAAGTACCAGAAAATATTTGCTCAGGCTCAATATTCTTACCTTGGTTCTTATTATGCAATGTTTTGTATGACATAAATCACTGTAATGTACCAAATGTGATACAACACAAAATTATTCGATTGAAATTAATACTTGTTTATATTGATATCCCTGTACGTTTTTTTTGTCAGCCTCAGCTGGTTATTATTTTGTTCTAATTTGTTTGAAATATTCAATCTCAACGTTCTTATTAACGTGGTTCTTATAAAAAAGTGTAGTGCAGAAAGAAAATAGGCAAAAAATGAAAGAACAATACAGTAAAAATTGTTTTAATTCAATTAAATTTACAAGATTAATTTCAGCTGACTATTTCATTATATTATTTTTTCATAAAATAATAAATAAGCCTGAGCCTTCAATACTTTATCTATGCTCACTTCGGAGACGCTCGAGTCGCTGATATGAAACCATCTCGACGTCAGTAGATCTTCGTTTGCATTTAATTCATTTTTGCCGTTCTCCGTCCACGTTTCAACCATTGCCTTTAGAAGTTCTGTTAAGTTTTCAAATTTCCATTTGAGGATTGGTGACATTTTCTTTTTAATGTGACAATAAGCAGTATAGTGACCGCCGTGTAAGTTTCCTGAATGCTCAACAATACCAGATAAGGCATAGGAGACTTTACCTTCAGAATCTGTCGAGAACTATTCAAATAAAGATAAAACTCTTCAAATTAAATGTCTCATTTATGTTCCCAGACAGCTATAACATAAATGTTCGCTATGGCAATGTACCTGATGAAAATCATCACTCGCATCCATAATATATTATTCATAAGCCAAATTTAATTAATTTTGATTTATTTCATGCATTTAGAAAAAGGATTTTCAATATTTCATATACCTTGCCAGCCTTGTGACAGAAAGGTGAAATATCCAAAACCAAGGGAAACGCAACGTGTTTTGAAACCTTTTTCAATGAATAGCCAACCTGGTGAAATCTCTTCAAATGTAGAGTCAATATAGGTGGAGCCTGTTTAATAAGCATTTGTTTTACAGCTTCACTGTAAATTGGCTTTCTTTTCTTGCAATTCGTTTCCCCTAAATTCAAAATGCAAATATTATCAAAAAATCAATCGCACAATACAATACTTTTCATAACATTGGTGGTGGCCAATTTACCTTTATCTTCAATAGAATCTTCATCATCATTTTTCTGACTTTTCTCTTTTCTAGCTTCATTACACGGTTCACATAGGAACAAATTTTTACCATCTAGAAGTTCAGGAGTACAAAATCTTTTTAAACAACTTTCAACAGACATTACGTTGCAAGGAATGTTGTCCATATTTCCTAAACAATGATTGCCTTGAAATATTTCAGATACTAAAGTTGATTTATTGTTCTCTAATTTATCGCCAGCTCCCATATTTTCTACTAAGGTTGGTTTATTGCTGTCAAATTTATGGACAACTTCTGTATTTTCTACTGATGTTGATTGATTGTTGGCAATTATTTTGCTAGCTCCGGTATTTTCTGAGAGTATTCCTTGTGTTTCTGACCTGCTTACTGCGTTTTCTGCTTTCGAAGCTTCGTTCCTAAAATCTTCACTCCATTCAATAGGCTTTTCGTCCAGTATCGATAATTGTGAATATCTAAAAGAATCTTGAATGGCATTTTCAATAATGTTATCTACATAACGTCCAACAGCTTCTTTTGTAACTGACGGAAAACTTCCATTATTAATGCCACACTTCCTTGATCGAAAACTAGACAAACAGTCTTGTAGAGTAGAATCAATTAAAGTATCCACATATTTCCTAACACTTCTCTTATACTCTACAGAAAGCAATAGATTTTGTTGGTCCATATCAGGTTCGGCTTCATCAATACTATCGTCATCAGAGAAACTATTGACGATTTCCTCCTCATTCGATGCATAATGATCAGAAGCACAGGTAATTTCACTATGGCAGTCATCCTCACATCTTTCATCGGTAAACGTCGAACTATCACCCAAACTCCACATGATTTTGTCTTTTGTTGTAAGACTTGACTGTTCTTGCAAACATTCTTTAAATATATCTTCTACAAATTTGCCCGTATATTTACGAGTTTCACTCCATGTGTCAACCTCGTCTTTTGTGGCAGTTTTTATCTTTGGAGAATTATAGTGGAAAGGAACATTGCATTTTGCATTTGAAACTTCACTGATAAAATTTTCTGTCGATATTCGCGGGCTTTTTCCCAGTTCCCCTTGTACTTTGATGTCGCTCGATTTATCTAAAATATCTTCTCCGTCATCGTGCCGACAAAAATTGCTGGCTCTGACGTCATTTGCTGCTACCCCAATTAAGCTGTGGGTTTCTTCCCTTCGTACGTGCTGAACATTAAGATTGTTGACGTCATTGATATCTTTCCTAATAACGCAATCAATATCTTCCTCCAGTCTCTCCTTATTGTATCCGCGATCATTAATATTGTAAATCACCTTTTCATCAGACTTAAACTTAGTGGTTTTGACATTATTCACGTATCTCTCACTCAAATTATTAATTTCATCTTTGCCATCGCCTTCGTCGTTACATTTTTTTAAGTCATCATTATTTACTCCTTTGACATTTTCAACACTGTCTTCCATGATGTCATTTACATCTAATTCTGAAATGTCACCAATATCTACTTCTGTGACGTTAACAACATTTTCTATGACGTCACCTATATTTGCCTTTTTGAGATCATCAACACTGTCTTCCATGACGTCCTTTACATCTAATTCTGAAACGTCACCAATACCTACTTCAGCGATGTCATCAGCACATTCTTTGATGTCACCAATATCTACTTTCGTAACGTCATCCATATCTTTCTCAGTGACGTCATCAATGTCGTCTGCAGTGACATCATCACCTTCACTGGGCTTACTGCCGCCACTGGTGCTGCTCAACCGTCTTCTTTCTTTCTTTTTATGCTGGAAAAGTTTAGAATTTTAATTCATATTTTCAAGATCTTACCATCAGCATAAATTTATTTTCTACCTTCTTTTTTTCTTTCATTTGTTTTTTCTGTTGATGCTTAGATATAGGTCGCGCACTTTTGTTTTTATCATTTTTCTGCTTAATGCATTCTGTCTTGGAGCTTCTTTCGGTACCAGCAACTGATGATTTAGACGTAGAGGGTGATACAAGAGCAATAGGGGAATTTTGTGCGTAAAATGTAGGCGAAGATGGTGCTTTCTTTCTTGTCCTATCATTCTAAAGTAAAAATCACAAACAAGTTCATATAAGTAAGACAAAAAGTTTATGCAATTAATGTAAAAGATTAAGTTTTTCATACATTACCTTTCCACGTACTGGTGAAAAAGAAGCGTTGTTATTATGAATGATTAAAGATAATGATAAATCCAAAAAACTCTCAACTGTTGTCGATACCTTAATACACAAAGGAATATGGCTAAAGTACATATTAGTAAATACGCATACCATTTCATTGCATGTTACTAGTATTACAATATAAATGATCCCCATCTATTCTTTTCTATATCTTTATCTAATAATCCCTTATCATGCCTATATTGTTTAACATATACCTTGAGACAACTTCTACATTCCACAGAGCTGATCAATTGTCCAGAAAATAACGAGTCGATAACAGGGGCTTTTGCTTTACGTCCATAGACTGTAATATACAGTATGTATATTAAGGATCAAATGAAAATATCCTCGCAGTGAAAATATCTCCAATCAATGTCGAAGAAAAATATTTAGCGACTGAAAATGTCTTCCTAATATTTCCATAATTTCGTAAGAGCACAATGGTTATAAGACATTTAAAATATACGACAAGTTTCTTTATAGCAAACGTGTTTCGGCATTCTTTATGCCATCTTCAGTGCGAAGTGAATAAATATAAATATATTTTACCACTATAACATATCATCATGTAAACTTCCTATATTTATTCACTTCGCACTGAAGATGGCATAAAGTATGCCGAAACATTTTTGCTATAAAGAAAATTGTCGTATATTTTAAATGTCTTCCTAATATGTTGAAAAAAGATTAGATGTACAACAAACGTTGAACCATCTTTCAAAAAATATCTTCAATAAACATTAAAGAAAAATATTTATCCGCCAAAAACGTCTTCAACATATTGGTTGAAGAACGATCAACTTGAAATATCTTTAAAAAACTTTGAAAAAGATCTGCCGAAAACATCTTAAACAGACGCCGAAAAATGATATTGATCACCTAAAAATATCTACAACGTATGTTGAAAGATAGATCAGCAGAAAATATCTTCTAGAAACTTTGCAGGATAATCAGCGGAAAAAATTTTCAACAAACGTCGAAGAAAAATATTTATCACCTAAAAACATCTTTAACATATGTTGAAGAAAGATCATCTGAAAATATCTTCAATAAATGTGCATTGCAGGCATTTATATGAACATATACATGACAGAAAATATCAACAAAATAACGTACGTTTGATCTTTTCATGAATCTCCTCATTTACTTGATTGGAAGTCATTCCTTCTTCGTTTTCACAACTTTTCACACCAAACCATCGTAAGATTGCTCGCTTAACATTCTGATGAACCAAACAAAAAAAAACAACAGCGAATTTATTAAAATATCGTTAGAGACTTAGAGCAATCAATTAGTTTATATCAAAACTCACAACGGTTTAAATTTACTCAAATTTACCTTGATTTCTTCACTGCGTATTGAATCAAACAAATATCGGAGCAGTTCTTGGCTGTCTTGTTGACGGAAACCTTTAAATCTTGGAGCCCTGTGCCATTTAATCGTATTTCTTGTTTCCGCTCTCTCGAATATTCATCATTAAGTAGAAACTTACTTCTTACAAATTTCTGTGAACAAATAAGATGGATTAATGACAGCTTTCTTTCCATCAGATCTCATTTCGTCGATAAACTTTACTAATGCTGTCGTCAAAGGACCAGGTTTGTCTGTAACGTTCACCGTAATTCTATCCTAAAAGAATCAAAAACAAAAATAAAACATGAATTATACAACCATGGATGAAAAGGAAATTTTCATGCAAATTTTACCGACCCATTTTTCTTCATCTGACGGTAAAATGCTGTGCTCAAACGTCTTTGATATACTCTCCACAGCAACACAGAATAATTGACAGTGAGAGAGATTCTACGAAATAACACAAAGTTCAAAGTCGTAATTTCATCATCATAATTCATTTTGCAAGTAAAAGGAAGATTCAACAGGAAGATTATTACCTGTATCACAGCATTGAAAAAGCATGTATTGCCAAGGTTGGTTAAACCTTTCACAGAAAGCCCATTTGTTGGATATAAATTAACACCTCTGCTCTCTTCTGGCTTCTTTCTATGATTTTCTATATTACATTGCTCATTATATGACCATGAAATCGATTATGTATACTACTTAGGACCTCTTCAAAACTTTCATACAAGTACCTTGATTTTTTATTTTTATTCCTGGTATAACATTCTTCGGGTTATCATCTCTATCATGGGGACAGGAATCTAGACAATACGTGTATTTTCAAGACATATTCTTTCTATCATGATAAGCTACAATTAATTCTAAACCCAATGGCGGATCTAAGATAGGTCAAATAAATTATAGAATTTCATTTTTAATTCAAAATACTTTTCTAAAAATGCTGTTGGATGGAAAATTCTAAAGAATATTTAAGGCTAAAATACTCCAAAATGAAGTCAATCCTAAGTTTTTCAAAATGGAAATATATTTTCAGTAATGTATTCTGACCTACCCAGGATGCGCAACTGTCTAAAATCATATCTGAACATTGGCTTACTTAAATTTATCATGTCCATACAGTGCTCATTTCCTCCACCCCCTCCCCCAATACCAGCTCAATACCACAATAATGGCCCTTGACTACCAACTCAAGTTTCATCCTATTCTACAAATATTACAGCAAGGCCATCAGAAGATCAATAAGGCTCATATTCACATATGCATGTCATACTCTGCTAAAAACAACGGAACAAAGGAACTTAATTTGGCATATTATGCATACATAAAATGAGCCACCCATATATCAATCTTCTGACTGCCCAGTGAACTGCTATCATGTCAAAATGGATAGGCATTATTGCAGTCTTTTTGTCCAGAAATGCATTCAACAAGGATAACAAAGCTTTTATTATTGCGGAGTGGAGGATTGGATAGTCAAATTTAGGTGAAAGTAGGTATTTGAGGGCAAATTTCAAAAATTCAAATTTATGGGAAATAAGGCTATAGTTCTCCCACCGTCCTCTTATACTGTACATGGTCTATTTTCAACAAATATCTTAAAGCAAGTGCAGTAGGGCTAGTGAATAAGGCAGTTATCTGTCAATAATTGACAAAGTACTGCTGGCTCATAAAATAAACTACTCAGCAGTAAATTCAAACTTTTAAGACAATAAAATGAGATGGAATTTTTCGTCTTAATGTCATACTACGTACTGCCATAAGGTCAAACGAAGATTTGACAATTCTTTAGAATTTAATCACACACAAAGAGCAACAGTAACTTAAAAACGCTGAGAAATGTTTAAAAATAAATGAAACCATACTCGAAAAATATTATCTGATCGTTTTCCATTCATACAAGTGATACAGCGCTGAGCGCGAGCAGTTGTGACCTAAGACAGTGAACAGGTATAGCTCGTAATTCAATTTATAGTGCAAAAGAGCAATCTTACTTTCTACGTGTTTTTCTTTACAACCACTGCTATTCCTCGACTTGTTTTTCTTCTGACTTTTCTTTTTCCCCATTACAAAAGTTGCATACAAAGTAAATTTCAGAATTTCACTTTCGAATTCAAATTACTCAATGCAGGGCTAATTTTACACAAAGTATTCATAGTGTAGACTCTATTCGCAGGCGCATTTTGGAGCTGGGGAAAACAAAAATAGAAAAGTTTGTGTGTCGACAGCATTGATCGAAAGTCAGTCATTTTTTCTCACAAGCCCTCCAATCAAACGTGCTAGCTAAGATATTTCAATCTTCTTTTGTGATAATATTAGAAAAATCGAACTGTAGGAGTAGAAATGAGCAAATCCTGTGATCATCCCATTCTTAGGTACATCATACAAAGATGCTTCCTGAATAATTTCATTAATAAATAGCAATGGTTTTTTTTTGACTCAATGTGTGCATGTTGAATACAAATGCTAAAGAGAAACCTGTGAAGGTAGAAATCTGTGATATTGTGCATATAAAGGAAGAGACTGACGAAAGATCGAGATCAACTAATTATTATTAGTATCGGATCAATTAAAGATTATGAGGGGTATTTGAAGAAAATGAAACACCAGGAACAAAAGAAAAATAAAATAATAAAATGCATAATTGACAATTTTCTTGGAACACACAGAAGTATTTCCTACATGATGATGAAATGAAAAGCACTATGTATATATTCATATTTTTCTTTCCTCTGACACATACTATAACAATCCACTTTACATTTATAGATTTATTTACAATAACACGATCATCTCATGATGGCTCGAAGTGCATACAATAGTTCTGCTTGCATTCTTGCTTCGAATGCAATCAAATTGATGTGCACCTAAAAACACAAAGAATTTTAAAGGACAGCAAATTTGAATTGAATAAAGAGATGCATTCAATAATGACAAAACATATGTCAACTGTTTGATTGCTTTTCTATTAGAAAAAATATATCAAACTCAAAGCATACTCAAAAATAGAATACAACACAAACAGATGATGAGCACATTTGATAACACATGTTTAGATACTAACAGGTGTTGTTTCATTCTACCTTCTCTGAATGGGTCAAAGATTGTATAAAGTTGAGATAATCTTCTTGTGTCGTCCTCTCAGGATAACATACAACCTATTTATACAACATCAATACATAATCAAATATGTTCCTAAAACATGGCTGGAGTGGTGTTGACTGACAGGTACACTTTCCCAAATAAGTTTAAAAACAACAATCTTTAAATGCATTGAGCTTTTTTTCAATAAGTTTACTTCAATCAGTTTACTTATAATGTTTGATTAATATACCTTTTTGATGTAAGATTTGTAGTCGCGATCCATCAAACTGTTTACCTTTAAAAAAATTTAAGTTAGCTAATAATGCACAAATTGTACAATACTTGTTGTATGATAAGTTCTACCATTAGGTTTACCATAAACCTACCATCAAATATATCACTGACCCACTATAAACTTTATAACAAGTACTTCTACCATCAATTGTACCAACACCCTATCATATCTATCAAAGTCCTATCATCATCTGTTGCAATGACCTACCATGAAGTCTACCATAAACAAATGTACCAATGACCTACCATGAAGTCTACCATAGCCAAACGTACCAATGACCTACCATGAAGTCTATCATAGCCAAATGTACCAATGACCTACCATGAAACCTACTATAATCCTATTTAGTAGCAAAACCAATGCAAACATTGCAATGCAAAATTTCAATGCAAATTTTTCAATGCAAATTTTTCAGCAAAATCATCAGTAATTTCTTAAAAAATAATTACACTTATTGCTTTTCCAATGAATGAGCAAGAAAATATTAGCAATGTTGGGGTAAAAAATGGGTTGGCTTTGCTGCTGGTCCTTTCATTAACTAGATGAATGACCAATCAACAATTCCATCATTAAATCTATTACCAACAATTGCTAAAGTATTTCAATACCTCATCATATCTATAATCATCATGGTAGACACCAAAGAGAACATGAATATAGTTCCATGTTGCTTGGCGAAATGTTCGAGTATCAGCTGTTTCTGAATCGAAACCACATCTATAAAGCACATATACAAAATGGCAATTAATCTTTTTTTTATCCATTTTATAAAAATGAATTCATCAACATACGTGTTATATGTGAGACTTTCACAAACTCTTAATTTGTCATCCAATAACTGCCCCATCTCAGGATAGAATCGATCAACCAACGAGAAGCCATATCCTTCCCATGAGTATTCATTTATATTGAGATATTGGTGACGATCTATTCTATCAGCAAAGTTCTTGTATCTGAATGTGGGATCCTTGATGTAACGTGCAAAGGTGTCCTCGGGAATAGCACAAGAATCATCTGAATAACTCATGCTAAACACTAAAAAATCAATAATAAACACATGTATATTTCATATAAATCACTAGCAAAGAGTAAATTAAGATACAAGAGTTTCTGTCATAGATACTTTTTCAAAATGCATAGTATATTAAGTCATTACATGAACATGAGAATGGTTATGAGAAACTATTACTAACCTTCATCTGAAGCAATGCTTTCAAACTCTTCAAGTGTTTTTTCAACATTAACTTTATCTTGATTTTTATGTTTTTGTGTGACAGCATTCATTAAAGCCACAAATTCTTTTCCAGCTGCTGATCGACCTTCATCTAAAGTTGTTGATACACCATCTTCACTGTGTTCTGATGTCAGCGAAGGGGGGCGGAATGTGTGTCCACCCTCGAGGTCTACCTCTGGGGTAAGACCACATCCAAATACAAAACTTGACAAACAATGAAAGTGAATCAAGATTGTTATGGCCTGAACCAACTCTGACAATGACCAACTGTCTTCGCCTTCTCGCAGTTCCTAAATATTTTGATGAGCTTACATGAATCAACTCTACTAGCAATAATACAACTTATAAAACTTAATAACATATCACTATTTCAAGTATATATTCTTGATAAGACCATCCTATTGATCTATTTATATATTTTTAAAAGAAATATGGATGTATTCCCATTATACACAGGATCCAGGGGGCAAATTTACATGTCGCAATTCGCAAAATGCATTACACTTTTCATGAACTGCAATATGCACTAAATACAGTAAAATGTGGCACACAAAGCTAGATAAATTTAATTCATAAAAATAAGTTTTTAAAATCTTTTATTTCTAACACATTATAATTTTACTTTCATTATTTTCACATTAACTTCCTATTTCGATCTACTTGCTGGACACTGTTGGGCTGGATAATTTTTCTGTGATTTTGTGTTAGAAATTTTTTTCGCTTTTTGTTGTGATAAAAGCGTTTATGGCAAAGCAAATAGATTTACAAATTAATTGCAAATTCACTTAAAACATACATGAAGTTTTGGAGAAGCATTTATATTCACGAAAGATAAATCTTGAAAAACTCATTTTTGACTAGATTTTATGCTTTTATACACATTTGTCAACTACAAACATTCTACTTTGTCAAATCTGATTTTTATTTGAAGGTGGGGAGCTCAAGCATTTAGTTACGAAAATTGCGATGCATTTTCCCAGCTTAACTCACACCCTGGAGCCAGAAAATCCTTCAAATTAAAGCTGGGGGGAGTACTATCCTCATTCAGAGTATAATACTATTGTCTATCTCATATCAATTTAAGACAAGTATGAAGCAAAAGTTCAGGTTTTTTTTTTGTAAATTTTTACCTTCATATTTTCAAAACTCACCAACCATGGTTGATGAGCAAGAATCTTGTTGATTGTATGCAGGTTATAGAGTTTCTTAGGAATCTGATCAAGGCCATTTAACCAGCTTGGATCTCCTTTGTTTTTCAAAAATTCTGACTCATAAAGCCTCACCTTAAACAACAAAATTGAAAACAATTTTGAATATCACAAAAACTAATAAAAATTTCACACACAACTCATTATTTATAAATGTTAATTGATTCCACACCTGACAAAAAACATGTGGAAACTTGTTATATTTAAATAAGCACATAATTTATACATACCAAGTAACAACAACGATGTCGACTTGCTGCCTATTGAAAATAACCATTAAATTTTGTCGATTAGCTATTTGAAAACAGAAATAAAATTGAATAATCATACAGATCTTACCATTATAGCAATATAACATCGCCAATTAAACAGTAAAGGTCCCTCCTGTCGCATTAGATAGAAATGTGTATTCAAAAAACACTCCAAGTACTGAGGATGATATGCCATAAGCCAATGAACATGAGTGAGACGACCACTTGCGAGAAATGATTCAGTCAATAGACTGTCAGTGTCCTCCTTATTTCCATTCAATGGAGTTACCTGAAAGTCAAAAGAATTAGATCAATCCTAGAGGACACATAAAGGCCATGTGCCATATCTATAAGTCCTAATTAATCAGTCTTATGATTGTTTTAATCAATAAACTAAGTTCATATTGACAAAATGCTCAGACATTTGATGCATAATGCAAGCAAAGAGGCCTTAAAGGATTAAAGACATTTGCATGCTTTAAGGGGCTAGCCTTTACAATAGAAGACACATCAGCGAGACATGGCAAGCCAAACAATTTCATCACAAATTTACACCAATTCCATTCTATCACTATTTGAGGAAAACCACATTACACAAACATAACAAATTCTAGTTCAACCATTAAATTGCTTTGTAATAATTCTTTGTCTACACCACCCATAATTAACGTCTAAGAGAAATGATTCCTAGAGCTAAATTTTCAATAAAATTCTAAAACCCCCCACAAAAACATACTAAAATCGAAATACAAAAACAATTAACACAAACGACACTACTATGATACTTCGAATAACGTTTTGAATTTCATGCTGGTATTTATAAAAAGTTAAGTAGCTTTTGGGCATCGTATGTCCAACATAAATGCAATGTTTTTAATAAATAACGAGTTTTCCCTGAACTTAATAATTGAACACGTTTTTGCGTGCTAAATACACTAAGCAATTTGTTATTGCTCAACAATTTTAAGACTTTGTTAACTTGTTTTTTGCTCAATATTTCACTCTCTATAAATGTTGATGATTTTCTAGAATCTCCACAGGAAATATGTTCATCAGAGTGAAGAAATAAGTCGAAGTGGTTATGCAAAACAGCTGCAATTGTCATACTTTTTTTTACTATTTTGACGGCCTTCCTTCGTAGAACAGTATCCTGTCATGTTATTTGCCTACCTGTTTTGTAGGAATAAAAGACGATGGTCCTCCATAAACCCTACGAGGAACCTTTTCACCACATTTCTAAACAAATGAAATTCGCTGTTGTTATTTTCATTCTCTCAATATGAATATTTGTCAAACATAATTCAAACAGACATTTTGCATTTCACGATTTTACATTCTCCAGACCTTTAGCTCTTCCAAAAGTCTGGTAAACTCCTTACGAACATCCTCAAATGGACAAACTGTCGCCAGTTGTAAGATAACAGGAAGATGACTTTTTAAAATTTCAGATTTTCTGTCCCTCGCAAGCTCGTTTGCTCTTTGACAAACGAGCTCAATACTGTGTTTACGACGTGCTGAATCCCTTGAGCGAATGCCAGGCAAAACCAAACGAAGAGGGTCTACTTCTTTAATGTACTCCACAGTTCTCTGATACATTTTTCCCTCCAAAAACAGCATCCAGTTTAGGTTATATAACGAATTGTAGAGCGCATTTCACTCAGAATGAATGCAAAGCGCCATTAGGCTCATTACTCTACACAGGAAATCTGACTTCTGAAAATTTTCAATTGCTTTAACAATAGTAGCCAACACTTTCAGCCAATCAGAATTTATGTACAACAAAAGCAGCCAATCAAATTAGAATATAGTGGTGTCATGCTTGCTTCATTTCCGGATTTGGGAAAACCATTGCATCAGACAGCGGACAGACAGACAAAAAAATAAGAAAATCACGAGTAGCAAAACTTATCATTTTGCCTTGCACGAAATACAAAAGGTTGCAGGGATTCAGATGAACTGTCTGAAATCAGTTTTGTAAAAGTAATTAATTTCGTAACATGATAACCATTACTATCGGTAACTTTTACCCCATATTAATTACATAAGATCAAATTTTAAGGTCAAGGGAATGTTGTTTCCCCAAAGGGTCATTAATTTTCGAAGTTGATTCGCATGTTTTACCACATCGTTGATAGCAGTCACTGGTTGCAATACGTACAGTAAAAAGAAATATCATGTTGGAAGATAAGATGCATTTTTAAAAACGTGATAAATTGCACGTCTCGAGAAGTCACGATTGAAAAATCGACATCATGCCCATGATCACGCCAGACGGTCTGCATGAGCACGTGCTAGAGCACGCGTACAATGTTTGATGAATATCGTTGTTTTCACAATAGACAATTTCACATTTATCATTAGAATTGAACACTCAATGGATTAAAAAAATATTATTTTGACCTATCTAAGCATTATAAATACATCGAAATATCAATAAATACATGCATTAATCTAAGTTACTTTAAAAAAAGCTATGAAATAAAATTTCGTAGAAAATTTTACCATAACATAGACAGGAGCGCACATCAGGGAAGGGTGACCCACCAGCTTTTGTCTAATATGTAAAAATACTCAATTCATTATCTGATAAAGGACGAAAAAAGTTGGTCCGGCTAAAACTTTCTCTATGAAATAAAAACACTACAAAAGTCGGTCCCAGACCGTAGAGCTCCCCTGTTTTTGGGGGTGCGTGCGCTTCTTTTCATAGAAATTCAATTTTGCTTTCTACCAATGAAAGGAAACAATATTAACTACCATAAATCTCAATCTAACTAACACGATAGATGTTTCCTCAAATGGTTCTACTGTTTTCTATCACTCAAACTTAGGTGCTTTGTAAGCGTCGGTTCTTCCTCCACATTTCTGCCAGTGATATTCAAATTCCCTTTTCGTTATTTCTGCACCACGCTTTCGCGTCAGACCTGTTTCATCCAAACTTAGTTCGCACATATCAAGATCATCGGTTCCCGCAACTAAGACAACGTTTACGCCATTTGGATGCATCTCAAGTTGACGGGCTATCCACTGCCCATCAAAATGAGCGAACCAGAAGCCACGTTTCTTGAAGTCGCTCTCACGATACTCGTCACCAGGCTTGACAAACGGCACGCGGAAATATCGTTGTGGTCTTCTTGGTGGGAGTCTGGTGACTGGTTTGTTGGCTTGAAGTTGATTCGATGCAGCTACACGTAAAAATCAAACGGTTTAGAATGGCTAATAATATAAAAAAAGTTGAATATCATCTGTACATTAATCTTTGTTGAACAAGTTGTTTGGGTACTCCAGAATTCTATATATTTTGCTTAAAAATATTCACCACAGTTCAATACCTTGTTATGAAAACCAATCCCCTCAAAAACAACAACGATTGAACACAGTACCTTCTTCTAAAACTTGTTGAGGAGCTCGTTGAGTGTTGTCGCCTTCTTGTCCACTTGCTTTCGATGCCTTATTTTTGTTTTTCCATTCATGGTAAACCTTTAGTCGTCGATGGAATTCTTTCTTGCAAGCAGCAAGCAATTCAACATCTAAAAAAATAAGCAGTAAGGTAACTGGCTTTTATCATGTGGTTCAGTAGCTCAACAGGACACACAAAAAGGAAACTTCCGGTCCATCATTCATTTCTAAACAACTAAGTTGTGGATCTCATTGTGACATTGAACTGGGAGAATTCAAAACGACTTACTACGTACCACATGAAGTATTAATAGTATCTCTAAGCTCGGCGTATTTCCATTTGCTAAGATCGTATTTCTTGTCCTTCGCGTTTCTTTTAAAAACAAAGTAATTGCATGAAGCATGCAACATGAATATTAAACATAAATGAATTCACAATTCATACTTGTTTACTGCTTTAGGTTGTTCTATTGGCTCAACATTTGAATTGGATTCCTAAAAAAAATTCAAGATTGTCTAAAAGACCGCTCTCATATCAATAATTCAAGTCTAAACAATGGAAAGTCAAACCAACCTTCGCTAATCGTAAAGCTAATTCGTGATCCAGTCGTTCTTGTTCCAATGCTGCTTGTCTAAAATGGGTTGGACCGCAAATAAGACAAAATAACAATAAGAAGTCTGACTCCAGACAAGACGTACCTAGCCTTTTCCGCTGCTTCTTCCTTACGACGCTGTTCCTCTCTTTCTTTCTAAAGGAATACCAATATACGTATAAGATACTTGTTTAATATAAATGTGACGTCATTATAAAGGTGATGTCATTAAAAGGTGATGTCATTAAAAGATAACGGAAAAGGACACAAACCTCTTTAGCTTTCTCGATTTCTTTTCGTTTTCGCTCCTCCTCTTCAGCTTTCCTTCGCTCAACCTCCATTTCCGCTTTACTATAAACACATCGTAAAATTGTCATAAATGACGAGAAATAGAACTGTAATAACTTTGAGGATACGTGTGATCATTTTCAAACTCTTATTATCTCCATATTACCCAATACATCCAAGGCTATTTATGTTGCATCCTTACATTCTGGCCTCTTCCTCCAATTCTTTCTTTCGTCTTTCTTCTTCTTCTCTTCGCTTTTTTTCGAACAACATTTGCTCTTGAATTTTTCTTAGTTTCTCTTCTTCCTCTCTCTTCTTTTCCAGTTCTTTTTGTTTTTGCAGCTGCACCAACTGAGCATTCACTTTCACTTCCAAACTTCGATACAGTTGGACAATTTGTTCACGTCTCAACATCGTCGACTATACAAGATGAAAAAATAGTGTCACTAACACTATATGAAGTATACGCGAGACTTCCACCAGCATATAATGACAGAAAATTTCAGTGTCACCTTAATCTTCTGAATAGCTGCAGCAATTTCTGCTTCAATGGCAGTGATCTGTTTAGTTAAACTGTTCTTGTCAGTCTTAAGCACGGAAACTGCCAAGAAAAATAATCTTGAAACAACATTTAAGCAAGCCAAAATTAGTCAAAACTAAGATACACCTAACTCATGCGTCCCATTACCCCGCTTATACCACTATACTCCTCTCTATCTTACTGTCAGATACTTCACTCCATCTCCTTTCATTTCCGCTTCACCTCACGCGTAACAGATGTTACACTTCATTAAAAACAAACAAAGTGATTATTTACCAATCGAGTTCATTATCTCCAGTTGCGAATGTAATCTTTTTATGGCAATGATACCTTGGTACCTTGAAAAAAATTATAACATGGCTAAGTCAAATGATATACTTGGATTGATATATTTGATCCTGAAAGTCATCTTGCCCATCCAGAACATCATATTTTCCTCTCAGAATTATTTGGTAACTAAAACATAAACTTTTCTCGAATTATTTGGTTCTTAAAACATAAACTTTTCTCGAATTATTTGGTTCTTAAAACATAAACTTTTTCTCAATCTTTTTTCGAAATCCTTGTCGATATTATATCGTGCATATTTCACAACTATTTTACAGGTCTTCGTTAATCCAATACGATCTAGCATCATGCTAAATCCGCAAACGTCAAGCGACATCTGACTACGTCGATTTATATGATGATGTTTGTTACCTCGGTCGATGGCGTCTCCAAGAAAGAAACATTTTCACAGACTTCTGAATGGTAATACAAGCCTGGGCTCTAAACTTGATTTTGTTAGCCACTGCAAAAGAAAATCCATAACTTTAAAATTTTAAATTTTATAAGAAAGACATCTTTATGTACCAATATATTGTTAAGACGATATATATATATATAAAACCATAATTGTATATTCTACGATAAAATGTCCATTAACGTTATCAGTTCTTACATTTCTGTACGGATATTGCACACCAAATGGCCTTTTTCCAACGGTTCACAATGATCCATCGAGCAACCTTTGCAACCAACGCTTTTAAATTTTCCGGATCTGATTGCATAATCTGGTCAAACTCAGCAAACTACACAAGTATCAAGTCATATGGTTGAGTAAAAGATATATCCCATCCTCCGTGCTTAATAATTAAATATCCATAATCATTGTCTAACCTTTCCCGGACGAAAAAAAACTTTTGTCATTCCGAATTTGAATTCTTCAGGATCCATACCAACGGCCCTAAACAACGCCTATAAAATAAGGAAATCTTTGTTGATAAACACCCAATGTTACAGAAGTGTGCTTTAAGAAATTTTTCAAACAAAAAACTTAATCATGAAATAATTATCATCGTTAGATAACATTTCATCAAGACCTAATCCTTTTATTATTCAAACGAGTACATCAAAGTACGGACTACGGACCAAGTGATTCAAAAGACGTTAAAATAAATTGAATAACCTGACAAAATGTACGTGGATCGAGCTTTGCCAATTTTTGAGGAAGATAACTTCCATACCTAAAGAAATAATTAATAAAGTTTATTAATTAAAAATGCAATCTTTCAACGCGTCGGTATCCTGGTGGAAATGGTCAACATAAATTACACAACATACGATTCAACAACTTTGTATAGAATTAAATATTTCATTTCTGTGCATTTCTTTGAGTTAGTTTTTATCACAAACATTTCATTCTCCCACACAAACATTTCATTCTCCCACACACGCCTCTTGTCGAAATAAACTTCCGAAGCCAACAATCAAAATGAAAGATATTCATTCGTTCGTTTGTCGGTCGGTCGGTCCGTCCGTCCGTCCATTCATTCATTCATTCGTTCGTTCATTCATTCATTCATTCGAATCAGTGTGATAAACTGACTAAAATACACAAGACAACACCTCGTTATTAAAAGACCAAAAAGAAAAAGAAAACGACGCACATTTTGTAAAGATCGCTGAAAGACGTCCTTGATGGAAAACCTTCCTGCATAAGACGTAACACCGATACCATGCCGGCACATTCCAGTTGACTTAATATAGATCCACCTTCGAAACTCTTCGACTGCATGGAACTATTCGGTTTAACACAGCGAATGAAGTTCGCGCCCTAAATTTAATAAAATCATTAAGCTAAGATGACTAGGACGTATCACTAAGGTTGATAGGTGACAATAGCTGCCAACATGTATCGCAACGACGTTACAAAGCAATCACAAAATGATATCTAGGTACAGTCTTTAATACGTATGGGTACATCCTTAGATTTGCCTGGGTACAAACATTTAGGTACATTCTTGGAGACACTTAGATAGCTATCGTCCTAAAGACACACAGCCTTAAAGATAGTACTAGGTACAGCCTTAGATTTGCTTGGGTACAAACAGAGACATTTAGGTACAATCTTGGAGACACTTAGGTAGCTACCGTCCTAAAGACACACAGCCTTAAAGATACTATTAGGTATAGCCTTGAAAATACAAGTAGGTACAGTCTTAGAGACACCTAGGTACAATTTTAGAGACACCTGGGCAGGGTCTTAGAGACAGCTAGGTACAATTCTAGAGACACGTAGGTAGGGTTTTAGAGACACCTAGGTACAGTTCTAGAGACACTTTGATACAGCCTAAGAAACAACTAGGCACAGTTTTAGAGAGACTCAAGGATAGGTATTGACATCCGCTAAAAATATACGTGCACAAGCCCAGTATATTTTAAAGCCACAATTTTACCGTATTCCTCAACTTCTCCATCAATTGGTTCAATTGATTCTAAAAACATTGTAAGACAAGAGAAATGTCAGTATGAATATTCATATGAACATGGACCTTTGATTAAAAACATCCTCCCGTTTCGAAAAGATATTACCTTGAATTTGCTACCGATGCTGTCAAAAGCAAGTTTCTTTTTAGTAGGTGAAAGAAAATTGTCAGTTTCTTGTTTTGGGGAATAAACTTATAAGGAAAGCATCTTGACTCTTTTGGAGAACATTTTCTAAATCACCATGAAGTGCATCATTGTTCTTGGCTATGAATTCACACTAAAAGAAATTCCGGAAACGTTAGGTAGAAGTGGGTTATGGTTAACGTAGGAGAAGATATAAAGATTAATGAAATGTTTTTGCTGTAATTTAGTCATTAATTTGCTACATATTACATAAAAGTACAAAGTATCTTTGTTGTAGCAGTCAACGTACACTCAACGCTTGCCTACGGAACTTTCTGCAATTATAAAGGACACTTTGTAAATCTCCAAATGAAAGTACTTCGAAATTTATAAAATTTGCTAATTTCACCATTGCTACGGCACTTTAAACACTTCATGTTGTCCCACAACAAACATCTTCATTGTTCTTTATTGCAGTTTTATATTTTATGGTGATCATATAACACAGATAAAGTGTGATGATCTAGTTGAATTAAACTACTCTAGCAATACAGTGCTATAACCAATGGCTAACACATTATAAAACCTAACCAGGGATATTTTCAACAAAACCTCCGCTACTACGGACACTAAATCGCAGTCTCTAAAGCTATCTGCTTTAACAAGAGTTGCCTGAATTTGATATGAAAAGTTTTCACGTGAGACATAAACGTGGCAAACGAAAGGTTTTTCACGTGAGTTGTATGAAATAAAGTTTTCACGCGACCTTCAAAAACGTCAAATCATAGCAAAAAACTGAAAAAAGGAAAGTTTGTATTTTACTAACGTCACTTCTATACATCACTCAATGGTTACAAAAGAAAAAAACTGGAGGCCAAGGAAGCAAAAATGGTACTAATTATTTACCGTACTATAACAAACAGCACCAGCGAAATGACGGATTAAGAATCCCTCGTCATCCTTGATGTTCCTGTGAATCACCAGATGAGATTTTCTAGGCAACTAAAAGAAAAACACCAAACATAGTCATACGTACAACGTTAATTACTCCAGTAAAGAGGTATACTTTGATCACTTACAGCCAATCTAAAATGTCCTTTATTCTTGTGAAATACTTCAGTTGTAAAGTGCTGAAACGTGGATTTCGGTAACTTACTCTCCTCATTCAAAAGAATAAGAATTCCATTATTCTTCGACTCGATTAAATCTACAAATACAATAACATACAATATATAACAACTCGTAAAAGGAAACTGAAGTCGGCACCAATTTTAAGAACGCATAAAGATATTCAAAGTACTTCTGCATTACCGATGCAATCTTGGTTATCAATAAAATTAATTTCTTTGACATTAAGTCCTTCTCTCTTATACAGTTCTTGTTCCTAAAGAAGACAGTATCAAATCAAATAATTCGTACCAATAAATTACACGTGTTCCGAACATATGAGACACGCTAACATAAAATTCAATAAATTTACCTGCTTTAAGAGTCGCTCGTTGAAGAACTGTTGAAGTTTCTCGTTGCAATAGTTTATACAAAACTGCTCAAAGCTGTTCACATCAAAGAACTCTGCAATAATATAAATTAAGTATTAGAGTTAATCAAAACGTTAATTGAAGATCGCATTATTAATTAGAGGATGCTAAATTAAAATTGACGCGTTCAAATGATTGGATGATTACCAAAGCCGGCGATATCCAATACACCAATATAAGTTGAGGATGATTTAAATGGGAAGCATTGATTGACTTGTGAAACGATGTGATCAAATAGATGAGAATACAGAGCTTTAGCGAGTGCGTCCCTGGCTGCTGTTGCTTGTTCCATCTTTAATGGAACTCTAAAAATATAAAAGAAAACATTACGAGCACCTGAAACAACAACATATTTAAAAGTTTCAGAAACTCCAAATAGGACGATATTGCATAAATATCATACTTTATAGCGCTAGCATTTAGGCCTCCTAATTGCTTCACTTGAGACATCAGTCTTGTGGTCAGCGCCATTTTTAATGCACTAGGATCCACTTTAAGCAACTTAGCCACAAATTGAACAGAGTTGTCACATTTATTGCACACTTTACAGCCACCTATAATGACAGTATTCAATACATATAGCTTGAAGATTTGTGTTGTGAATTTGTTCTTGCTCTTTTTTCTTATCCCCAGTAAACGTTGGGTGCAACTTTTTATGTCTGTAAACACTCATCTGTATTGTATCCATAGAAACCTTTATCTGTTCCATTTTACTCTGAGCAGCCATTATCTTAACATACATATTTCCTATCCTCAGTAACATTAAGAACCATTTTACTCCTAGCAATCCTCAATTTTACCTTATTTCCTATCCTTATGGTAATATTAACATGTATCATTTTAACCATAGTAATCATCATATGCACCTTTTCATGCCTAATAATCCTTATCCGCAGCTTTCTTATTCACATCAACACTATGGCAAACCTACCTTGCTTATCATCCAATTTTTCTTCAAACGCAATATTTCCAAGATGCATAACAGCTGCCACAATACGAAAGATGTTATCTTTCTCTTGCAACGAAAAACCAACTTTTTCCATGGACTCAGTCATTAGTTTATAATCTTGCGTGTCATTTAGGCTTGGCACTTCATATGAACCTTGATTCAAATACTGTAAAATAAGAAATAAATAAAACAAAAGCCACATATAACAAGTTGACTATCATTGTAAAAAGATTTACATGAAAGTCTTTAGCCTTAGTTATGCCAAGGGATGTCTTGAGTTCAGCCGGTGCACCACAACATAATCTGTAGAAGACATGATAGCTTCTTTCTCCAGAACTTTGCTTGCAAATACGAGATTTTTCAAGAAGATAGTGAGAAATAAAGCCACCAACAACTTTTGGCTGCAAAAGAAATCCTGTTTAACAATTTCTTATCATAAATTTATGCACGCTTTTCTTCCATCACCTTCTCGTTGAAATGTAATTCGACATATTTTCCAAAACGACTGCTGTTTATATTCCGCAACGTCTTTGCATTGCCAAATGATTCGAGAAGAGGGTTAGCTGAGTTACAAAAGAGAATTGACCATCACAAAAATGTTTCCTCGCAATTCTAAAACCTTTGGAATATTTGTAGCAAACCTTCAACAATCCTCTGTTCTATGTGACCATGTTGACCATCTCCCCATGATTCAGTTAAATATCTAAAGACAAAAAAACCTGCTTTGAGGAAGATAGATCAAGTAAAGGATTATTGAGACACGTTGTTTTATTAACCTTAATATATACTTGGTCGACTCTGTTTTACCAGCTCCAGATTCACCTATAAAGATGAAATTCAGATCATTATAATTGCACAATTGCTCATTTGTGATTCATACTATAGTTATTAGAAAAGTTTTTTACATACCACTGACTATGACTGATTGACTTTCCTTGAAAGATCTCATGTCACGATAAGCTTTATCAGCTAAAAAACAAAAAATAATAACATTTACAAGTGTATCCAATAGATTTGTTTAGTAATATAAACACCAACCAATAGCAAATACATGAGGTGGTAGAACACCAATGGATTTTCCATGATATTGCTGCATTGTTTCGCTGGAATATAATCTTCTTATCTCATGGTAAGGGTTTACTGCAAGCAATATATCAGCTACATATGTCTGTAAAATATGAGAAGTTGCTGTATTGTTTTATCAAGACAAGGTGAAAAGATTATTGCTAAAAAAGAGCATGCAACAACTTACATATATCAAATCTTTCTTATATCGAATTTTAAGATTATTTAATAGTGTAGCTTCGTTAAGGAACATGAGAGCACCTGTCGATGAAATTTTAACAGTAAACAGTTAAAACAGAGATAATCCATTAGTAAATTAACTTATGCAAACAAGCATGAGAAATAGTTCTTTCCAAAAGATCAATACACCCTGGTAAAACTTAGAGCATTTCACAAAAAAATAACATTTTTTCGAAAAAAGTTCGGACATCTCTGGATGATTTAAACAATTCAGGAAAAATAATTCCTCACTATAGAGTTTCTTTTAGAGTTCAATGAAAGTGTCATAAGAAAATTCAATGCTTAACTTAACCAAATCAATAGAAACAATTTCCACGACAATGAAAGCTTTTGTCAAGTGTTTTCAACGCCCACACATAACAAAAACAAGTCAGAAATTTCTTTTATAAACACCCAAATTAAGGTTTCGTAAACGAAAATACCACAGAATGCCCACTTTGATATATATGGCTCAGATATTCTCTACACATAAACTATAAATAGAAATATTTTCCGAACATTTGTAGATAAATGATGGTCGAAATAATATTATTGAAACCTTGACACCGGATGAAAGCGCATTTACAAACTTACAATTGTCCTCAACATCTTTTTCGCTATCTTTTTCTGCTGGAAATACACGTTCGTAAGGCGCACAAATTGCCTGAATAACAAGAAAAAAAGAAAAATTAACGAAATACTCACTCAAAAATACAAACTCGTTACTCGTGTAATTAAAGTTTGACACTTAAAAGCGAAAGAGAAAACTATAGTACATAACACTATAACCATTTTGCAAAAGTTCATCAGTGAAATTTATAAACAAATACTATGAAAATCAACTGTCATAGCAATCAAAATGATACAAATACATACCATTCCTTTATCGTCAAGCGGTTCAACAGAAATCGTGTCCGCTCCAAGGTCGATAACTTTACCAAGGCGAAAACCTTGAACTGAGTCAGGAGCCCAAAAAAGCCCCGATATATCCATTTTAAAACTACTCGAAGCTCTGAACAAAATCTATGATAATATTCTCATATAATGCTTCGTTTCTGACTGAAACTTCTTAACTGTCAACAAAGACGTGGATTAGACGCCGGAGACATTTGAATAATTACAAAATACAGGAAATGGGGCATTCTTTGTATCGCTATTAATCATTAGGAGAATTATGAAATTTGACTTTTTCAATGTATTTGCTATATATTAGGCAATTTATTTAATGTACTGAATATTGTCCAGCAATGTCTATAAATAGCCGAAGTACTATCGTGAAAATTAGTTTCAATTTTCACGGTGAATTATTTAGGTGCAATAACAATAAGTCTAATCCATGTCTGTTTGTCACCGGAAACAACGCGATACACATTTATTTCCAATGAATAATCGCTATCTCTCTCAAATAAATCAAATTGACAACATTAGAGATGTTGCAAATACTTAAATGATGCAAAGAACGCAATGAAACCAAAATTAAAAGCGTCAAAAAAATAATATTTTTGAACGTAAAATTTAGTCTATCGGAGTGTTGCCTTAGATACTTACGGGCAAAGCAAACAAACGAGTATCAGATTACATATTTTGCTACAAGCCTGCAACTCAAAATCAAAGGAACAAAAATTTACTGTAACATTAACTGCATAAAATATGACTAGTGATCAACAGACAAACTGTCAGTTTTCAGCAAACGAGGAATTTTTATCAGCGAATTTTTCAAATCTTAATTTCTGGGACATTAACAGTTACAAAACGTGCTTGAAAAGAATTGAAGATGGAGCGAAATTGTGTGACGATTTCATGAAAATGATAAAGGAACGAACCGATATAGAGGCAGCGTACTGCAATAAATTAAAATGTTAGTGAACTTTTACATTTTCGTAATTTCGTTCTATAAACCTTGTAAATGACACGCGAATTTATATATTACGTACAGACGTACAGTGGCAACACCTCAGGGAAATGTGTATTCAGTGTAATTGAAACAAATTTTTACGCATTAAAATCGTCGCTCATTAAAGTGTAATGTTGCCAGCTGTTTTAAAACATGTTTCAAACCTATTTTATAGCTCAGGAATGATTCTTAGTCCCTGGAAACTAAAACATAGAGGATTATTTTTGTAGAAAAGGCTTCAATAACAGCAAAGCCCACAATAAATCACAAATGTACATGTGGCATATTTAACCTTTGGAATTCTCATTAAATCCAAAGGATCCATTTCTTTTAGCTTGGTCAAAGAAATGGGAAGATAGCAACAAGAAGAGTCCGGAATATGGAAGCCTGAAAACGGCAATGTACGGAATAATGTTGGAAGGCGAGCAGTTAGCTGATGTTCACTATGAAGTGCACGAAAAACTGTTGACTGTTAATGAGACTGTAAATCGGTGGAAGAAAGATAATTACCATAAAACTTTGATGAATTTTAAAGAAGTGAAAATAATTGATGAAGGATTCAGTAATGCACAAAAACCATGGTCACGACGACTTGAAGAAGGTAAAAACAAAATATTTATCATCTCACACTTTTTCACACAGCCAAGATAGTGTGTACTAAGTTGCTCCTTCATAATTCATTGTTTTGCAAGGCTGGGAAAAGAATGATTTCCTTTCAAAAAACCACTCAAGTTATGAAAAAAGACAACCTCTTATATAGCCCGCTTTCTTTCTTTGTTAGTGAATAAAGCCAAGAAGATATACCACAGTTCCTGTCGAAATTTTCAGAACGGTCAAAAACAGGAAAGCGAGGGAAAAGAAAAAGAGATAAGCGAAGATATCGTGAAAAGTTGCAAGATAAAGTAGAAAAGTTCAGCGTCGAGTTAAATGAGAGTAAAAGAAAATACGAAGAAGCTTTACGTGATTTGACAGGTTACGCACCTAAATATCAAGAAGATATGAAATATCAATTTAATAAATGCCAAGAACTTGAAGAAATTCGCAAAAATTTCTTTCAAACTTTATTGCTTCACTACCACGAAGCCATCACGCAAGAGAATTATATGACAAGGTAAGATATAACAAGATGAACTATGGATTATCTTCGTGCTAGTTTACATACAAACTGGATCAAGTACGAATAAGCCTGTAAGACTCATTGAATCTCTAAACTATGTTGTTATAACTTGATTAACTATATAATATAGTGCTGTGCTGAAAACAAATGCATTTCAAAAAATTTGATCGCAAATCCCCTATAATTCCTACCATTTAGCGAGTTACGTCATCTAGAATATACTTTCGTCTCATGTGTCATACTGAGAACTCACATACATTTTACACGTGCTATGCAAAGACTTACCAACATTTCACATGTGCTATGCTGGAATTCACTCATTTTTCATGTGCTGTGCTAGAGGCTCACATCCATTTTACATGTGCCATGATGGGAATGCACATCCATTTTACACATGCTATATTGGGGCCTCGCATACATTTTGCATGTGCACTCTTGGGGCTAGCACACATTTGAAAATAAAGACATCGTTTGTTTTATCAATAGCATATACTATAATAGTAGTGATCTCCCATTTTAAAGACTTATGTCTAACGTAACTCGGCACTTTTCCCCTCGTTCTATAGAATTCCAGCCATTTATCAACATCTACTTACGGCCATCAAAAAGGCAAGTACAAGACAGGATCTTGAGTGTTACGAGAGGATCTACGTGACCCAAGCCAAACTTCATATACCAGTATACGAGGTAACTGAAAGTATAATATTACATGTTGTTGATAAACTTGATATTGTACGAAAATTTGGATTATTTATGTAACATAGGAATACGATGCAAACACTGGTGTTCAATCATCGAACGTCGATAACAAAGAAAGCGATGTAAACGCGACAGTGATGAGAAACAAGAGTCGTTTTTGCACAACTTTATGATTTATGAAAACATCGTGTGTCTTATTATTGATTGATTTACAAACTTAGCCAGCATCACGGACGCAAATAAAGATTGCAGTAACTAGAGTTGCATGAAGAAACTTTATCCGTGCAGCTAGAAACGTCGTCAACTTTGTGACCCCCGATTAGTAGGTTTTGTATAGCTTCAAAACTGTGCGAAAAAGGATGACCTTTGTTGTATATATGTTATTCACGATGTATTTTAGAATTACAAACGGAAATGAGTATTGAGACCTGCTATGACCTGTAATCTTTTTTATAAACATGGTCTTTCTTTTGTTATCTGTACTGGTAGATATCATGTAGTAACTTTCAAATATTTCCAAAATCTTCAATGATTTTCTTGTATAAATCAGTAAAATGCTTTTACGACGAGTAGCACAGGAGATATTTGTTATAGTGATTTGCTTTTTGTGGAGTGTTAACGGTCGACCATCCAAAGAGAAAAGGAAAAGCAATAAAAGCGAGAAAGATCCAAAATTAACGAAAGAAGAATGGAAGGTAATACATAAGTTTGAAGACGCTTTAAAAGACGAAGAAGGTAAACTATTCTACACAGACTCCTGGGCAGTACAACTAACGGATCCGGCGGAAGTGGAGGTCGCTGATAGGATAGCATCTAAACATGGTTTTGTTAACCTTGGAAAGGTCAGTGATTAAAATTCAGTTGTTCTTCGAAAGGATTTCGTTGTTAAAGATAACTATAGAATTGTTCTCCTCGTTTTTTTCTTATATGAATGTCATTTTACCTTTCCATCTGTAGAAGAGGAGTCACTATTGCACTCTGACGGTGATAAACGGGAGGGCACATTGTTAAAAAAATTATAGAACTTTTCAAGTGTAGTTTAGTTCCCTCGCGATGCCCTTAAAATACATTGGTGATCACTCTTCAATAGTAGCTTAAATTCCTTAGTAACGCCTTTCAATCCATTGGCAAGCACTCTTCTAAGGTACTACACGTTCCCTGTCCACACCTTTCAATCAACAGATAAAACGAGAGGAATGCAATTAAATTTGAAAAATTACATTATTGCTCTCGTGTATCCATAGGTAGGCACTCTCAAAGGATTTTACCATTTCAAACACGTTGGCAATTCATTTCGTGGAAAAAGAGACATTCATGAAAAAACAACAATGTTGATGTCCGAAGAAGAGGTAACTTTTTTAGACAAGAGAGAAATTTTAAAAAATCCTTATTACATCAAATTCACGATGCATTAAGCTGTTTTACTATGTTAACCGATAGGTACTATGGGCAGAAAGACAGCATGTGCTCAATAGGAACAAAAGAGACGGTGTCCCTTCTGATCCAAAGTTCCAGGATCAATGGTACCTGGTAAGCCATAAATATTCCTCGTGCTCCACAAATCCAAAATCTTATCCTTTGTTTTAACATCCAGTATAACCAAGGTCAGTCGTCTGGTCCGGCAGGAGTCGACCTGAATGTGATGCCAGTATGGCAAAGTGGTATAACAGGTCGAGGCGTAGTTGTCAGCATTCTCGATGATGGTATGTCGGATCGAAAGATAATTAGCTAACATTTGATCAATAAGTGATGTCAATCTCAGTTTCTTCAATTTAGGAGTAGATAGTACTCATCCCGATCTTTATGAGAACTTTGTAAGTCATGTATTGCCTTCTGACGTTTCTGTCGGGAAATAGTCTCTTACATTAAAAACTGTTTACCATCATTCTCAAGGATCAAAAGGCCAGCTATGATTTTAACGACATGGACGCAAACCCGCATCCTCGCGATACAGATCCCGATAATTGGTGGGTTTGATAAAAAACATGACACATACGTAATCATCTGTCGTAATTCACGTTATATAAATATCAATTTCTTTACCATAAATACATAAACACCTGTAGTCACGGGACACGTTGTGCGGGAGAGGTTGCAGCAAAAGCCAACAATAGCATCTGTGGAGTAGGAGTTGCTTATAATGCAAATATTGGAGGTTTGTGAATCGATGATTATTTCAAAGTCATTATGACAGAATCAAAAATCCAATTCTGATTCTCAATTTCGATCATAGTCAAATTTAATTTCAAATGAATATTATTAACTGATGAGATGTACAAATTTATCAACACGTATGTTGTAAATGCCACTTAACGTAAGTTTTATTTAAAGAGATAAAAACAGTTATTTTGCTAAGATAAAAACTGCTAGAGTCTAAAGTTGTCTTCTTTTATTAACTCTGGGAAAAGTAGGCTCGGGGCTCAAAAATCGCCAGCTCTGACCGCCTGCCGTTGAGAGTTGCAATAAGTTTAATACCATACAGTCATAAAAAGAACAAGTAATTCAATGAAAGCATGTATATGACCATCAGACGAAACAAAGTCATCATTAAATACTGCTTATTAAATCTTTTCGGAAAAAACTGAAAAATAGGAACTTATACCAATACTTTTCTCAATGAGCTATTATTTATACCAGGAGTGCGGATGTTGGATGGTCAGGCGACCGACGTTTTAGAAGGCAGCGCTCTCAGCTTTCAGTCCGACTACATAGACATTTATAGCAACTGTTGGGGACCTAAGGATGATGGGAAGACTTTTGGAAAACCTGGAAAATTGGCGCAAGAGGCTTTAAAACAAGGAGCATTGAAGGTAAGATAAGGAAGAATTACAGTGGGCAGAAAGCACAAAGATTTAATAGAATTCTGTAGCTTTTTGAATAACTTAGGAAATATTTTCTAACAATAGAAAATGAAAGAAAAATTATAACGACGAGAATTGTTACCGTTGTGTTTTAAAGGGTCGCCGTGGTTATGGTAACATATACGTATGGGCAACGGGAAATGGAGGTTTAACTGATGACGATTGTAACTGCGATGGATACACGACAAGTATATATACAATCTCAGTGGGATGCATTGGGGATCATGGTCTTTCCGCATACTACACGGAGCTCTGTTCATCCACGCTCGCGGTCACGTTTAATGGAGGATCTCATAGGGAGAAAGAAGAAAATAAGATAGTGAGTAACCCTAGTTACCCATAATGTCATCACACTAACGTCATGTTTTATGTATAGGAAATGAGAGTATAAAATTTCAGGTGCAAAATGAGATTGTTCAGGTATTTGTAGGTTTGTTTAAGTATATGATGAGATTGTTCAGGTATATGAGGTGATTGTTCAGGTATATGAGGTGATTGTTCAGGTATGAAATGAGACTTTTCAAGTATAAAATGAGACGTTTTAGGTATAAGAGGAGATTGTTCAGGTATAAGAGGAGATTGTTCAGGTATATGAGGAGATTGTTCATGTATAAGAGGAGATTGTTCAGGTATATGATGAGATTGTTCAGGTATAAGATGAGATTGTTCAGGTATAAGAGGAGATTGTTCAGGTAAAAGAGGAGATTGTTCAGGTATAAGATGAGATTGTTCAGGTATTTGTTCAGGTATAAGATGAGATTGTTCAGGTATAAGATGAGATTGTTCAGGTATAAGATGAGATTGTTCAGGTATAAGATGAGATTGTTCAGGTATAAGAGGTGATTGTTCAGGTATAAAATGAGACTTTTCAAGTATAAAATGAGACTTTTCAGGTATAAGATGAGATTGTTCAGGTATAAAATGAGATTGTTCAGATATAAGAGGAGATTGTTCAGGTATAAGAGGAGATTGTTCAGGTATAAAATGAGACTTTTCAAGTATAAAATGAGACTTTTCAGGTATAAGAGGAGATTGTTCAGGTATATGAGGAGATTGTTCATGTATAACATGAGATTGTTCAGATATATGAGGAGATTGTTCATGTATAACATGAGAGGTATATGAAATTGCTCAGGTGCTCAGGTGTAGGATGAGATTGTTCAGGTATAGGTAAAAGATGAGATTGTTCAGGTATAAGATTGTTCAGACAGGTATAAGATTGTTCAGGTATTGTTCAGGTATAAGAGGAGATTGTTCAGGTATAAAATGAGACTTTTCAAGTATAAAATGAGACTTTTCAGGTATAAGAGGAGATTGTTCAGGTATATGAGGAGATTGTTCAGGTATATGAGGAGATTGTTCAGGTATATGAGGAGATTGCTCAGGTGTAGGATGAGATTGTTCAGGTATATGAGGAGATTGTTCAGGTGTAGGATGAGATTGTTCAGGTATATGAGGGGACTGTTTAAATATTAGATGAGATTGTTCAAGTATATGAGGAGACTGTTCAAGTGTAACAATGACATAGTTCAGGTATAAGATGAACAGTTCATATATGCAAGGCAAGACTTTCCACAAATAATACGTTTTACCCACAATTCCCTATTTCTCATACAAGGTAACCACAGATCTTCATCACAGATGTACTGAGGAATTTAAAGGAACATCATCAGCTGCACCATTAGCGGCCGGAATGATTTCACTTGCTCTGGAAGCTAAGTAAATACATTGACTAAAACGTTGTTAAACAACCTCAATCCGAGAAAAGCACAATTTAACACAAGAAATATTTTTCTATAAGAAAATGTCCATCGCCTTCCTAAGTGAAACACCACCTCTTCTTTTCCTACACTTGTTGTAATTATATTCCAACGTTATAAATACAAACTTCATACTCCAAACAAATCACATTCCTTACTGTCCAAACCCATTTCTTATGAGACAGATGTGTCTGTCATTTGCCAAACACCTCCATTCTGTACAAAATGTATCAATCATAGTGCAGTTAATGTATCTATCCATCATTGTCCATAACCATCCTTCGTGTACCAAATATCAATATCATCATTACGAGCAATTTTCTTCTGTCGTATTTGAAAGCATTTCTTTCTCAAAAACCGCAAATTTCAACGCATTCAAACCATTTTCATGGTCAAAACACGGACGGTTTTCAATATTTCCTCCCTTGATTCATTTTCTCTATCCTTCACAGTCCCAACCTGACCTGGCGGGACATGCAGCACGTGATTGTAGAAAGTGCGCAAGTCACGAGTCCAGTCGACGATGGATGGCTGAGAAATGGCGCGGGATACCACTTCAATCATAAATTCGGTTTCGGGAGATTGGATGCTTATCAGCTCGTACAAAAAGCAAAGTCTTGGATCAATGTCGCTAAACAAAGAATCTGCGAGGGACCATCGAGCGATATACAGCAGTAAGTGAAACGTCTTGGGATGGAAAAAGATATTGTAAATAGAGAAGGATAGCATGATGATTAAAATGCTAAATGATAATATTTCCGTTTAAGGGAGATTCCAGCGGGTGGCACGCTTTCTGTTACCATAGACACCATTGCGTGTGAAGAAACCGAAAACGACATAGAGAAACTAGAGCATGTTACGCTGACCATGAGCTTCCAACATCGTAGGCGCGGTCAGGTTAGCATTGACCTCTTTTCGCCGAGCGGCACAAGAAACGAGATGCTATCAACGCGTCGCTATGACGACTCTACTAATGGACTTCATGATTGGACATTTATGACCGTGCATAACTGGGGCGAGAGTCCCAAAGGTGTTTGGATCATGAACGTAACAGATAATATCAACATTATGGGCAAGCACCTGAACGCAGGAACATTCACTCAACACGATACCAGCAAACAGGCAACAGATGTAGAGGACCTTGAAGAGGAGGTTGGTAACTAGTTTAATATTCTTATGAAACAGAAACATCTAGTTAGATTTGTCTTAAAGGTAATTGACGATCAAAAAAAGACGGAAGAATTGGAACGTGTTAAGACAGGTAAAAGTACCCCCGGGCCAATGCAAGAGAACTCACGTTATCCGGAGGGTGTCAAAAAATTTACCATTGATCGTGTATCACCAGCAACATTTGAGAATCAGAAATTATTTACATCGGCATATGGTAAAGAAATGAACTTTTATCTTATAGTTTAGTTTTAATTTATGCCTTAAAAATATCCAATATCATGTTATTTTAGAACAACTTCAGCCATTTTGGAATCAGTCGACAGCTGCCTATTACAATAACTACAATTACGATCAGCCATTCTCGTATGGCTACGACAACACTCCGCACATTTCCGATTATTCTTACGATGAGGACCCGACAAGACGGACTTATGCCAAACGAGATATATATGAATCATTCTACCCGGAAGATGAGAGGGCTATATTTGATGAAACTTCACAAAATAAACGCCAGCTACCGACTTACATTGACGCTCGCCCGCAAGAAACGCTGGAGGAGACTGGGTCTCAGCGGGTACAAGTGAACAATGGTTTTCAAGAGGACTTTTTGCCAGGGTTCAATTCCGAGTCGGGACATTTGACCTCAGGAATTTTACTTCAGTGGAAACTGACTTTCTTTGGAACAGGAAAAACAGAATTACTTAATGACGAGGATAGCTAATGGTACATGTTTACATATCAGGATGTATATTTGAATTCCTGCATATACAGAAGGATAAGATGGGATTGGAAGGATAGATGAAATAAGTATGAAAGACAATAGGACTCATCGACATTTTACTATGACCGGACATTGGCAGATACAATCAATAATTTCACATACCTTTGATTGTGCAATGTTTGTTGTTAGTCGCTGTCGCCTTCATCCGTAGAAGATTCGCCGTGTCCTCCTGAAAATTAAAGCAATACTTCATGTAACTATACTTCATAAACCAATACTCAATGTATATCCTGCTTAAAACTATAGGTTTAAAAAGTACTATTTAATTTATTATTTAAAACCTTCCAACTTCAACATGTTCATAATGGCGTTATGATAAAGATCTTTTTGCAAAGTTTTACTTTCAATTTAATAAAGATTTCAAAATATGAATGGCAGTTAAAAAAGCTAAAATGTACAGAATTAATGACACAAATACATGTAGTAGGTAGAATTATATGGTTATATAGTTATTATAAATTATATTTCATCGAAATTATATAAAAATGTTAAAAAAGATTTAAATATATTCTACAAAAGTTTAATACTACTTTAATAAATCATCATGAGCCATGATACATGAATTTAAAAAGGAATTTCTAAATCTTTGCAATCAATTAAATTAATATTTAAGAAGAGAGCAGTTAACTGAAATCTAACTAGTACTTGCAACAAAGTCGCGAAGTTTGTGCTTTGGATGGAGAAGCTTTTTAAAATATGATAAACATTAACTTTTTCTTCTTTGTACACTGCAAAAATATTAAATTGGTAGTGATAACAAGATAAGTTTAGATTTTAAATTAGCTCGGATTACGTTTATTATGTAATATATATATTGACGGTCAGCGTATAACGTGGTCTTAGAAAAGCTAAGTATGGCTAAGGTGTCCTAGGTATGGCTAAGGTGTCCTAGGTATGGCTAAGGTGTCCTAGGTATGGCTAAGGTGTCCTAGGTATGGCTAAGGTGTCCTAGGTATGGCTAAGTATGGTTAAGATTGCGTAGGAAGGTATTACGTGTGTTCCTTTATATCAACATGTCGAATGGTCAGATAAAGTAACCACCACTTATTGGACGCAAGTCGATTTCACGTTAAAGAAAAAAAAAAGCTAAACTCAGAAAATGGTAAAACCTTACTGATATCCCCCATCATAAAACATTAAAAATATAAGCAATCAGAATTTTTTAAATTGAGCTAATTGTCATGAAGTATCGACCAAAATTAAAGATTAAAACATCGCCATCACATACCTTGAAACCGTACTCGATGAAGAGATGAAAGAAGTCTTATCATAAACGATGCAGGTACAGTGAGGGTATCACGACTTTCACGGAGCATGCGCTCATTGCGAGATATCACCTGAAGATAGGAGGATGAAGAATGTAGGGGATCATGACGGATATTATCACAGGAATGAATGAGTATCATAAGAGTCACATGAGAAAGGTTCGGCATATGTTTGGGATATATATAGGAAAAGAGTAAGTACTAAACTTCTTAAAGACAGAAACAGTTGGATTCTTCAACAAGAATATCACTTTTACCTCCGGTATATTCTCCATGTTATTGACATTCAACGATGAAGGGGTCCATAATTTAATATCATAATCAATACCACTGGTAGCTAAAACTGATGGAGAGAAAAAAAGAAATAACTATTGTAGATTAAAGAGATGAACGGAAAGAAGGGGAAATGGGAAAAATGTAAAAGACGAGTGTCGTCAATGCACGAGCAGTGTCAATAAGAGGATGCCAGAGATAAGTAGTGTCAGTGAGGGATATCAATGGATGGAAAAATACAAAAGATAAGATTGCCAGTCAGGGATATTTAAGAAAAATGCAAAATACGTATGAGTGTAGTCCATTAAAATTAATATAAGGGGAACGCCACCTTCAGATTATTTTATTAAGCCAAAATTTGAGACGAAAAGCCTGTAAAAAAAACCACGCGAAGGTTGTACGTTTTTTTTTAGTTAAAGGAATACACCTTTTTTCAGCACTTCCAAACGATGAATCTTTTGAATCATTAACAAATCAAGAATCTATAGACTAGGTTAATGATCTTAAAAATTTATATTTTTCTAAAATGAAGTATTTGTTAAGTTTTAAGGATGTGTTATATAAAAAATCTGTTTGGCCGTGCGCTTTTGTTGCAAGGAAAGACTGGGGAGAAAGCGGCTTCAATATTAGAAGGAAAGGTAGCGTTCCTGTTGCATTCATTTCAATGGCGTAATCATAGTTCATTATTGGAGATTTTGATTGTAATGAAGTATACATACAGGGTAAGTATGGATGTGGTTGAACACAATTTACAACATGTCGATCACCCTCCAGTAACATGACAACGTCCGCACTTTTTCTCGACCAAATGAATATTCGACCACAGTCGCTCCCGCTAAGAATGTAATCATTACCCCAAAAGTTGGCTTCCTTGATCTAAAGGAATAAAGTAACAATTCCCTCTGACTCAATGACTAATTAAACACGTCGACTTTATTTGTACTTGAAAGCCGATTCTAGGCATAGCGTCATACTCACCATTGTGCGAGCGTTTCGGTGACCTCTGTATACTTGCTGAAATCTGGAATATGAACGTGTTTCACACGTGACGGTTTGGTCGTTTTTCTTCATACGAAAGCGGAAAAAATTTTGTATTGCCGAAGCAGCGTTATGACGACGTGTTTCATTGCTTGATTGTTCGGCAGATTCAAGATGTATGTCTCTCTGACATGATTCTTCATTGTCAAGCACACGGCTGCCATCTTTAATGACGTCATCACTTCCTTCTTGGGAAGTGTTAGGTTGTCTTTCGTTCTGACATGATCCCTCGTCATCAATCATACGATCATATTGAATGAGGTTATCGTTTCTGGTTTGAGAATTGTTAGGCCGTTTATAACTCTGATAAGATTTTTCATTATTATGTACACAACGGCCATCTTGGATGGCATCCTCATTAAACGTTTGGGACAAACCTTCAGCAATATCACTATCAACCACATTGTTCTCTGATGACTCACAATCTTGAATGACATCATCAGTGACATCAACTTCATCTCGAATGATGCCATTATTACCTTGGATATCTTGCCGAATGACGTCATTGCTGCCTTGGACTTCTTGAGTCAGCGATGTTTCATTCTCAAAAGTTACATTACTTCTATCACTGACGTCATTATTTTCATCGTCATGACTATCATCATGATCAGATTCATGACGTGCATGACGTCTTTCTTCACGTGCGATACGTAGAGATTCCTCAATCCATCGAGTGAAATACCCAGACATGCGACGTTCAAAGTTATCTTCCGTACTACTTACTGGCTCCTCTCCATTAGGTCTAGCATTAGGACCTGTATCGGACCAGTCCCCGCGCAGTCTTAAACGCTTCATAGGAGGATCATTGTCGACGTTAGGGCAGCAGGTTTCTTCATTTTTTTCACTTTCAGCAGACAATAGCGGCTCTCTGGCTTCTGGTTTTGCATCAAAGAGATAGACATAGTCGGAACAATAGCTTGCTAACAGATTTCGACCATTAGGACTAAAAAACAAAAGAGCATATTGGTGTTTTTTACATTTAAAACATGCTGAATAACTATTGGTTGTGGCTATATTTGTAAGCTTAGGTTATATATGGCTGTAAACATGTCTAAATTATGTCATAAAGATGAAATTTTTATCACTCCTGACACGTCCATAAACAAGGGATCTAAGGACATTACAAACTACAAAAAGTCACTGCCTTTTGACTCGTAATTGGAATCAACAACAAATATTACATATATTTATTTCATTTTTCATTAAATCCAATTTGATTTTGAGTCATGTATCAGGAAGCGAAAATCCACACTTTATGGCAAATAAAAACATATTTAATAAAACCTATCACTCACAAGCTATAGTCAAAATAACCACTTGTTGTTTTGTTGTGAACGCAATTTAAGTGAGGAGGAAAACTTAAGTCCGAAACTAGATTAACTATATTCATATGAAACAAGACAATAAGTTATCAACTACCTATTCAAGAAATACAGTAAAATTGACCCATTTTTTTGACAAAAAAACACTCTCAGTTCAACTAATTTATTTTCACAAAAAAATCCAGAGGTTGTCAATTATACGTAGCTACATCTCTGACAGACAGAATGAAGAATTTTTACCTGTATTTCAAAGATGTCACACGACAATCTCGTTTCTCCAATGTTTTGGTTTAAACTGATACAGTAATCCTTGCTGGCTGCTTCCATCTAATGGTTCTCCAACAGTTAAAGTTCGTCGATCATATACATAAAGTGAACTATTATCACATCCGACAGCAACATAATATGGCTGAATAGGATTAATGCTGAAGGATGTAACAGCTTTATCAGTATTGATTAAAACATCCTGAAAAGTTCAAAGAAAAAACTAGACCGAGGTCTTTTTATACAGATCAAGGCATTAAAAGACAGACACCTAAAATATGGCATATGGCATGAGATACTTGTATAAGCCAAAAATGTTTCTAAGCCATTTTGTGACGGAAGTGACGCTTGCCATATAATACAAAATAACAACGTATGTAAAGAAGTTTTGTTAACCTTTTTACATCCATTACAAGCACATTTAGTCTTATTTCTTATGTCAAACAAGCGGACCATTCCATCCTCTCCAGAAGACATGAATGTGTTTGGATCACCAGGGGTTGTGTTGACCTAATAATGAAAAAAAGATGCAAATGAACTGGGACCAGTGGATAGGTGGGGACCTAATGATGAAAAAAAAATATGAACTTATGAGAATCACTAGGGGTTGCACTAACATTTCACTTCAATACAATTATAAATGCAAAGGGATGATAAGGGGTTTTGTTGAATAGTGCATGGAAACAAGACATGAGCATAAAGATCATTAAGGGTTGTGTTGATTCGAAAATGACAATTTAAGTACTTAAAATTTGACCAAAAGTTAAAGCTCAGGACAAAGTTTCCTAAAAGGTCAAAATACCTCATATGTAGTTCCTGTGTGACATGAGAATTGATTCTTTCCATGAGATGATGAATCATTCACTTCATTATAGTGAAGTATACCATCACCTGAACATGATGCAATCTATAATATATATAAAGAAATATAAAATAAACACAAAAGGTGTGCGGTGATTGGCCTAGAGCTGTGTTTGCATTAGCCTGTGCAAAACACATCTGAGCTCAACCAATCAAATCAATCAAAACAACTAATCAGTCAAAGAGAATTTGCAAATCGATCATGAATACATTTTGGAGGAAAAATTAAAATGTTTGTCTTTTTCCCATCATTGTTATTTTATAAAAAAATAAAAGATGCTTTTCGTGTTTGCACTGGCTTATGCAAACATTGGAGACGTTTCTGAGAACTCTCGAGCATGTGCAACCCTCAACCTTTGGTCTCCTCGGTTTGCATAAGCCCAAGCAAACACAGTAAACATCTGTTATTTCTTAAATAACAGCTTAGAATAACATAATATACACACAAACAAACAACATCAAATGAAATAACTAAAATTAACTACCATGACTAAAACAAAATTACGTATACCATATAAATCAAAACAATCAATGTAACTAAAAAAAATCATGTATGACATGGCCTGATATAATTTAAGCTAGAGCAAGAATAGCAAATTAATGTTACAAAGCCATAGTTTTTTAGTATTCTTTACAAACAACCATCGGAGTTTGTAGTTACACTAAAACAAGCAGTTGTCACCTTTGTATCTGAAGTACAAGGAAGAAACTTTGCACTGAAAATATTTGCATGATGGCCACTGTTGATGGAATGGATAGGCTAAAGACAAATGGAAAAGATTCTATGTATAAATGAAACTTTTGCTTGAACTTTTAAAAAATTCATCAATAAGTAAACCTTCATAGAATATGGTTTATAGATGTTCAGTTGACAGTCATCAGAACCAGACAAAAGTAAATCACCGGAATCATTCCATACAACCGTGTTGACCTTAGATACAAAACACACACATATTAAACTTATTTTCTATGAATAAATTCAAAATGATGACCTTGACACAAGGATATTGAACTATAAAATCACACATTCTGCATGTATCTTACACATCCCAGATGACCACCAAACACTTTGTCACATTTCAATCTTCTAAGCAAGTAGTCACTTCCTAAGGAGATAGTGTGGATGATAAAATGAGTTAAATGGTAGGTACATAGGTTATCAGCAAGTGTTTGTCAGTGGTAGGAAAGTCCTAGAAAATGTTAATGGTTGGTAAGCTTTTAGTAAGTGTTTGTCAGCAGTTCGTAAGTCACCTGAAAGTATTTGTTATCAGGGCTCTGTTTGTCATTGGTGAGAAAATCACCAGTATGTTTCGTCGGTGGTAAATCAACAGTAAGTCTTCATCAGCGGTACGTCACATGTAACTGCACTAAGTGTTTGTCAATGGTGGATAAGCAACCAGTAGCTGCATAAACTCAGAAATTGATTAAATATCACTAAGAAGATCCGTTGAATAAGTGCAAACAGTCATGACCATTTGACAAAACAAGACATGATAAAAATGCATTTTCTACATTGACATAATGGTTGAACTATTGAAGGACAATAAATCCAATTATGATGTGTTATTCATTATTACGATCGTCGAAAACCAACACAGACGCACATTAAATGAAAATTATCTCTGGGAGACAATTCATTAAGATTGAAATGACAACAAGTCAACAAAACTTACGAAAAACGTTTAGACGTAAACTACTCCCTTGCACACAACCATTTCTCCTGTCGTTAATTGAGAAGTATATAGAGTGTTTCTTAGCCATCTTATTCATGCAATGAGGCTCAAGGTTTCACATTATCTCACAGACTCCGTTATCATAGAAAATAGAAATTCGGTCAGCCATCTTTCATTTCTTGCAGCATTTCCTGGGCATCCCTGGGACTGAGTAGTAATGACGTCGCCACATAGAGACGTTTCTTATTTCATTTCAGGCATTCTTCATTTACAGGAAGTTTTCCAGGTAATATTACAAAAATTGGTGGACTTAAGAAGTTTACATTGGTATTTTCGTATTTTAAAATATACAAAGTACAACTAACTCCCCCCGGCTCAACTCTTAGCTCTATTCAAACAAGCCGTGGACGTAGCTACTAATGTCCATTGGAATGGGTCGGGGAGGGACCGTGACACACATTAATACTTATTCCGTTGCGCCTGACAAAAAAGAGTCACAGACTGTGAGTAAAGCTAAAGCTTTTATGGGTTTATGCCTTGAGGGTAGGGCAGAAAAAGGGTGTGTGTGACAATAATGAAAATTCGAAAAGAGGAGTTGCCTGCTGTGTATGGAATGGCTCTGACGCAGTTTATTTGAGTTTAGCAAACTTCAATCGCTATACGTGTAAATTTTACTTTTTATACGGTATATACAATAGCAATTCCTGCCAACATTTATAGTTGTGCGTGTGAAAATTGTTCGTGAAAATGTGCAAGTCGCCTGAAAGTCAGATTGTCTGCGAATTCATTTTCCTCATGACGGTGTATATTTACGATATTTAAATGAAAGAAAATCTTGATCCTTTGGCTTCAAATCATCAACACCAACTTCGGCTTCTTTATCATTTATGTATATGAACCAGGAATACCGTTTTTCCTGATCGTTATACACCCCATCAATGCTCGTAATGAAATCACCAAGATCCTCTTGTTTATATGTTGCAACGTAGCTCGGATTTTGTTTTCCAGCCATGTCCAAAACTGTCTTTGCCGTAGAACCTTCGCTTGCATTGACAATGACAGCAGGCACGCTGCGTACAGGGCCAGGCTCTTCAATGAAAAGTTGTACACTGACAACATTCATCTAGACGAGTTAAAATTGTATTCAAGTGTAAGCTGACAGAGAAGTGAACAAAAATTTCTCAAAGTACTCAGATAACATTGACTGTACATAGTAATGGCATTTTTAATGTTTCACCTTGTTCTTCTAACCACTTTGATAAATTACTTAGTCTGTTGTCTTGTTCGTGCAAAGACCATAAAAGTTGAAATAAAATGAATTCAAAGTTATTCAAAGCAAACACTTAACAATAACAATGCATAAGCAATGAACCAATACACAAAGGTTATGTTTATTGAGCTTACCGGAAGAGTTTAAATTGCTATTCTGCTTCGTTTTTTCATCACTCCTACGTATTATTCCTTTTTCAGTAAGGGAAGGGCTCTTTCGTACGTGTTTTTAAGCACACTTGCGTCATCAGTTTTAATTATTCATAAAATAATTCTAGAATCCTTGTATTTTGAACCTAAAAGTTGAAGTTTTACCTCCGTAGAAGTTTGTATAAATTAAATTAATTGTGCATGACTTTAATTGTTCGCACAATAGTTGCTTCATTTAAACACTTGATTCAGTGCATTGCTTTTTAAGCATTTTTTAAATGTTCATAAAATTTTCGTATAGATACCAATTAATTAAAAAATTTAAATCCTTACAAGTGCACAAATTTTGCGTATTTTTCTCTAAAATTTACTCAAAATACTGTCATAACAATCACAGAGGCTAAATCAACCTGACGAAGCAGCAAATACAGAAAAAATCAAGTTTAATATTTTTAAATAGAACGTACAATTGAAACTATACTAACTGTTGGTGTATGTTCGTTTCTAAGTCCAGGTGACTAAAAAAGACACAGCCATATGATAAATCGCCTCAGTTATCACATATATTTCACATTCAATTTGCATTCCATTGTATTGTTGACATCAATTTAATTTAACGTATTTAAATGTAATTCGATCTCCGTTGTTTGGAATGAGATCATCAACACCATATTGGGCAGGTGCACCGTTTACATAAATAATCCAGTATTGTCGTTTTGCGTTATCCTGGGCCACTCCACAAATACTGACAATATAACGACCAATCGAAAATTTCCCATATGTCGGTAAGTAACAGTGGTTTTGTTGTGCTGCAAGGTCCAGGACCTTTGCAGCTGTTGCACCCTGGGGCATTTTCACTGTGACAGGAGGTTCGGCTCTAGTTAGATTTGTGACATTGAAGACCAACTTGGTAGTAACTGTAATTAACTAAGAACATAAACGTACGAGAGGAAATTGTAGTTATATTCTAAGAATGTAAATATGGTAAACGTGAACAGATATTGAATGAAATCTATTGAAGAGAGTATTCGAACTTGGTGTAAATATGGTGTAAATTGATCTACTGATAAATAACCAACGAACAGAAATTTTTAAAATACACACCTTTGTGGGTGGCGGGCTTGTTGGTTCTAAAGAAAAAAATAGAAAAATCGTACATTATAGTTTTTAGCGCCTAACTTAAACAGGCAAGCATACATGAAGCCAATACGATATAAATACACATAGGAAATGTTGCAGGAAGCACCGATATAAAATCTTATTGAAAATTTCCTTGTTCGAGTCAAATATTTCATGAAACATTACTTTGTGTTTCAAAAATTACTGATATTTGAATACTTTATTGATATCATGTGTAACAATATATAACATTTCAATGAGAATCAATCGATCAAAATCGTTCGGTGTCCATTCTAAATATCTCCAAATATGTGTTTGAAACAATGTGGTTATTTCATCTTACTTGGAGGACAGGGTAAATTCTTCAGACTGATCAAAGACTCGCCCAGAAGCGCAGGGGTAACTTGGATATTTGCTAACAGATTGCCAAACGAGCCATCTTCTTTTTGAAACGAAAGTATGTGTTTCATTGCTTTATTGCAGCGGAAAAGTATCGTATGAACGCCAGATGCCCGAAGAGCCTGTAAAATGAAAATATATTGACAGACTTCTCATATGAACGTCGACGAAAGGTACGCTTAAGAAAGATCATCCTTTATACACCATGAATGCATCTACTCAATTCTGCAAGTCCTGTCCTCTAATACTGGTTGATACGTATCTTTACTGTACATTGAAATTATACATAGAATATATCGACAGTTGAAGTGGGAGTGAACTTATGGCTAAATAAATTACAACAAATAACATTATTGCAAGGTTTGCAAGCTGTATAAACTGTTTGATAACATAAACGTCAAATACTATATTCCATCCAAACGTATACCTGAATGGCTAAAGCAGACGAATATTGGTTACCAAAACCTCCAGTTGTTTTATTTTGATTTAAGAGAAGACTTCTTGCTAGGCGAAGCTTTCTCCAAAACAACCACCACCTTTTACTCCTAGATAAGTTCTTACTCGATAAGCACGATAAAGCTGTTAAAATCAATGCATCCGTATCTACACCATGAATCTGGCTGCTAGCTGCATTCATTAGTTGATGTACGACATACTGAGGAGGTTGCTTCCCCGAGTTGCACAAGGCGATAACAGCTAAACTGTAACCAAACAAATTGTTGAAACCAGGCGACTTTGGAAAACTAGGGAATCCTTCTAGAAGATACTGGGTTAGATTGTAGCCGTAAAAGTTCTCTGGATCCTCACAAATAGCGATGACGCCTTGGGTGATGAGAGCAAGTCGAGGGACGGGGATACTGGACAGATTTCCGTGGTTGCTTTGAATTGAATCAAGGTAGGATTTCAATGTCTCATTGATCGACTCTCCTTCACCATTTTTGAAGTTCGAAAGCAACGTGTCTGGAGTGTGGCCCGCTATTCGGAGTGTGGCAAACATGTATGCCGCGTTGTATGGGCGCAGAGACAACTTACTCGTACTTTTGATCTTCATGTACGATTGTTTTAAATAGTCCGACGAACGAACTACAGCTCGAGTGAGGTCAGCATTTAGATTATAGCTTGACATAGCTGAAATAAGAATGAATTTAATGAAATAATTGTTTAATCTATCAATCTCTACATGAAAATTTCTATATGCTGGTTTTGCTTTAAATTCTTAAGATGAAAAAAGGTGTGACGTTATCTAGTTATCCTAGTAATAGATAAGAAAGTTACAGTCAATATTAGAAAAATATCCTTGTGGCCAAATAAAAGATTTCAAGGCGAATACTTGATGATTAAAACAAGAAATGTAAGTAAAGCAACTTACCACAAAATGCTTGTGTAACTTTGCCAAGAAATATAATTTCAATGATGACTGCGAGAGAAAGCAATTGAATCCTGCCTTTTTTCGCCATAGCTATTCGTTCATGTGCGTTTCTGTTTCGCCTTTGATTTAGTAACCAAGTAGCTGTCCGATGCACTAAGCAGTGCGAGCTTTATAACTTTATACAGCCAAATGTATGATATCGATTACCATTTTATGTAAACAAGCTGTGATGTGCTTAAACAAAATTTCTTATATTTTACAGGAAGACAAAATTCCTATTATAATAGTTTGTCTTTCTTATCTATTTACGTCATAGACATTAATTGTCTCAACAAAATATATGTTTTGCGAAAATACTCGTAAATGTTAGAATTTAGTAGAGTTTTTCAATAGTACACAACCTTGAGTTAATTATTTGGAGAAGCAATTACCCAGATTAATTCTCTAATTGCACGAAAGTAATAAATTTGCGAAAACATTGCCGTACAAAAAACTTGGGTATGCTTTGTCACATCCGTTTAGTCTAGGGAACCGGAAGTTATTATAATTGTTGACTGGCTGGCTTGGTACAACTAAGATTAAAAGAATTCCAATAAGTAAATCTAGTGTCAGTAAAAATAAATTATACGCCATCAATAATCAATTTAAAATAACGTCAGAATATCACTATTTGTATTTGAATTTTACCAATGAACTTACTTCTATGGTGTTTGGAAATGTAAATATAACCAGAAAGATGCAGCGATTCAACTTTCTTCGAATTTGCTTGTCTGCCACTTTACAGACGAATAAAGATCGCTTGAATAACAATTTCTCACAAAGTTAATTAATTGTTATAAAACAGAAATTCTGTGTTTCTCAAAAATCGGAATAGTTGATGTCATCGATGGTTAATATTTTAAAAGCGGCAAATTCCAGTCAATTAAACAAAGAGTAACCGACACAGCTAAAAGGCAATTTAGTAACATTGATTATTCAACAACAAAGAAGACCTCGAGCATGTGTCATCAGTAGCGTATCCAGCCAGCAAGTTTGGTGGTACAATGTAAACTTTACGACACTATCATTAAATGAGCGAACTGGCTATGCTAGTTTGCGTCAATTACTACAGCATTGATACTAACTTAATATACTAAATGAACAATTTTCAAACACTTGTATGAAGTAAATGAGAGAAGACTAGTTTCATTCACGACTGATAACATTGGTTCACACACAACCTCAGTAAACTGTAAACCAAAACTTTTGCTTCCTAGACGCGAAGATTCGATAAACCATAGCAACATAAAACTCTTTAAAGTGATAATCAATGGATTTTAATGAAAAGACAAATGACAGCCAGTTGCCGAACTGTCTGTTCCTACTGTGGAAAAGAGGAAGAGCATCCTCAGTATCACGGAAACGTTTCTCAAAAAACACGGTGTTTCATTCATAATCGAAATGTAAAACACATTATGAATATTGAACATCTAACGATAAACAAATCACGCTATTTTTTGAGAAAGAGGAGAAAAGTGAGTAGTGGTTGGGTGTCACACCACCTACTATCCCCATCTATCCCTACCACCGATAAGAGATAAGGTTCGATTAAAGTTAAGGTTTAATTTTGTGTATTTGTATAACATGAAGTTATTCACAAACCACTTTCGAACAAAGAACAAACCATTGAACAAACATCAAATAAAAGGGAAACTTAAATTGCATCAAAGCTGACTTCTTCAATAACCTGGCTGAATCTGCGGGTGGAATGCAGGTAGAATGGAAAGTGAAAGTGAAAGTGAAAGAAAGATCAAATATCGGAAATGGTTGCTGAAGATCCTCACGTTTGGTGGGCAGTGCTAAACAAATATATTTACAGATTTGTGGTAATCGTGACGCTAATCTTTGCCCTCGTTTCGGTACTCATTGTCAAACGAAATAAATATACAAACGATGAGAAGGAATTGCAGCGTTTAAGGACAAAACTCAAACCATGTTTAACCATCGGAAGTTATCCAAAATTTCTTCAAAAGATGCGAATGCTCAAACAAAGAATCACAACAATAAATGTAGAATTCCGTAAAGTCACTGAAAGTTTTAAAACTCAAGAGAAATCTAACATTACGAGCATAAAGAAAAAATGGAGCCAACGTTTAGAAAGGTTACAAAATCTAATAGCGAAAACCACGAATATTTATCAGAAATTTGAAAGAAATTTCAAATTATTTCAAGAGCTGACGCACACAAGATTTGATAAAGGATGGGCAAAATTTCAGAAAACGGAGGATGAACTGAAGAATCGTCATGGAAAATAACTCGTAGCTACCATACGTTAAAATAGCAATAATTTAATGAAGGGGTTGTTCCATAGGAATATACACAACAGACTTTTCACATCAATACGTTCTTTTTAAATTAATGCAATGCTGTTATAATAAATATTTAAATGATTTGTTAAATTTTTTGAAGAGAAACGTGTATAATTTCAAAGAATGTCGTATTTGTGTTGCTAGTTCTAATTAAAAAACAACATATAGAGGCATTGAGCATTCATGAATAAATTTAACCACGCGTGACCTTGACAACATCAAGGTTGCGTATGTACGTGACTTTAACGAAATGGCAATGGATGAAACGACTCCTTTAATTTTAAATTCAACAAGACCAAACAATGAGGACATACTAGAGACATGTCAACATTTGACAATCCGTATAGTTAAGGGTTTCTTTAGTCTCGCTACGTTAGCAGCACTCGCGCTCTCTATTACAGCAATTATTCTTGCAGTAAAGTAAGTTCACAAAATGAAAGTGAAAGTGATCGAAAAAGTAACTTTGATTATAGTGTAGTGTTCAATTGAAGTAAGCTCCTTTTTACTCCTACGATGCAACAATGAATACACTTGATTTTCTAAAGCCATGTATAAAATTTTCTTCTCAAGTATAGGCTGATTGCTTTAAAGTTACGAAATAAAGAAAATCATTCTTTCCATTTTTTATTATTTTCAACATATAATCAGATACATTCATACACATATAAATATATATACATATCTCTGCATACATATAACATGTGTGAATCAATAACACGCATTATTCGAAGTCCTCTTTGTAAAACTCGGAAGGATTCTTCACTTCGCGGTCATAATTGTCATATTTTCTGCGAAGGTCATTCATTGACGGCCACCTGAAGATGATCAGAAGATTAAAGAAAGCAGAAAATAAAGAAGATTCTCCTATAGCCTTCAAAACTGTAAATGGAATCCCCATAATTATTTTTAATTGGTTTTCAATTATGTGCGGACAGTGAAATTATTGTTCAATTAAAGTCAACGCATTTTAACTTTCAACTCAGACTCAACTACGAGTCTAAGATTAAGATAAATGCCTTACATATAACGGTTGCATGTTTACGCAACAGCTACTGCCAATCATAGTATTCACCCTTTGCCTTTAAGACTTAACAATTGCTCGGGCAAGTGCAATTACAGAATACATTAAATTTTATCAGTATGTTGAGTAAAATTAGGACAATGCAGTGTAATGGTTTAGGCAGTAGGCAGTAGCTATTAACCAGTTTGAACAGGCATTTGGAACTGGAAAATTAAAACGAAACTTGTCTAATGTCATGCTAAAACAATACATAGAGCTGGATAAATGCAGAAATTAACGTGTTCAATTGTTTAAGCGTGAAAAACATATACGGCTACATACCGTCAAGCTCATCCCTCCTACTTAACACCGAAGATTTTTGATCATGTTAAACAAAAATAGCTATAGCATACATTTAAAAATTCTTTGTTCACAACGAAAAATTAAAAATGCAAACATATTATCAGCTAAAAGAATTTTGGTGAAAAATACTTTGTTGACATTTTTTATCATTCTCTTAAGGCTCACCTTTGCTTTTGAAAGTGATTTAATGCTCTTTTTCGTTTTCCCCAGTCTCGTTTTCCAGCAGTTAATGAACGAACTTGTGAGATTAACGCAACAAAAGCGATGAGTGCAAAAATTATTTTAATTTTGTCAAGACCATGTTGTCCAATATAGTTCGATGATAATATTTAGCTAATAAAATATAAATTTAACAAACTTACTATAGCTCCACGTTAAAAATCCGAAAAGTTAGATCGTCGAAAACGATCAAAACTTCACTTATATTTAACGACAAACATAAAGACATTCATAAAATAAGGACAATCTAAAATAAGCAAAATTGCCAAAAGTACAAACACCTTGCACGCGTTTTGATTTGATAAAATCATAAAAGCGAATTCTAATTTAACTGAGATTGTGTATAAGGGGACTTTTCAAAACGGAAAAAGTTGGCAAGGAAATGTTCATTTAAGAGTCTTCTTTTTCAATTAAACTTTCGTTAACCTAACTGGTTTTTATTCTAAGAATTAATGAAAAAGATTAACACTCAAATTTATAATACAACATAAAAAGTCGATAATACCTTGAATATCTTCTTGTTCTTCCTCTTGTGCAGAAGTCGTACTTTGTAGGTTAATGTCGCTAGGCTTTTATATTTATTTCGTCGTATATATATTAAATGTTAATGAACGTAGTTGTATTGTCAAATATTAATTTATTATAATAGTTTATTTTTTGTCATACGATTATTTGGAGAAACAATTACCCAGATAAGATGCGAAAACATGAATGGTTGTATTTTGATTTGCAATGTGGTGAAGTGTGAAGGTGTTTATAAATATGTGAGTTTTTGTAGGAATGTGTGTGTTCTTTGATGCGTGTGGAGAGATGGCGAGTTGTCTCACCAACGTAACGGGAATTACATCCCGCACATGAAAATTCATAAACCACGCAAGATTTGAGTAGAGATGGAATACTGTTTTTAAAACTAAAAAGATTTTTTATTTTGTAGGATGAGAAGACCAATTTGATTTTTAAGTCAACACAGAAGCGTTTTGTTAACTTCCGTAGTTTTTGTTGAGTGGTGTGTGAGTATGAGCCAATGTAAGGAAGTTTGAAATAGTATATGTTTGGTTTGTTTTGGTTAAGTTCATCTGATGCTTGTGTGTCTGATTGTATTTTGTCGTTGAATGATTGTATGACTTTGTCTATGAAATGGACAGAAAAAGAATTGCGTTTTAAAGTTTCAATTAATGTGTTTATGTCATTTTCACAGCCGTTTGTTGTATTGTTGATTCTGTGGATGCGTTCGAGGAGAGTTTTATAAGTCCTGTTTTATAATTACGTGGTGTAAAACTAAAAAGTTCATTAAGAGTCCGGTGTAAGTTTTCTTGTGAAAGACGGAAGTTATGCATTTGTCTGAAGTTGTGTCTTTAGTGATAAGTATGTCTAAGAAAGGCAATTTATTGTCCTGTTCTTTTTCTACTGTAAAGGTAATGTTTGTGTGTTGTAGGTTTAAATAATTAAGGAATAATGAGGCGTCGTTTTCGTTGTTGAATGTACAAAAAATATCGTCTACGTAACGTCTGTAAAAAAGTACGTTTGGTCCGTCGTAGTTAAACCAATTCTTTTCATGATAGCCCATGAAGAGATTGGCAAGTACCGGTGCCAGTGGAGAACCCATTCCCACCCATCAACTCAAATCTTGCGTGGTTTATGAATTTTCATGTGCGGGATGTAATTCCCGTTACGTTGGTGAGACAACTCGCCATCTCTCCACACACATCAAAGAACACACACATTCCGACAAAAACTCACATATTTATAAACACCTTCAAACTTCACCACATTGCAAATCAAAATACAACCATTCATGTTTTCGCATCTTAGACACCGCCAACTCTCCTTTTTCTCTTAAACTGAAAGAAGCGCTCTGCATAAAAAAGCTCAAACCAGACTTCAACAAACAAATATACCACATCAATACAATATTTAACCTGTAATATATATCTAACACTAATTCTGTAATTTAATACAATTAACGATAGTCACATACACATATATATATATATATCATGCAAATAGAATAATCACCTTCATTCTATGCACTGAAGATGGCATAAGCATGCCGAAACATGTTTACGATAAAAAAACTCGTCGTTCATTTAAAATGTCTGATATCGCTTGAATAACAATTTCTCACAAAGTTAATTAATTGCTATGAAACAGAATTTCTCAAAATTCGGAATAGTTGATGTCATCGATGGTTAAGTATTTTAAAACGGTAAATTCCAGTCAATTAAACAAAGAGTAACCGACACAGCTAAAAGGCAATTTAGTAACATTGATTATTCAATGTTACTAACCTCGAGCAAGAAGTTAACAAAGAAGGCCTCGAGCATGTGTCATCAGTAGCGTATCCAGCCTGCAAGTTTGGTGGTACAATGTAAACTTTACGACACTATCATTATTCATTTTTTTAGAAATGTATTGTATTCACAGTTCAAGTGATCACGGAAAAATCAACATAGCACGATTAAATGAGCGAACTGGCTACGCTAGTGTGCGTCTAATACTACAGCTTCGATACTAACTTAATATACTAAATGAACAATTTTCAAACACTTGCATGAAGTAAATGAGAGAAGACTAGTTTCATTCACGACTGATAACATTGGTTCACACACAACCTCAGTAAACTGTAAACCAAAACTTTTGCTTCTTAGTCGCGAAGATTCGATAAACCATAGCAACATAAAACTCTTTAAAGTGCTAGTCAATGGATTTTAATGAAAAGACAAATGACAGCCAGTTGCCGAACTGTTTGTTCCTACTGTGGAAAAGAGGAAGAGCATCCTCAGTATCACGGAAAAGTTTCTCAAAAAACACGGTGTTTCATTCATAATTGAATTGTAAAACACATTATGAATATTGAACATCTAACGATAAGCAAATCACGCTATTTTTTGAGAAAGAGGAGAAAAGTGAGTAGTGGCAGGGTGTCACACCCCCTACTATCCCCATCTATCCCTACCACCGATAAGAGATAAGGTTCGATTAAAGTTAAGGTTTAATTTTGTGTATTTGTATAACATGAAGTTATTTACAAACCACTTTCGAACAAAGAACAAACCATTGAACAAACATCAAATAAAAGGGAAACTTAAATTGTATCAAAGCTGACTTCTTCCCGAACTTGGCTGGATCCGCGGGTGGAATGCAGGTAGAATGTGAAAGTGAAAGAAAGATCAAATATCGAAAATGGTTGCTGAAGATCCTAACGTTTGGTTGGCAGTAATAAACAAATATATTTACAGATTTGTGGTAATCGTGACGCTAGTCTTTGCCCTCGTTTCGGTACTCATTGTCAAACGAAATAAATACACAAACGATGAGAAGGAACTGCAGCGTTTAAGGACAAAACTCAAACCATGTTTAACCAACGGAAGTTATCCAAAATTTCTTCAAAAGATGCGAATGCTCAAACAAAGAATCACAACAATAAATGTAGAATTCCGTCAAGTTACTGAAGGTTTTAAAACTCGAGAGAAATCTAACATTTCGAGCATAAAGGAAAAATGGAGCCAACGTTTGCAAAGGTTACAAAATCTAATAGCGAAAAGCACGAATATTTATCAGAAATTTGAAAAAAATTTCAAATTATTTCAAGAGCTGACGCACACAAGATTTGATAAAGGATGGGCAAAATTTCAGAAAACGGAGGATGAACTGAAGAATCGTCATGGAAAATAACTCGTAGCTACAAGACGTTAAAATAGCAATAATTTAATGAAGCGATTGTTCCATAGGAATATACACAACAGACTTTTTCATATCAATACGTTCTTTTTAAATTAATGCAATGCTGTTGTAATAAATATTTAAAAGATTTGTTGAATTTTTTGAAGAGAAACGTGTATAATTTCAAAGAATGTCGTATTTGTGTTGCTAGTTGAGGCAATATATTGAGGCATTGAGCATTCATGAATAAATTTAACCAAGCGTGAGATGACAACATCAAGGTTGCGTATGTACGTGACTTTAACGAAATGCCAATGGATGAAACGACTCCTTTAATTGTAAATTCAACAAGACCAAACAATGAGGACATACTAGAGACATGTCAACATTGGACAACCCGTATAGTAAAGGGTTTTTTTAGTCTCGCTACGTTAGCAGCACTCGCGCTCTCTATTACAGCAATTATTCTTGCAGTAAAGTAAGTTCACAAAATGAAAGTGAAAGTGATCGAAAAACGTAACTTTGATTATAGTGTAGTGTTCAATTGAAGTAAGCTCCTTTTTACTCCTACGATGCAACAATGAATACACTTGATTTTCTAAAGCCATGTATATAAATTTTGCTGAAAAATTTGCGTCGTTGCTGGCTTCGCTACTTCTCAAGTGTAGGTTGATTGCTTTAAAGTTACGAAATAAAGAAAATCTTTCTTTCCCATTTTTTATATTCAGACAGGAGAAAATGTTAAAAGCGAACAAAGATGAACTTGACTCTGTACGGGACGAAGTCAAAACATGTTACAACGATTCGTACGAGAAGATACAAGAATTATCTCAGACCATCAGTAATATAAACGACAGTTTATATATTTTTTTAGCAGATACAACACTCAAATTGCAAAGTGAACTCGAGAGTGCGGAAAGTGATTTCAAAGCAGAAGAAATAAAAATGGAAAATGAAGTTTCTGGTATGAATACGAATGTGATTAAACTAGAAACAAATTTGGGAGTTTGAAGACAAAACGAACAAGAACTTTAAAAGGTCTGGCAGAAATTTAAAGAGTTGGATAAAGAGATTGCTAACTTACCAAAAGTATTGGATCTATTGAAATATGACCCAAAGAAGCTAGTAATATGTTTGATAATGTGTATGTCATTGCTGGTTAAATAAATAGTTCAACTCTGTATTCCATCCTCAACCTATTTAGTGCCATATTTCTACTTTTATGGTTGAAATTTGTTTAATCAAGAGGATATAAATGTTTTAAGAATTCCCTTGGTTCATAAATGATGCCATTAAACTCCTAAAATAATCACTCAGAATTTCATTTCTATCTACAAATGTTCAAAATGAAACACTCTAAGCCAAATATGTAATGGTGAACATTTGCCTTTGAGAAAAAATTTGTCATGATTTTGTGACAAAAGAATCTTACCTTTTTTGAAGTGACGACTTTGATATCATCTTGACTAACATACATCTTTACTTCATGATGTTCAGACTTATCAGGTAATACAAGATAATGAGGTTGAGTCTTTCTCCTGCAATAAGAACAATATCATTTTGAGCTGAAGTGATTGCAAATAAATCGTGTTATGTATTTGTCTTACTGTGACTTGTGTACCATATTGGTCTTCCAACCAATCATTGGAGGCCTATAATATTCAAAAATACATTTATTAAGGCATACATAATACTTGTTTGAATAAACAACTTGTCCATTCTCTTACTCGAGCATGGTCATCCCAGCCAATGATAACACCATGATAACCAGCAGTATTGTGAACAAACACCTGACCAACCCTATACTTGATGTTAGAAGGTCTCAAATGTCTTGGTTCAGGATTATTACCATAATATCCCTCTTCACTTTTATACTTCATTACTTCAATGGCCACGCATTCACCTTGACTGTCGTTGAGTAAAGACCAAATATTAATTCATTAAGCCAAGTTTTGGGCAACAACCATTTCTTAAAACCTCGATAAGACTCAACAAGTCTAAAAACATAAAGCAACTTTTCAGGATCATTTGATAGGTTAAATCTTTCATTGATACAGCAAAGTTTACCTTCGCGTGTTTATCGAGCTAGTGTACTGTTTCTGGTCCATTACTGACCAATAACGTTATCATATATTGCAAAGAATACCAGAAGAAGAACAAGAAAGTCACAAGCGGACGAGCCATTATAGACGAGAAAAACTCCCAAAATATTGAACCTTTCTACGCGTTTTGATCATTGAATAAAATCATAAAAGCGAATTTTAGATTTTACTTTAGATTTGGTGATGTGTAGGGTTAGTGTTTCCATTCGGACTGTTACTTCCCGGAAACTTCATTTAAGAGTCTTCTTTTTCAATTAAACTTTCGTTAACCTAACTGGTTTTATTCTAAGAATTAATGAAAAGATTAACACTCAAATTTATAATACAACATAAAAGTCGATAATACCTTGAATATCTTCTTGTTCTTCCTCTTGTGCAGAATTCGTACTTTGTAGGTTAATGTCGCTAGGCTTTTATATTTATTTCGTCGTATATATATTAAATGTTAATGAACGTAGTTGTATTGTCAAATATTAATTTATTATAATAGTTTATTTTTTGTCATACGATTATTTGGAGAAACAATTACCCAGATAAGATGCGAAAACATGAATGGTTGTATTTTGATTTGCAATGTGGTGAAGTGTGAAGGTGTTTATAAATATGTGAGTTTTGTGGAATGTGTGTGTTCTTTGATGCGTGTGGAGAGATGGCGAGTTGTCTCACCAACGTAACGGGAATTACATCCCGCACATGAAAATTCATAAACCACGCAAGATTTGAGTAGAGATGGAATACTGTTTTAAAACTAAAAAGATTTTTATTTTGTAGGATGAGAAGACCAATTTGATTTTAAGTCAACACAGAAGCGTTTTGTTAACTTGCGTAGTTTTTGTTGAGTGGTGTGTGAGTATGAGCCAATGTAAGGAAGTTTGAAATAGTATATGTTTGGTTTGTTTTGGTTAAGTTCATCTGATGCTTGTGTGTCTGATTGTATTTTGTCGTTGAATGATTGTATGACTTTGTCTATGAAATGGACAGAAAAAGAATTGCGTTTTAAAGTTTCAATTAATGTGTTTATGTCATTTTCACAGCCGTTTGTTGTATTGTTGATTCTGTGGATGCGTTCGAGGAGAGTTTTTATAAGTCCTGTTTTATAATTACGTGGTGTAAAACTAAAAAAGTTCATTAAGAGTCCGGTGTAAGTTTTCTTGTGAAAGACGGAAGTTATGCATTTGTCTGAAGTTGTGTCTTTAGTGATAAGTATGTCTAAGAAAGGCAATTTATTGTCCTGTTCTTTTTCTACTGTAAAGGTAATGTTTGTGTGTTGTAGGTTTAAATAATTAAGGAATAATGAGGCGTCGTTTTCGTTGTTGAATGTACAAAAAATATCGTCTACGTAACGTCTGTAAAAAAGTACGTTTGGTCCGTCGTAGTTAAACCAATTCTTTTCATGATAGCCCATGAAGAGATTGGCAAGTACTGGTGCCAGTGGAGAACCCATTCCCACCCATCAACTCAAATCTTGCGTGGTTTATGAATTTTCATGTGCGGGATGTAATTCCCGTTACGTTGGTGAGACAACTCGCCATCTCTCCACACACATCAAAGAACACACACATTCCGACAAAAACTCACATATTTATAAACACCTTCAAACTTCACCACATTGCAAATCAAAATACAACCATTCATGTTTTCGCATCTTAGACACCGCAAACTCTCCTTTTTCTCTTAAACTGAAAGAAGCGCTCTGCATAAAAAAGCTCAAACCAGACTTCAACAAACAAATATACCACATCAATACAATATTTAACCTGTAATATATTATCTAACACTAATTCTGTAATTTAATACAATTAACGATAGTCACATACACATATATATATATATATCATGCAAATAGAATAATCACCTTCATTCTATGCACTGAAGATGGCATAAGCATGCCGAAACATGTTTACGATAAAAAAACTCGTCGTTCATTTAAAATGTCTGATATCGCTTGAATAACAATTTCTCACAAAGTTAATTAATTGCTATGAAACAGAATTTCTCAAAATTCGGAATAGTTGATGTCATCGATGGTTAAGTATTTTAAAAACGGTAAATTCCAGTCAATTAAACAAAGAGTAACCGACACAGCTAAAAGGCAATTTAGTAACATTGATTATTCAATGTTACTAAATTGCCTTAACAAAGAAGGCCTCGAGCAAGAAGTTAACAAAGAAGGCCTCGAGCATGTGTCATCAGTAGCGTATCCAGCCTGCAAGTTTGGTGGTACAATGTAAACTTTACGACACTATCATTATTCATTTTTTTAGAAATGTATTGTATTCACAGTTCAAGTGATCACGGAAAAATCAACATAGCACGATTAAATGAGCGAACTGGCTACGCTAGTGTGCGTCTAATACTACAGCTTCGATACTAACTAAATATACTAAATGAACAATTTTCAAACACTTGCATGAAGTAAATGAGAGAAGACTAGTTTCATTCACGACTGATAACATTGGTTCACACACAACCTCAGTAAACTGTAAACCAAAACTTTTGCTTCTTAGTCGCGAAGATTCGATAAACCATAGCAACATAAAACTCTTTAAAGTGCTAGTCAATGGATTTTAATGAAAAGACAAATGACAGCCAGTTGCCGAACTGTTTGTTCCTACTGTGGAAAAGAGGAAGAGCATCCTCAGGATCACGGAAAAGTTTCTCAAAAAACACGGTGTTTCATTCATAATTGAATTGTAAAACACATTATGAATATTGAACATCTAACGATAAGCAAATCACGCTATTTTTTGAGAAAGAGGAGAAAAGTGAGTAGTGGCTGGGTGTCACACCCCCTACTATCCCCATCTATCCCTACCACCGATAAGAGATAAGGTTCGATTAAAGTTAAGGTTTAATTTTGTGTATTTGTATAACATGAAGTTATTTATAAACCACTTTCGAACAAAGAACAAACCATTGAACAAACATCAAATAAAAGGGAAACTTAAATTGTATCAAAGCTGACTTCTTCCCGAACTTGGCAGGATCCGCGGGTGGAATGCAGGTAGAATGGAAAGTGAAAGTGAAAGAAAGATCAAATATCGAAAATGGTTGCTGAAGATCCTAACGTTTGGTTGGCAGTAATAAACAAATATATTTACAGATTTGTGGTAATCGTGACGCTAGTCTTTGCCCTCGTTTCGGTACTCATTGTCAAACGAAATAAATACACAAACGATGAGAAGGAACTGCAGCGTTTAAGGACAAAACTCAAACCATGTTTAACCAACGGAAGTTATCCAAAATTTCTTCAAAAGATGCGAATGCTCAAACAAAGAATCACAACAATAAATGTAGAATTCCGTCAAGTTACTGAAGGTTTTAAAACTCGAGAGAAATCTAACATTTCGAGCATAAAGGAAAAATGGAGCCAACGTTTGCAAAGGTTACAAAATCTAATAGCGAAAAGCACGAATATTTATCAGAAATTTGAAAAAAATTTCAAATTATTTCAAGAGCTGACGCACACAAGATTTGATAAAGGATGGGCAAAATTTCAGAAAACGGAGGATGAACTGAAGAATCGTCATGGAAAATAACTCGTAGCTACAAGACGTTAAAATAGCAATAATTTAATGAAGCGATTGTTCCATAGGAATATACACAACAGACTTTTTCACATCAATACGTTTTTTTAAATTAATGCAATGCTGTTATAATAAATATTTAAAAGATTTGTTGAATTTTTTGAAGAGAAACGTGTATAATTTCAAAGAATGTCGTATTTGTGTTGCTAGTTGAGGCAATATATTGAGGCATTGAGCATTCATGAATAAATTTAACCAAGCGTGAGATGACAACATCAAGGTTGCGTATGTACGTGACTTTAACGAAATGCCAATGGATGAAACGACTCCTTTAATTGTAAATTCAACAAGACCAAACAATGAGGACATACTAGAGACATGTCAACATTGGACAACCCGTATAGTAAAGGGTTTTTTTAGTCTCGCTACGTTAGCAGCACTCGCGCTCTCTATTACAGCAATTATTCTTGCAGTAAAGTAAGTTCACAAAATGAAAGTGAAAGTGATCGAAAAAGTAACTTTGATTATAGTGTAGTGTTCAATTGAAGTAAGCTCCTTTTTACTCCTACGATGCAACAATGAATACACTTGATTTTCTAAAGCCATGTATATAAATTTTGCTGAAAAATTTGCGTCGTGCGTGCGAGTGGCTTCGCTACTTCTCAAGTGTAGGTTGATTGCTTTAAAGTTACGAAATAAAGAAAATCTTTCTTTCCCATTTTTTATATTCAGGCAGGAGAAAATGTTAAAAGCAAACAAAGATGAACTTGACTCTGTACGGGATGAAGTCAAAACATGTTACAACGATTCGTACGAGAAGATACAAGAATTATCTCAGACCATCAGTAATATAAACGATAGTTTATATATTTTTTTAGCAGATACAACACTCAAATTGCAAAGTGAACTCGAGAGTGCGGAAAGTGATTTCAAAGCAGAAGAAATAAAAATGGAAAATGAAGTTTCTGGTATGAATACGAATGTGATTAAACTAGAAACAAATTTGGGGAGTTTTGAAGACAAAACGAACAAGAACTTTAAAAAGGTCTGGCAGAAATTTAAAGAGTTGGATAAAGAGATTGCTAACTTACCAAAAAGTATTGGATCTATTGAGAAATATGACCCAAGAAGCTAGTAATATGTTTGATAATGTGTATGTTGTCATTGCTGGTTAAATAAATAGTTCAACTCTGTATTCCATCCTCAACCTATTTAGTGCCATATTTCTAGTTTTTATGGTTGAAATTTGTTTAATCAAGAGGATATAAATGTTTTAAGAATTCCCTTGGTTCATAAATGATGCCATTAAACTCCTTAAAGTAATCACTCAGAATTTCATTTTCTATCTACAAATGTTCAAAATGAAACACTCTAAGCCAAATATGTAATGGTGAACATTTGCCTTTGAGAAAAAATTTGTCATGATTTTGTGACAAAAGAATCTTACCTTTTTTGAAGTGACGACTTTGATATCATCTTGACTAACATACATCTTTACTTCATGATGTTCAGACTTATCAGGTAATACAAGATAATGAGGTTGAGTTTGTTTCTCCTGCAATAAGAATAATATCATTTTGAGCTGAAGTGATTTTAAATAAATCGTAGTGTATGTATTTGTCTTACTGTGACTTGTGTACCATATTGGTCTTCCAACCAATCATTGGAGGCCTATAATATTCAAAAATACATTTATTAAGGCATACATAATACTTGTTTGAATAAACAACTTGTCCATTCTCTTACTCGAGCATGGTCATCCCAGCCAATGATAACACCATGATAACCAGCAGTATTGTGAACAAACACCTGACCAACCCTATACTTGATGTTAGAAGGTCTCAAATGTCTTGGTTCAGGATTATTACCATAATATCCCTCTTCACTTTTATACTTCATTACTTCAATGGCCACGCATTCACCTTGACTGTCGTTGAGTAAAGACCAAATATTTTTGAATTCATTAAGCCAAGTTTTGGGCAACAACCATTTCTTAAAAAAACCTCGATAAGACTCAACAAGTCTAAAAAAACATAAAGCAACTTTTCAGGATCATTTGATAGGTTAAATCTTTCATTGATACAGCAAAGTTTACCTTCGCGTGTTTATCGAGCTAGTGTCCACTGTTTCTGGTCCATTACTGACCAATAACGTTATCATATATTGCAAAGGGAATACCAGAAGAAGAACAAGAAAGTGCACAAGCGGACGAGCCATTATAGATGAGAAAAACTCCCAAAATATTGAACCTTTCTACATGTTTTTCAGATCATCAAATCAATGAAACATCGATGAAAGAAAAAAAAGTTTTTAGACTTTTTACTTTAGAACTTTGGTGATGTGTAGGGTTAGTGTTTCCATTCTTGACTGTTTACTTCCCGAAACTTCCTTTATCATACAATATGGCGGCGACAATGATCAAGTTACACAAACATAAATATTTGATTGTTTGGCGTTCTATGAAAAAAATTGGCGATTGTTTTCGTACAAGAGCTAATTTGTATACAACCTCGATTAAAGATAGAACAATGGATAAAATTTCTCTGAGCGCTGAAAGAATTGTCGGTTATCAGACTAACTTGCTTCGCTGTCTTTTGAGTGATGAGATATCTAGTGTCTTGGTGCAAAGTAAGAAATTGGTAGGATCAAGACATCCCCTGTTAAAGACAGCGAGAAACTTTATCTATGACCGTGACGAGGGCTTAAATTCTATTGGGTTGATAGTGTTATTAATTTCTCGAAGTGCGGAGAACTTAATAAGGGGATTTGAACCCTCTCCCCTGGGTCAAAATCATGTCAGTGGTGTACAGGAAAAACAACGCAAATTAGCTGAAGTTGCTGAAATGATTAACACAGGTAGTCCAGCCACAGTATAGGAATATACAGTACAGCCACTTCGCTGTGCAATTGGCTGCTGCTTATTTTAGTTTACTGGCTGCCATTTGCCATATCGTCAATTCTATTGGTCACACAATGCTATTTACCGGCTGCCATTATATAATCACATGCATAATAAGACCGAATAAGACATGCGTGGCACGAAAAAATTCAATGTAGTGGCCCTACTGTATGTTCTCTATACTGTGGTCTAGCCATGCTATCACTAAATTCATATTTGATTTGAACTGCTTAGCACTGGAAATCTTATGTGGATTCCAGATAATTTAGTGACTGAATATGAACTAAAATTTTGGACTCATGTTGTATTTAGGTAGATTAAAGTTACAAATACACATGAACCAAAAAACCACCACATTAATTTCATAGTATTTACTTCTGAAATCTGAAGTGCACCAATATGAATTTTAGAACCATTTACAGCACAATTTAACTTTATTCCAATTTTTTAGGGTATGCAATTCATTTAGGTATGGTGAATAGCAGTCAGTTTCGATCATCAGATGACATAAAAACCATGAACTTTGGCAACAAAATTACTGTATTATCTGGCGATTTTTTCCTAGCCAAAGCATCCGTTGGACTATCAGAGCTAGAGAACTCTAAAGTTGTAGAAATTATGGCAGAAATTCTTAGTGATATTGTTGAAGGAGAAACAATGAAAGACTATAAACGTTTAAATGAAACAAGCTTACATGATATGAATCATCTTATTTTTAAATCTTCTGGTAGTCTACTTGCCAAGAGCTGCCTATGTTCCCTCATGTTATGCCAAGTACCAAAAAAGGTAAGTACTGAATAATAATCATGGTACATTGCAATGACGTGTCAGTTAAATCAATTCTTTGTCTTTTAGCAACAAGATGCGGCATTTCAGTTTGGTAAAAATTTAGCTTTCCTGCAGCAAATACGCAAAGACTATGAAGAGATAAACACAAAACTTGAACATATTTCACTTCAGAACATATTTATTGTGCAAAACAAACACTTATTACCATCAAATGTTCAAGAGAATCCTTTAAACACCATAATAACCATAGACAGCAGCATACATAGAGACAATATGGACATAAAAGGTGTTCTCAAACATGCACATGACTGTGGGGCTGCAGCTTTAGATGGTCTTGAACAATTTCCTCAATCTGAAGCTAAAAGTTGTTTACAAAATTTTGTACAACACTTGATGCTTTTTAAAATATAAACAGTACATTTTGGTTGTTATTGCTCAATTCACATTTAAACAAAATACAACATTTAAATACTTGGTGAAATTGATGACTAAATGTCAAAGGGAAATAATTCAGCTTGTACAATAGTAAGCTTAGGATGAATTGTTTAATGATACAGAATACTGTCAATGTTCTCATTCATTCAGAGCATCAAGAAAGTCTCTTTCAATCAATCTCTCAAAATAATTGTTATTACCATTTTCCATCCTCAATCTTCTCTGTTTTTGTTGGATGTTAGTTTGAAGATCAAATAAAATGCGTCCTTCATTTGAAAGCATTTGCAAAAAAGGAAGCAACTCTTGAACAGATTCTAGATGATGCATAGTTAACAAAGGTTCACCAGCATGTCCGACCTTTTCACTCTCATAAACAGTCTCACATTTTTGCAACAATTTTGTTATCCTGTTGACATATGGTCTAAAAACTTTCACAATGGTCTTATCACTGGCTAACAAATCTTTTCCGGATTCAGATTTTTCAACTTTTCTTGAAACTTTTTCTATTTTGTAATCCTTGCTTACCACCTTTCCATTCTCCATGGTCTTATTGTGATGTTCATTTAAAGGTATCTCTGTCCCTTGTTCTGGCTTGACTACCTTCCCAGTCTCTTTTATTGATTCCTTCTCATTACTCTCCCCAGAGTTTGGACTTTCAAATGCCCAACGATACAATTGAAATTGAGGTAACTGTTCAGGAGGAAGGCATAATGCCATATCCAATACCTTACAAACAGCAAGGTAAAGACCAAGCCATTTCTTGCGACTATAGTTCACGTAAGTACTGGAACCAAGGACTGCCTCAGAATAGAACATTTGTTGATCACGTGCAGGCCTATCTGCCTGTAATAGATCGCTTTCCATCAACATGAACACATGTATCATTTCAGAGATAATCATTGGCCAGATTGACGTCATGTTGTCTGACATGCGTATAAGAAGCACGCGGAAGAAAAGGAAGACTTGCTCATGAAGGACAGGGACCTGGGGCATACGCAGGCACTCTGCCAGCCGCTCTTGCATCTCAGGAAGAAAGGACTGGTATTGATTTGATTCACTGCTAAATACACCAAATGACAGACGTCTCAGCATCAAAGCACGTTGTCGCATTTCCTAAATATACGAAATAATAGATTGTAAAATAACATAATGAATCGTAAGATAACTAAGATAGCACAATGGATAGTAAGATAGCACAATGGATAGTAAGATGGAAAAATGGATAGTAGGATAGCACAATGGATAGTAAGATAAGATGATGGATAGTAAGACAACCTGATGGATAGTAAAATAACATGATGGATAGTAAGATAATGTAGTGTGCAAAGCTAGACATGCTCACTGTCTCTTGATTTCCAAATAAGTTAAGTGTGGGTGTGCTTGTTACAGTTGCTCGCGCCATCAGCTCACGAAAAGAGCCCTGGTCCTGAGTTAAGAGATTGTCAATAATGATTCGCCAATTTCCGACGCAATCCAAGGGAATTTTGAAGAAATTTGCATCAAAGAATAATTCGAACATTTCCTTGCGCCAGGCCTTCCTTGTGTATTGATAGCCACTGAGCGAAGCAACCAGCGTACTGCAGGCACGGAAACTTGGAACATTGGCAACGCTAAATGATAAAAAGAGATGAAACACAAACATAGGGGCACGAACTTCCTCTACCTAAGTCATAAATGAGATTATTGAGCAAATAACCTAAGGCTGTTCATTATAAACTATGTCTTATTACTTAACTAGCAAATAAAAAGTCCTATGCTGATTTTATCTTGAGTTCAGAGACCTGTCGCAGAAATTGTGTTCCGTGCAAATGACCAGAACAGATACTTTCCAAACGAACTAACCTGTGATTTCTAAGATAAGGAGTAACATTGGACATGACATGAACAAGAAAATTGTAAACTCGTTCCTTCTCTTCACTACCAAACAATGTATCCAATAGTGACGCCAACAGATCACCAAGAACAATCAAAGCCTGCGTGCTGTGTTTGCTAGAGTTGATACCGCTTTCAACTTTTCTTGTAGACTCAACGGGAGGATCGTTTTTCACCGTAACATCATCGGCATTGTTCGCGGAGGTATCCACATCATTGTTTTGAGGTAATTTTATTACAGAGAGATTTCGACTGAACCACGCAGATGAACCAAGCGAAAGGCCAGCTAACGATGTGCAAGACTCAATTAAACGTTGGGCAACATCCTTCAAAAGAAGAAAAGCTAAATTTGACTCGTTATACAAAGTAGAACGTGAGTGGTCCCTAAAAAATTATCTGCGAAAACAAGCAACTCTCTCCTTATAATCTAAGATGAACTCTTGGGGGTTGAATTTGCGATAGCATACAATCGCTATGATTGATTACAGTATTTATCTATGGTAGAATACACCATACATTCTCTAGGGTTAAATATAGGATATCACGCAATCTTTATGATTCAATACAATACACCATACATTCTCTAGGGTTAAATATAGGATATCACGCGATCTGTACGATTCCTTACAATACACCATACATTCTCTAGGGTTAAATATAGGATATCACGCAATCTTTATGATTCAATACAATACACCATACATTCTCTAGGGTTAAATATAGGATATCACGCGATCTTTACGATTCTTTACAATACACCATACATTCTCTAGGGTTAAATATAGGATATCACGCAATCTTTAAGATTCAATACAATACACCATACATTCTCTAGGGTTAAATATAGGATATCACGCGATCTTTACGATTCCTTACAATACACCATACATTCTCTAGGGTTAAATATAGGATATCACGCGATCTTTATGATTCAATACAATACACCATACATTCTCTAGAGTTAAATATAGGACATCACGCGATCTTTACGATTCCTTACAATACACCATACATTCTCTAGGGTTAAGAATTAATAGGATAATATCTTTATGGATGATTACAGTTTAACATACATTCTGTAAGATTCGTTACAGGGTAGCAAATAATCTCTTTGATTGATTACAGTACAGCATACATTATCTAGGGTTAAAAGCAGGAGAGCATACAGGTTTCAGGGGGTGACCTCTGACGTAAGATTTTCATAAATTCTTTATATCCAGTGGCCACACTTTGGCTTCGTTAATATTTCTCAAGTGCTGTAAATATACCTGAGTTTCTTTGCGAAACTTTCTTTCTGCCTTTGTCTGTATCCGGAGAGAGAAGGAGTGAAAGTTAACGACCAACAAGAACACGGCAGGAGGGGGCAGGTTCATCTGTAAAGTATCTTTGATCAAGGCAAGAAAAAGGGTTTTTATTTGAGTAATATGATCGCTGGTACATCGCACGAGATACTCGTGCAAAAAATGCAAAAGACTTGCTTCAAAACCGTTGTCACGACTGGTCGCATCCTGATGAAGTATTTGCTGTATCGAAGAAATCAAAACTTCCAAAGACAAAACCTGAAAAAACCCAGAATATTCTCTTCTTAATAAAAATTAAATTTAATGGATTACATTTACAATAACAATTAACAAGGTATATACAAGATAGTCTTAGACGAAGTTAGAGAATGATCTTCAAAAGATTATCTTTACTCAGATTATTTTTATTAAATAACTACTACGTGGATGTACAGTAATGATAAGTCTATCCCGTACAGAAAAATTATTTCTCAAAAAAACTCTGGATTAATAAAATGCCTTTCCTCAAGCAAATGAAAGAGTGACACAAAAATTATGTTGCAATTAGCTAAATTTGAATAGTTGAGTGTTTACTTTTGCTCTATTAGAGTATGGAAGGAATTACCTGTTGAAAGACTAGATTAAGATTAAAATTAAGTTATTATGATGATTGTTTACCTTAATATCAAGCATTAGTGAGACCAAACGAAGTTGATCATCAGATACAACAAGGAAAAATTTGGATTTCATTTCACAATCTTTCGACGTCACACTCTTACTACTCCAGACATCAGCGAGAGATGCGATAAACACAATGGTGTGATTCATAGCGATAGGTGTTAGTAATTGAAGAATATTTTGACGTAAGGTCTACAAAAACAAAATGTACCTGACAATAGGAGAGCATGCATCTTATAGTAATTAATGTCTACAAAACAGTCTATAGGAGAAAAATAGCAGGCAAAAATTTTTGATCGAAAACAATCTACAAGACAGGATGTCAAGCAATCGGTTAGAACGAATGAAATTTAGTTCTTATTCATAGTCTAGTCCTGTAGATGTTACTATGAAGAAAAAAACACACGATGATTCCTATTTAAGAACATTTTCCCACAGGACCACAATTTTAAAATGATTGTGAAGAAAAACAACAGATGATCCCTGGTGGTCATAAATATCCATTATGATCCACAGTAACAACAAAAACTAATTCCTACCTTGCTTGTTCCCAAGAGAGCCATACGGGAAGGTAAAGATTTTGTGGTTTGATCTAGGTCCCACACCCCCCATACTGAGACCAAAGTCGCGATCACTTGAGGTAATATGGTCAATAATCCTTCGCGTGCCTCAAGAAGTGGTGTGGGGTATTGGTGGGATGTAGATGGATCACTGGACTTGTTGTTTGATGAAAATGCATGTAAAAGGTTGGCAAAGATTTGCATGGAGCGGGCTGGCTTTTGTGGTGAATCTAATGTATGGACGTTCGTTGAAGTTCCTGGATAAAAATACAACAACAAAACATCAGAAAAGTGAAGTTCGTGAAATATTATAGAACTTCCGTTTAACTATTGGTGTTGCTTATACTTCTGAGAATTACGAGTACTCATACCTTAAAATTTTCATTTAAACGTTTACCTAGTTGAGCATATTTAAAGGAAATAGGGAGTGCCAAAATTTTCGAAAGTTATTGTAAATATCTGAGAACCGGAGACATATTTTGATATAATAATGCGAAGCAGATCAAATACTTTGTGATACACAATCCTTCATAATTTCATCTCTTCACGTGTAAATAATCGAGTATAGAAGTCAGACTAGATCGTAAATGTTATTTTGAAGCACATTAAAAAAATAATGTAAGCAGTGATATTACCCTACTCTATGCTGTATAGTAAAGACTGGTGACGAGACAACATCAAGTAAACAGAAATGACATTATTACCTGCTCTAGGTTGTTTAGTAAGGACTGGTGACGAGACAAAATAAAGAGAAATTATATTATTACCTGCTCTAGGTTGTATAGTAAAGACTGGTGACGAGACAACATCACGTAAACAGAAATTACATTATTACCTGCTCTAGGTTGTACAACGAAGATTGGTGACGAAACGGCATCAAGCAAACAGAAATGACATATGGACGTTAGACCAGCAAGTAAAGCTAACAAATAATCTGGTGGAAAGGTCAACTCTTGCTTTCTCATCGAAGATAAACTATAAAATAGTTCGAACATGTCCTGTAATAATGTTCATACTTCGTAGCTTACTGCATAAGAAAATGTAACACTAGAAAAAAGTTATTTATTTTCATTAGTTTAATAATATGTAGCAATCTTACCAGTTCATTTGCGCACTTGCATGACCTTCAAACACTCTGGTGACGTCATTTATATTGGTGCACATTTGTAACACAACAGGGACAACCCATTTTTTGAGGTCTGCGCCCAAATAAGGAAGACACTCAACTATAAAGCCAGTCCAACGGCCTCTCACTTCAAAATCATCTTGAGCCTTCAGACAATGTAATATCATATTCAGCAGCATTTCTTGAGAAGAGAGAGATTTCCCCTGACGAAATTTTGACGTGTAACCCTCCACATTCGGACTAGGTTCTTCACCCGCTTTCATTATTATTTCAAAGTCTGCGTTGCCATGGTGATCTGGTGTAAGGGCTTCGACAGTAGAAAGAAGCGCATGCTCGAGAACAATCAACGATTCCATGACTTCTAAAAGTTTCGACTGCAGTATTATTTGATCTGAGGTGCTGGAACCATCGTGCGATGCTCGGGAAACCATCGGTTCCGGAGATATATTGCCGACAGTAGCGGCCAAACAATGAATGATTGCCTTCTGAACTCGACAACGAGACAGTAAGTCCGTGATGAAGTTACCAAAACCGTGACCGCCCTCCCTAACCAGTTTAACAAGTTCCCAAATCAAGTTTGTCAGGCATTCTAAACTGGATACTTGAATCTTAACATTACCATCAAGTAATTCAACAGTCATGTTTGAAGATCGATAATGACTTCGAATGAAGTATAATGCGATAGTGATTAGAATCTCCAAATATTTACTTTTATTTGGCCTTATCGACGTCTTTCCTGTCGACATCGATGATTCACCTAAAAAATTTTGTATCATACAAAAAAAAACACGTTAAGAACCATTCGTAACACAGATTCAATCATGGAAATCCTGTATTTTACCTGCTTCATAGAAAAGTGGACCGTAAAACCCATTTCCAAGTAAAGATCGTTTGTGACGAATCAATAATTCTTTGATACGTTCCTCATAAGGTCCAAACGAGCTGCCGATGCTAGTGGCGGCTGATGCACAAACGAACTGCCTCGGAACAACACGGAGGATGCCGGAAAGTGTTCGAAACGCATAAAGTATACGATGATAATCACATTTACCACTGTAATGGAGTTTGTACATGTTTGATGTTGAATAGAGGATTTGTGAGGATGTTGAGGATTCCTCTCCATTTTCTAGGGATAATGTGGGTAAAACGTGATAACAACAAAACAATTGAAAGGATGAAACGCAATCAAGTGCTATTTTATATACGAGAATACTTACTTTCAGTATGCCTCTTGTCCGGATCATTATCCTCAAAAGTTGCGTGGTGTTCCTTATTTATATCCTTTGTTCTATCTTGCACCTCTTTGTCCTCATGCTCCCTCTGATTATCTTTCATCTGTTGTCTTTTTTTCTTCTCTCGTTCACAATGGAAATCTGAGACACGGGCAGTGGATGGATGAAGGAGCAGCAAAAGAAGAGGTTCCAGTATTCGACCAATGTCCCCTTGTTCAAGTGAATGGCTAACCCACATCTTAGTAAGAGATCTAAACAATAAAAAACAATAACATAAAACTCGTAGTTCAACAATGGCCATTTCAAACAATACGTGGCCATCTCTACCTTATTTCAGGTTCTTCAGATTCAAACCCATCTAACATTACAAACAGAGACCTGCACAATGAAATAAAGAAGTCAAAAGACAAGAGTTTCATTTACTAGGGAGACATTGAGTTGGTGTGCTATTGACTAGATTTGGGAAAATATAATCAGACCTGTCAAATGTTCTCAATCCTCGTGCAGTTCTTCCTTGTACTGTTTGAGATAAAATACTCTTTGCTATATGCCAGAGGTTAGCAAACCTCTTCAGTGCCTCAAGGCGACTTTCCTGAAAAAACAATACATCCACGGTGCGATAAGTATATTCACATTCTTCTTGGTTTTTGCTTAAGTATTATATTGTTGGGTTTGACTGAATTCTCAACGCTAAATTGATGGATGTTAATGTCTACAACAGGAATAATGTTGAGCAGTTTTCATGTTGGTTTAATGGACACTGAAATCGGAAAATACTGGAATATGTAAATCACTAACTCGACGATCTTCAACAATCCAACAATCCTAGCTAAGTAAATCTCCGTTATCACTTCCTGACAGAACAGACCTTTTGAGAAGCAACCATAGATGATCCGATGACGTTTTCACATAGACGAGGGCTTGGGGTCAAGTTATGAAGTTGTATCAATAGTTCCACAGCTTTCCTATGATGGATGGGAAGAGGACGACCCAATGTTGACCATAAACTGCTAGCAATCACCTGGATTAACAGACACACTACGAGTTGAAAATTGAGCGATAAGCAAACAGAAAAATGATTTGTTATAGGGTATAAGATTGATATGAATAGGAACAATGAAGGTCATAGTATGGATAACTGTTGTTAGTGTGATCAAGAAAAGTGGCAAATTATCTTTTACATTACATTACAGTACACACTTTTTGAATAAAGGTACCCTGCATGACTTACCTTGTACATATCAGACTTTTCAATCAAAACAACGTCTTCAATAGTAAGAATGGGGATAACTATCACTCCAGTTGAGGCAAGACCAGCTGGGTTTACAGATAACGTAAGATTGATGAGGTCAAGAACGGTAGAGATGGAAGTACTTTGGATGTCAAAGTCTGCAATCTGATGACAACAAGCAAGTAAACATCGCAACCATATTGGAGGATGATCTTTATCTAAAAATATATATATAAATTATTATTATTATAGACAATATATATTTACATGCAGGTTTACCCTTTCGCTGCATGCATATAACTAAACTAAAATTATATTAGTTGAAAAATTCCATCTAAAAAATATCATAGAAATTAAAAAAACTGCTGCATTCTGGATCGGAATCTAACTATAGATTGTTCCTTTCATAAATCTATTTGTAGTAGATTCCGAAGTTTTCCACCTTGAGACCTAAATGATTTCCTCCCGTTCTCAGTTCTGACTTTAGGGAGGATGAAATTCTTTCTGTTATTTCGTGTTATTTATATAGGGCTGGGTTAATGTAAAATTCTACTGTGTACAGTTGATTAACTAGAGTCTCTTAAAGACTGTATTACGTAGAATTGTATAACGTAGAAGAAATCTTTTTGCGGAGATTGTATGTAATGAATCATATAACAACACTAAGCATACAAACAATAAAGAAAAAACATTGCATAAAAAAGAGGATCCTCTCCAATATATAATGTATAAAACATGACAGTAACTACTGGAAAAATAAAGATGTCACTTACCCCCCACTACGCTCTCCAGTACTAGAGCAATAAAGATGTCACTTACCCCCCACTACGTTCTCCAGTACTGGAGCAATAAAGATGTCACTTACCCCCCACCACGTTCTCCAGTACTAGAGCAATAAAGATGTCACTTACCCTCCCCCCCGTTCTCCAGTACTGGAACAATAAAAATGACACAACCCCGCTATAAGTAAGACATGAAAGTACAAGAGTAAGCAAATACTTTAATCAAACCTCTCTCTTTTGAAACTCCACTGCTTTGCATGGGAAAACATGACAACTCTACCAACAGTTTACACATGGCAGTAAATGTCCTTGCTTTATCTACGTCTGAAGAGCACGTGTTGTTCTTCTCACTGGTATGTTTTTGTATGATATGACGCAATGCCATCATTATCAGTAAGTAATTTTTCCATCAGTTGAGAGTCATGAAAAATCTTCGATTTAAAGAATTCCACGATAAATTTTTCGTAATGCTCGATACATTGTTTGATTAAAATTGATTGATTGTTTCCATCAGCGATGCTTTCTTCCTTTTCTTTCACATCTTTAAGCAACATCCCTGGTGTTAAATTAAGTTTCTTATCATCGCTACTTTCCACATCCTTTGATCGTTTGTTTTCTTTTGAATTTTTCTTATTCCGTTCACCTTCCACAGCATTTCGTCCTTCTTTCCTTTTCTCAATTCCTCCACTCTCAGACGTGTGACCGTTACCCGAAGCTTCCCCCTTTTCATTATTAGTTTTGCTTCCACTTTCATTTATAAACAATTCGTGTCCTTCGTCTTCTGACTCACGTGACTCCCGCGAATCATGTAACTGCTCATTGGGTAGTACTCGATCTTGCTCGCGTGATAAAGTTGTATTAACTTCAACAATTGCATCACTTGGTTCTAACTTAAGCGAGTCATTAATGTCAAGTGACTCTTCAAAGTTGTCACGTGACTTCTCGGAAAGTTTGCGAAGTGAATCCAGTCTGCCTTGAGAAAGATCATTTTCTATTGTGTCGTCAAATGTTTTCGAATCATATTCTATGGATTCTTCGGGACTGAAGTTCTCCACAGTTGGACTTAAACTTGGAGTGGGAATATCTCCACATAGGATATGCTCACTAATGTTTGTAGAAGGTGTTAGTTTGGAGAGGAGCTTAGAGCAAAGCAAAATACCTTCTTCAAGCTGATTTAAAGTAAATTTCTCACAACCTTTGGTAAGCTCTAAAATTATCTGAGAAAGAAGCTGCGCCAATGCTGAGATTCTGTCTCTAAGTGATTCCTACAGGAGATGATTATTTAAACAAACACAAATCAAGATAAGACAATAAAATATCTAGGAACAGTACACTTTTACTACTCACCAAAGCAACAATATTCAAAATGTAATCCGTCAGTCTAATTAAGTCAACAAGCTGCAATCTTTCGTCGTCAATTTCTGTGGGATATTTTTCTCCATCAGAGGTTTTATCCATTTTACCATCTCCCACGATATCAGATTCTGTAGAAACAGGTTTAATTTCTTCTTCAGTGGTTTTATGTACCAGTTTTCCATCAAAAACTACATCTGTTTCTCTAGTGCATGTTTGAAAAAGTTTGGCAATATAATGCCACATGAAATATGGTTCAAAAGTGTTGAACAATAGATTACTGGTCTTGATAAGATCATCCATTAAATTTTCTGATTCTGAATCCTTTCTTCTCCCACCGTGACCCTCATTGTCCACCTCTTTCTCAATGAAATAATGATGAGCAAAGTAAAGATTTTTGAACACTTCAATAAGAACATCCTCGAGAATGGCAGAACCGATTTCTGGTTTATCTAACAAGTTTAACAGGATTCTGAATGGTTTCAAAAGTTCTTTTTTACCAATCTTCCTTTTCAGCACCGCCTCGACCCCTTATATATAAAATAGAAATTGAATTAATCATCTCAAACCATCCTGCTTTAGAACCAGTTTTTTAGGTAGATGATGAAAATGCAAGCAACATATATTACCTGCAGTATTCTGACGTCTAAACAAAGCTTTCATGGCATCAACCATAAGCGCCTTGCCAAACATATCAAAATATTGAATACCATTGCTGGAAACCAGGGATTGCCAGACACCATTGCCGCCCAAAATCCAAGCATACAGTCTGCGATTCAATGACATATCTCTTCTGAGTAATACTCCCAAGGCTGCAGTCATGATGGTTGACATATATGTGGTAGGAAGGTTGGGGACATGAAGGGGTAACAACAAAATCAGGAAATCAAGAACATTCCGTTGTACTAGTGCCAGACTATCATTAAGGGCTAGACAAGCCTTGAACCTAAGAAGAAATTTCAAATACTTCACTTAAATAAATTAATAATGGCAACTAATTGTACTGGTACAGATTAATGAATAATCATCTAAGACTCATCGTAAAATAGGTACCATGAAAAAAATATTGCTTCCAAGTAAATGTTGTTGTTCACAAGGAGGTAACTTCTTGTCCAGCTGGGAAAGAAGGAACATTGTAGCAGGAAGTCGTACTGAAGGAGTAGTTATAACAGATTGCCAGAGTGCATCAAAGAAAACATCCTTATTTGTGGCCATACAGAATGATTCAAGAAGAGATACTGTCCTGTGAAAAGAAATTGCATCATAATATTGAATATGGTTCTATAATCTCATGTACTGATGGTGATCAATATAATCCTTAAGTATACCTTTCAGTATAATCCGATCCTTCTTCAATCCCTGGAAGCAACCCAAGCACCAATCCTGGTAGACTGGGCATAAGTGAACATCCCAGTGGAAGGAAGTGTTGTTCATAAAGCTTCATTAAAACTGGTTTAACTGACATAGCTGAGTGACCCATGAGTGGAAACAAGCCAACTGTGTAGATAAACAGATCCTCAGCAAGATTTTTCTTGCCAATACGCTCAAAAATAAGGTTGTAGGTTTCAAGAGCTTTAAGATGAACGCCACTTGGTAAGGCAGGATGCATGCACTGCGATAGACGTTTGCCAATCATCAACTTTCGAGGAATTATGGTGAACTTTGAGGGACCATTTAATGCCTGTGCAAGTAAGAAATTAGATCAGTGAACGGGTATGCTATAAAAACTGACAACTACCCTTTCCAAACAGACATTCGTATTGAAATCAGAAAAAATCCACACTCACTGAACTTCCTCAATAGTTAAACTTTTTAAATATTTGTTTTACTCAACAGCATTTGCGATAGTAGTCAAAATACTCGCCTTATTTAGCTTGCCAAGCGCGGAGATTAAATCAGCCCATTCGCTCGTTGAGTCAAAACTCTTCAAAGCTTTCTCCACAGCTGCGATATAATGACGATATTTGCTATCAGACAGTAGCTCAACCTCTTCGGAAGACATTGTGTTTCAAGCTAACTTTTTTTCATTCATTTGCATGTACACTTCGGCATATCTTGGGTCGTTCGGTTCATTAAGTGAACTGGCTCATACCAAACGAAATTTGTCGCCAAGGTTAATTTTTTAGAAAACAAAATAAAATAGTTGCATTTCACGTTAATTTCTAATATTCTTCGGTTTTCATAGTACACGAAATGAAAGTATTAAAAAGACGACTTTCTTCCCTTTCTTGTTTATGCTTTGAAATTGTACAGGTGTGGTGTTTCCACACTCTTGAAAATGAAAACTAAATATATTTCATTGCTAACGGTACATGCTGATTTGATCCGTAGTATCCATGAGTGATGTATCAAATATGAAATGTAGAGTAAAGTCAGGTAAAATCAGATGTTAAAATTCACTGTTTGATGCTAAATTCGCTGCAATATCTACAAACATTTACTTAGTAGATGTACTTTTCAAGCAATAACAATCTTAAGCACTATCATTAAGTCCAACAAGTTCCGCACTAACTGTCCACAGTTTTTTAGCAATATCATCATCCTGTGCTGTATCTGATGGAATTTTTTCTTTACAGTCAGCAAAGTACAAACCAGTTACATTATCAACCTCTTCTGAGACAGCAAGATAAATATTTGTCTGAGCTCCTTCTTTTGCAGTTTTAACAAAGTAAGGATAAATAGAACCAATTATGACCTGCAAATATCGTGGAAAATGACGACCCAGCTCAGTTGCTATAGCACCTGGATGGAGAGAGTTTGCGGTCACTCCACTCCCTTGCAAGCGCTTTGCAAGCTAGAGAGTAAATAAAATATTTGCCAGTTTACTCTATCCAAAGGCATTAAAGGAATGTAAAATTTTTCACCATTCATGTTGCCAAAATTGAAATTCTTTGTTACAAACCAATGTCCCATTGATGACACAACAACAATCCTTGAAGGTGCAGATTTTTTTAAGAGGTCAAAGAGTAAATTTGTCAACAAGAAATGACCCAGATGATTAACACCCATCTGAGTTTCAAATCCATCTTCAGTTTTGGTGAAATTTTGAATGGCCATAACGCCTGCATTATTGATCAAGATATCAAGACGATCTTCATTCTGTATGATATCTTTAGCAAATTCACAAACAGATGCTAAAGAAGCAAGATCAAGTCATTTTGCTACAATGTTCTTGTTCGCAGTCTTCTCAATAATGTAACTCATAGCTTTATTAGCCTTCTGTATGTTTCGACAAGCCAAGATCACTCGAGCTCCTCTCTTAGCAAGATCTTCAGCTGTTTCTTTTCCAATACCTGTATTTGCACCAGTTACGATCACCGTCTTACCTTCAAGTCTAGCTTTACTTGTGCAAACTCCTCCAGCGATGTAAGGTCTCAAAATAAACATGTGAAATATTGAATACATTGCCACAAAAATCGCTAGCTTTATGAGAAAACTCATCTTCTTACAATAAAACCGTTATATTGTATCTCAGCAGTGGTTATGCAAATATTTACAGGAATAAGTAGAAAACATCACTGATTGTTAATTTATTCTGTGCTCATTAAATCACAGCATTATGCCCTAATGCGAACGCAACATTCAAAAACGTTGAATTTCAGAGTAATTCTAATTCCAAATCAAGAAAGTTTGTCTTTCAACATGACAATTTATGATGGAAATCTGATTTTGTTGCATAATTAACAGTTTTCCATCAGTTGAATTCATTCATGGTGCAACAAAATGCTTCACAAGATCAATCCATGATTTGTGATGAATTTTAAACTTATAAAGAATTTGTACACTTGAATAAAACAAAGATTAAAAAAAGTTGAATAGTCAGTATTTTATGACAGGGAATTTTTATTGAACTATTGATTCACTGTTTCACTAATATTTTGTGCACAGAGCACTTTAGTTATTCTAAGGTAAAGCTTAAGTAAATTAATGCACTTGTACATCCTGTTGTTAGCAAGTGGCAAAAAATATAGGCTGTCTCCCCCCTGATTTGACTCATGCACAACAATGCAGTCAACAAACAAAATGAAAGTTCAATTTTAGACCTCATCATTAAGTCCAACAAGTTTCGCACTAACTGCCCACAGTTTTTTAGCAACATCATCATCCTGTGCTGTAACTGCTGGAATTTTTTCTTTACAGTCAGCAAAGTACAAACCAGTTACACCATCAACTTCTTCCGAGACAGCAAGATAAATATTTGTTTGAGCTCCTTCTTTTGGAGTTTTAACAAAATAAGGAGCAATAGAACTGATTAGGACCAGTAAATATCGTGGAAAATGACGACCAAGCTCAGTTGCTATAGCACCTGGATGGAGAGAGTTTGCAGTCACTCCACTCCCTTGCAAGCGTTTTGCAAGCTCTCGAGTAAATAAAATATTTGCCAGTTTACTCTGTCCATAGGCATCAGCGCGATGGTAAAATTTTTCGCCATTCATGTTTTCAAAATTGAAATCTTTTGTCATGACCCAATGTGCCGACGACGACACAACAACAATTCGTGAAGGTGCAGACTTTTTTAGAAGATCAAGGAGTAAATTTGTCAACAAGAAATGTCCTAGATGATTAACTCCCATCTGAGTTTCAAATCCATCTTCAGTCATTGTGAGATTTGGAAACTGTGCCACGCCTGCATTATTGATCAAGACATCAAGACGATCTTCATTCTGTATGATATCTTTAGCAAATTCACGAACAGATGCTAAAGAAGCAAGATCAAATCGTTTTGCTACAATGTTCTTGTTCCCAGTCTTCTCAATAATGTCACTCATAGCTTTATTAGCCTTCTGTAAGTTTCGACAAGCCAAGATCACTCGAGCTCCTCTCTTAGCAAGATCTTCAGCTGTTTCTTTTCCAATACCTGTATTTGCACCAGTGACGATCACCGTCTTACCTTCAAGTCTAGCTTTACTTGTACAAACTCCTCCAGCGATGTAAGGTCTCAATATAAACATGTGAAATATTGAATATATTGCCACAAAAATCGCTAGTTTTATGAGAAAACTCATCTTCAAACGATAAACCTTTATCTCTCAGCAGTGGTTATGTAATATAAATCGTACAACAACCGAGTACTTGCCATTCGACACCAGGCGGTACTCGAACGGAATATCGGGGTCGATTGCTGACCCGGTACCAGTCGATACGCACACCCCTTTTCTAAGTAAATAAATGAATCTAATACTTCTTGAAATTCAAAAACTTTTATTCAAGATCTCATTCAAAGAATGGTAAAAACTAAAACGATAGTAGTAGGACTTTAACTCAGTTTCACGTAAAAAACATGGCCCGTTGATTTTACATACACAACGTATTAAGTTCCTGCATTAGATATGCAATTAGGAATATGCAAATTCGTTAAACGCCCTTTTTTAGGAGTAAACAATAAATGAACAAATAAATGTGAGTTAAAGAAATATTTGATGCTGTAAGAGTTTTTGGCATAAAAACTGGTATCGAAACTCAAGATTTTCAATCAATCTTGGTATCAAAGCTGGGTATCGGAATAAAACAATAGAACCAGCACTAGAAAATGTTGCGATAATGTATACAGTACACTTTACAAATTTATGCAAGATTGTGAAATCACATGACACATGGGAATCAAATGAACATGTTGAAGAAAAAATCACTCATTGATAGGGATCTTAGTTTGATCACAGCGAAGTAGTAGTATTCTGTGATCTTGTTTTGATAATAGCTATTGCACATTGCACATTGCACATTGCACACGTAGGATGACAACGCGCATGCTCAAATACCCAAGGTTACTTCAGTAACGTTTGCTGTTGTTGTTGTTGTTCTAAAACATAAATGAGATTATTTTTATGAGTGAAACAATGTTAGTGAGGCTACTTAGTGATTAAATGAACTCGAAAGACGAGGAAGGTTGAGTAAACGTTCGGAGGCGCGCTGACTTTTACTAACCTCCCATGGCTCTCGACTACATTTAATCACCGAGTAACCTCACTACCATGGTCTTACTTTGTGTAACCTCTATAAGAAAAATCTCTGCTCATTTGATTTTATATCATATATTACCGCCGTGACGCCATGTTGTCATGACAACGCTGCCGTGCCCTTATTGATCCATCAAAGCTTCAGAAAACTGACCTGTAAAAAACACTGTTGAAATATACATACTGTGATTAAACTATCAAGCAAGTAATACTAAGGTAAGTTGTACTCTTACCTTAAAATTATTAACATTTCTCAAAGACTGAGGGAGTATCTTGTTGTTTTTGTGCAAAAATGATATCAGTCGCAATGAGATAACTTCTGGTAGATCTACAACATCATATCGATCATTCTTATGCCATTCATTTTGTTTCCTATAATACAACGTGACAAGAAACGACTATTCAGAACTGGGGCCAAAAGTATAATGCATAATTTATAATTATAATGTATTCGCCAAAGTATTCATAAATTATAACATAATCTCCTAGTCGATAAAAAGCGAATTTGAAAGATAAAGTTTTCTTAGCGCGTTCATGTGTTCAATAAATAGCTAGTCCACAATCAAAATACTCACTTGATAAAGTCATCGTCAAGAAACAATTTAAATAAAACTTTTACACCACTAAATGCGTTCATAGTCCACTCTAAAGGAGGAAATAAGGACAACATTATTTCATGCGATAAATTGGATGAATTAGACTTTAAATATGAGTAGGTGATTCCACGCCATAAAAAGGAGAACAACATGCAGCGAAACAATAGTGCGAGTTCAAATCTCGTCCAAGTCACATGTTTTTTCATGTGCATATAAAAATCGTGTTACGAATAATATTAAGTATATTCTCTGATGATGGCATTGGAATACTGCTATCGTGGCGAGAATCTCTCGTCCATACGCAGTTTAAAAGAGATTTGACTCGTCTCCAATCCCTGTGGGCTTGGTAGCTCAACAGGTAGAGCGGCGGACTAGTACCCGAAGGTGCAAGTTCAAATCTCGTCCACGTCACATGTTTTTCATGTGCATATAAAAACTGTGTTAGGAATAATATTTTGTACATGCACTGAAGATATATCTTTTATTGTAGCTGTTATTGCATTTTAAAACAACACACAACAAATTTAAGATGCTGCATAAATGTATAGTTCGCCAATATCATTAGAGCGAATAGTCAAAGAAAATGTTTGAAAGTAAAGCAGCATTTTCTCCATTTTACGTCACTGACGTACGGCGCAGAGTCACTCACTTCTAGGCCCAAAACGGCCTAAGCGAATTTCCGACCAATTAAATACATAGCAAATGTTCTTAAAATTGATTTAATTATCTAAAAAAGTTATTTCCCTGACCCAGATACAGCTTAAATATGAAAACACCAATGTCGTAAACAGCCAGCAAGTTCAGATCTTTATCATCATTTATTTCTTTGAAGATCTATTGCGTGTAAACACCAAATATTTCCATGGCATGAAAATTGCGAACTGGCTACGGCTCTATAAAACACCTTATTCAGTCATCCTAATTCAAGCAAAACCTACCCTAAACTCAGCATATAAATTATTCAGAATACTATAATCTTTTCACCTTCATATTTTCTACTATGCTGCGTTGAATGCAAAGATGACACAAATTTCGTATCGATATTAAGAATCCAAATCTAAATAGACACTAAAGGTGATAAATGTGTTTCTGATAGGACAAATATCTTTCAATATTGTATCATCAAACCAGCAAAATTGATAAGTCGTTTGTCTGTTTTGCAGCCGTAATTTTATTGACGATGAACTTGTGACATAGGCAGGTTTTCGATAAACTTTTAAACTTTCGGGCTAGATATTTTTCTTCGCCAAACCCCCTACAAAACAGAGAATTAAAAAATATTCACAAAGTCAGGACTTCATAGAAAGGCTTTATAAGATTTTAAGTCGTTTTAAGTGAAACTTGACAAGCAATTTTTTATTATTTTTTATGTAAGTGCAAGACACGTATAAATTTGCTGATTTTCCTGCTAAGTCATCAAAATATTCAGTTCTCAACATTACAACGTAAATTACAATGGCAAATAAACCAAAAGTGAAAACTTCTTCTTACGTAAAAATATCTTGAAGGATGGGAGAAACAGTCGCGTAAAGAGATATAGAATGTTTGAATAGTTTAACACTGACATATTTAATTAATTCCGGAGATAATCTTCGTGTTGTTCGCTGCTCTAAATAACAAAAATAATAATTTAAAGAGACAAGAAGGCAGGTAGTACCTCAAAGTTGGATAATATCACAAACAATTTGAAATCACGCATAGTAAAGAAAGAATACAAAATTTTTTATCAAAGAGCAAATAATAAGAGAATGAAGATAGGTAAATGTCATCACTTATGAAATTGTACACTTCAGTGTTATAAATAACCGAGAACTCTCTACTCTGGATGGTTATCTCTAACCAAGTACGATTACGTATAACAGGTATGATTACCTCTACCACCATGCAGACTTTATCCTGTCACTTTGTGTCATAAATGATTATATAGCCTCTCTAGCTGCTATGGTTACCTCTCCAGCCATATAGACTCTCTAGCTGCTATGGTTACCTCTCCAACCATAAAGACTCTCTAACTGCTATGGTTACCTTTCCAACTATAAGGACTCTCTAACTGCTATGGTTCCCTCTCCTGCCGGATAGACTCTCTAACTGCTATGGTTACCTCTCCAACCATATAGACTCTCTACCTGCTATGGTTACCTCTCCAACCATGTTGAGTCTCTACCTGCTATGGTTACCTCTCCAACTATAAAGCCACTCTAACTTCTATGGTTACCTCTCCAACCATGTGGTCTCTCTAACTGCTATGGTTACCTCTCCTACCATAAAGTCTTGCTATTTGGTATGGTTACCTCTCCAACCTTGTAGTCTCTTTACCTGTTGTTGTCACCTCTCCAAGTTTAGCTTTGCATTTACCACAAGAAACACCATTGTTATCTTTCTGTAAAACAAAATACAATAACCATGGGAGCAAAACATCAAAACAGATTAATAAGCCAACATACCATTGAAAGAAAAACGTTGTTTGTATTTATAGCAAGAGGATGAAGAACAATGTACCAGTCACCAAGAAAGCAATCATGCTCCCGTGGGTTTGTGCAGTCTTTGAGCTTAAAAATTGCATCATTACCATGACAACACCAGTTATCAAGATATTCTTGCCAATTTTCTGAAGGTAGTTCCAAGACACGTGAGAATACTCTATTAAAACAATTTTTTATTTAAATATGGATCAAAGTTGAAGATTGAATTAAGATTTAGAGATTAAATTATTTCTTGGATTATTCTGCTTTAGTTCCATTAGTTAATTCATTTCTAGAAGACAACTTCACCAAGTAAAAATCGAAGTTTATTAAAAATTGATTCAACATGTAGATTAAAGTAATTTAGAAATTAATATGAAGTCAATTGATGATTCACAAGATGTTTTCTCCTTCAACTTTGCCTTTTTATGTCTACCCTCTTTATTTTAAACCATTCACTATCTTCTTTATCTTTAGAACAACCCTTATTTACCTTCTTTGTGATCATCTAGAATAAAAAGTAACTTACCTGTTTTGATGAGTAATAGGGTACTGACATTGTTTGCAATGGATCTTGAGCATTTGATCTTGACCAGAACATGATAATATATACTCTAGCTGGGAGTCATATTCATCATTTACAAATTCTTTGAGATTGGCCAACTGAAGACGTAAATGTAACTCGTGTTTATTTAAAATTTGAATGGTTTGTGCAGATTGTGGTTGAATTGTAAAATCTAACAAATAAAAATAACTTACTTTACTAAATTATTTGGACATAAGAAGATTTTTTCTCAAATTAAGATCTTATTTCTTACATTAATATAAGAATATTTTTTAGCGTAGCAGAAGATTTTTCAACAATGTACTTTCATAAAATCTACTTTACATGCAGAATTTAAAGGTTATGCATATATTTAACATATCATCCACCCACATAAATTTCTCATTGACTTCAAAACTTCAAATAACAAAATTATCAAAATAATATATGAAGATTGAAGATTCGCGTCCAAAAAATAAATCCTATATTAATGTAAGAAAATAAAAGAAGAAATGATTTGAGATTTGTCAAGTCGTCGTGACGTTACACGAACAGCATCACCTTCAGTTGAAAAGCTCTTCATTGATATAATTCAATGCATAAAACAACAACCACTTTAGCGCACCTTTCAATAAGATTTCATTGTCTGATTTCTCATTCCTCCACGAAATTCTGTCGGCTGTCAAAACTAATCGACTCTTGCCAAACGTGCTGTACGATGAATCAAAAATTAAATTCAAAACGTTTATTTTCTTATGAATTTCGCCAAAATACAAAAGAGGGAAGCCTTGTACTTTTTGTACCGTCATCTTTAATTAAAATCAAATGTCGTTCGCCAAAAAAACAGAAAATATTTCAAAAGAAAACCCAGACAAATCAATGCTCATGACTCAAACTAACCGCCATACCTGAGCCCGCACATGGGTAAGAGTATGGTGTTTCCTTCATCTGACCCTTCCTGAAGTGTACCAATTTTCAATATGTTGTTATAAGGCAGGGGTCTCCAAACTACGGCCCGCGGGCCAGATGCGGCCCGTTGGGCCTCTCAATCCGGCCCACAGAGGCACTTAAGAAAAAATAATAATATTATTAAACAAAATAAACTTTGTGCAGAAAGTTCACGTTATGTCGCAAGCCAACTAGCAAGAGTGGCTTACGTCAATTTTTCTCCCAACTTCCTACTTCCGTTTCAAGCACATTGCGAAACTTAAAAAGCTGAAGGATAACATGGAAATTTTTTATATTCTTCGGCCCTCAACATGCTGGATGAAAGTTCATGTGGCCCTCTGGCTGTAAAGTTTGGAGACCCCTGTTATAAGGTATTCCGTTAATTTCTAATTTGGTGTTCTGGCTAGGCTTTTCTTGATTCTGCTAGCACTTTTTTTAGCATAATTTGAGAAAACGAGCATAATTTTTACAATGCTTGAGTGAAAAGCACGGCTAGCAAAATTTGCATATTTGTCTAAGTTTCATTACAGCTTATTGAAGCAACGATGTGGTAATTGTGGTTTCAGTTCAGCTTACTTTACAACTCAATCCAAACAAAACTTCGTAGTCAAGTTAATTCACCTTATTATTTATGAGTTAAGAATTAAGAATTAAGAATTAAGACATGTTTGTTCGAACAATCATCAGATCGTTCTTCTCAGTTATTTGACAGTCAGTTCCTCAACCCGACGATGCTATCCAAGAGACGAGCAAACTCAGCAATATGCATACAACATTAAAGTTTAAATGGGAACTTAAAGCTTTATTTCTTGGTGACAATGTGGTGATCAACGGTAAAGCACACCATTCGTTGAATTTACAATCATCAATGGTCTGTTGGAAATAATCCTTAAATTGGTCATAAGTACATGTTCTTTCTCCATTACAACATGGCAATCTGACAAGTTCTTCGTTTATGAATACTTGAATCTAGAGAAAAAAAGAAAAAGATTAGCGAAGACGAATTTAAATGAAGAAAGAAAAGAGGATGGCCGTCGTTTATTAAACTTTGAACCTAAAGAAGTAGAAGATTAGTGGAGACAGACGCCGATAAAGATAAAGGAGAGAATCAGTGGTCGCTTATCTATTAATGTTTGAAGCAAGAGAAGAGAAATAGAAAAGTTAGTGAAGACAGACGCAGATAAAGAAAAAAAAGAGACTGTCAAGAAAACATGTGAAAAAGTAAAAAGCAAAGTAAAAAGCAAAATAAGAAGAAAGAAATGAAGAAGTCTAAGGATAAGATGAAGAATAAACTTGATTTTAAGACTGGACATTAAGAAAAAGATATCAGAGTGAAATTAAGACATAACATTTCTACTGTCATTAATAGCATCTTGTAACATTGAACAATGTAACAATGAACAACGAACCTTAAATTCATCATTTGAACTACAGTTGTAGAGGACGAAAGCAATGTTGGCGGACATAGGAACAGAACGAGAAGGGAACTTACGATTACCGTCGTATGCTTTGTCATAATTATTGGCCTGCAGTCGAGTGCCGTTTTCATACAGACCAAGTATTGTAAAGAGAGAGAATAATGTCCCTGAAGAGGCAAAACGAAACACCCCACGAGCCTCACTCTCGCCTTTTCGAAGTCTTTTATAGAATCAATAATGTCAGCAAGAAGAACGCAAATTATTTTGTAGCTTAATTCGTTCCCCGACGAATGTTCGTAAAATTCTTCAGATCATCTGCATAATTAAGAACGGCTAAATCATCTGCATCCAAGAGAACACCAAGATGGGTCGTTATGATTCATTATTCCGAAAGCACAAAGACTTCTTACAGCGTCGACAACTTCATAACCAAACTCTTTGTTATCAGTGTAATTTAGACGTTGTTTAATCTTGCGTTCAACGTTCTTGATCTCAGCACCCGATGTAAAGATTTTAACTTCGCTCATTCCATTTTCCTCGACATCTACTTCATACCTAGGGCAAGCATCGTAAGAGGAAAGGAGTTTGTCTTGTTTTTCAGGGCCAGCCGACTTGATAGCAAATGGCTGATACTTGAATTGACCTAAAAAAAGAGCAACATGCAAAATGTAAATTCTATAAGGTGATAAAGGTTCATGGTTAAGTCATAAAAAGAATGAATAAATGCCAGATGCATCATGCGAATGGTAACTAGAAATAACCAAACGTACCTACGTTGGCACAATATGACAGATGTTTGTCCATATCATAATAAAGATGAACCTGTCACATCTATTGAGTTCGACATATATACTTGTATCATATTCATGCAATGATAAAAAATGAGATCTAGCAGCAAAAGATTTATGATGGATGTATATAAGGTAATACATATGAAGATACCTGACATTCCTCTGCCTTCAAAGAGCCCCATTGCAAACGCCACAGCACTTTGGGAAGTCCTTCGTTTATCTCTAGCGATAAATTTATAATATTTATTCCAGTAAGACTTATCAAATATTCCCGAGAAGCGTTGTCTAAATCTTCGAGCAATGTTGAATTGCTCTTCTTCTCCTCTCCATGATAACTCGCTTGTCATTTTATCTTTCCAGTCATCCCATCTTTTCCATGGCAAGCTAAGATTCTTGTACTGAAATCTTCCGGTTTCTTTGTAGGTTGTCGCCAGAAATTTTAGCAATTTATCTATGCTTTCTAAATTTCCACCGCTCGGATATCTGGAACCATGTCTAGAGAGATATTGAACATGCACTGGACGGCATCTCTCAGGATATTCAATGAACAAATTTTCTGCCTTATAGATCGTTTTTGTGCCATAATAAGTTGATTCATGTCGATGTGCACTTATATAACAATACTGGAAAGACAGCAACAATACAAATCCATGCAGATTCGTCATGTTGATTATTTGTACAGAGGTAAATGATAAATAAGTATTCCCATTTTATAGATAGGTCAGCACAACAAAGAGGACTTCACATATTCCACCATAAGGCTTCCAACAATAGGAATGCAACTTTGGTTGTCGATATTGACGTAAGTATCCAATGACTCCGCAAAATTGCCAGTCATGCGTACCTCATATTGATTCAGATGGAATGAAGCATTTAATCTGAAATCGCAACACTTCGCGAGGGGTTTTCAATTAGAAATTTTTGTACACGTGTCGATAATCTGAGTATTAATTTGCAATTTGTGCCGATTGAGCGTAAAATTGGTTTGCACGAAGCAGACCTGAAAAACACTTTGTTGAAGACAGGCATCCTCTCAATGATGCAAGAATGATTTACACGTGAAATATTGATAAAATTGCTAGGTAAGCACGTGTGTTGGCCATGTTCCAACTTTGTAATTGTTGAATCACATGAAATCAACAATACATCGAAAATTTTACTACAACGCAACCAACAGAGAACCGTCACTGTGAGTGCATTGCATAGACTATTTATTGTACTATTCTCGAAATTGACGTTGACGTTCTAGAAAACGGACAATGTAACACTACTTCACTTTAATTTTCTAGAAAACGAGACAGTGTAACACTACTTCACTTTGATTTTCTATAAAACGAGACAATGTAACACTACTTCAGTTTAATTTACTAGAAAACGAGACAATGTAACACTACTTCAGTTTAATTTACTAGAAAACGAGACAATGTAACACTACTTCACTTTGATTTTCTAGAAAACGAGACAATGTAAAACTACTTCTCTTAAATTTACTAGAAAATGAGACAATGTAACACAACTTCACTTTAATTTACTAGAAAACGAGACAATGTAACACTACTTCACTTTGATTTTCTAGAAAACGAGACAATGTAACACTACTTCAGTTTAATTTACTAGAAAACGAGACAATGTAACACTAATTCACTTTAATTTACACGGCATCATAGTGAACATGTATTTCACTATCTTACAAACTTGGGGTAACAAGCTCAACGAAAATTATCTAAGCTAAGATTGTTTATAAAGAAAACGAGAAAAAAGATCATAGAAATACCTAAAAACGGTATTGGGAATAAACTTAAAAATAAATATATTGTAGTAAGAACAAGGTATATGTTCACTATATGTTTTTGTTAATGCGACACTAGAGCTATATATTATCCCAGTAATAAAATGTTTCTCTTGTGTTTTTCAGTTTACGTCAATCAATAAATTACCTCATTTCAATTTACTTAATAAACAACGGAAGCGGTCGTATTTAGAACTAATACAATCTTCAATGACATTATAGAAGGGAAAAAGTTGATGAGGGTGTGGTCAACAATTGCAAGGACAATTACACAGGTTCAACTGAAGAACGATCAATAATGAAAACATACTCAAACAATATTACGAAAATAATGTTTTAATATTCGTCAAATACATCAATTGATCATGCCAAATTTAATTCACGAAGGGCATTATATTGTAATGATTTGTTGCTAATACTTCTAAATTTAGGTCTCACATGTAATCTAACACAAAAAGCTAAAAAATACCATACTGCAACCTTAAAACAGAGTATGTATGACATATCAGTTTAGTAGGCAGCAACAGGAAATAATCTACGTTTTAAAAACCTAGCAAACCAACAACTAGAGCTCTCTGGTAGATCTCTGTTGGGCATTTCTTTTAATCTCTGACTCACGGTGTTATAACGATCGTTGAAATCAGCTTTCTTCTTAGCAACCTCTTCTTTACCATCATCGGAAATAGCTTCAATCGTTTCGTCAAATATGTCGTTCACACGATTTACTCTTGATTCAATGTCGCCCAGTTTTTTATACTTGTCCTGTAAAACGTTAACATTTTAAAAAATTTAGTTTGAAGAAAGACCTTTTCGTCGAATTAAGAAGAAACAAAGTTGGACGTTTATCATATATTTAAACTAAAGACAAAATGCTACAAAGACACGATCGCCATCTCATCGCATGACCACGTGATCATGTGACCGAAGCAACAAAAGGATAAAAGCTCTACGCTTAAATTTCATTAAAAACTTACTATTAAAGTTCTATTAAATTTTTAACTTACAGAAAGATTTTCAACAACTTTGATCATATCTTCAGTTAGTTTTTCTTTCTCTGCTTTCATTCTTTCTCGCTTTTTCTTCTCCGTTTCTTTTTCTTTATCTTCTTCCACGGTTTCATCTTGTTTACCACTCGTCAGATCTTGAAATTTCTTTTCCATGCCGTCCAACTCATCCAGAAGTATTTCAGTATCACTACACCAAGTATCCACAATCTTCTTCTCTTGTTTTAACGATTGCATTCTTTGCTTGGCCGTTTCCAACTATTCATGAAAATTGAATTGGTAACATTTTCATTATGGTTTTTCAAGATGTACAAACAGGAAAAGAAATGCAAAAATTACCAACAAAAACAAATACGCACTTGTGCAGTTTTATTAAGAATGCGTCCTAAAAGTTCATTAAAAACTTTATCAAGATCTGCAATTTGATGTTGTATCGACTCTTTAGCGTTATTATTCTTGACGATAGCTTTCTGTAGTTCCTGGCCAAGTGCTTCCACTTCTGTCACACGTTTCAAATAGTTTTCTCGCTCGGGCTGAAGAGACTGATAATGAACGGATGCGTTAGATCGACCGATGAAAATTATTAAGTGATACAAAGTTGAATTAAAACTAGAAATTATACAAACTTTTATGATATTTAGCTGCTCACTGACAGCATCTTCATCAGCAAGGTTTATGGCATCAGCAACTTGGAGTTGTTCACTTTTCTCATCGATCCAGTTGCGTATATCCGCTTGTTCTTGTCTTAACCGTGTCCATAGTGAAACGATGTTTGATAATTTTTTATTTCGTTCATCACACCATTTCACGACCAATTTCCAACGCTTTTCCACAACAGTCAACTCCACTTTCACTGAATTTTCCAATTCTTCGATATTAACAACTTCTTTCACCAGCAGAGATATGTCATACACCTTCAAGTCTTCTTCAAAACGCTGTAAAAGTATGATAGGTATTAATAGAATCTAGCAACAAGTGGAAAATGAGGTAAAATAGAATTTAGAATGAATTGAGTAGTGGAAAGTGAGGTAAAATAGAATTTAGAATGAATTAAGGATATGAAAATGAGATAAATAAATTTTGAATAGATTAAAACGTGGGAAATACCAAGGGTGGGTTGATTAGGATTTAGAATGTATTAAGACGTAGAAAAAAAGGTAGACTTTCAAAGTGCTCGAAAGGAAGATATAAAAAGTATACAGAATGTATTGAGAAAAAGCGGCTGAACTTGCCACGTGCTCTTCTGTAAGTTTCTCATAGCCTTCAAAATCGTCAGCTTCTTCTGAAGTATTTTCAATTCTTCTTTCTAGGAACTTTAACCACTGACTACATCGTTCTAGTTCAGTTTTAAACGTCATTGCGTATTCTCCTCGCATTCTGGAATCATTAAATTTACAATAAAAGATACAAGATACAAACATAAATCGCTATACTAAAAGGAAAATAAATAGATTTATAGCTACAAAACAGACCTTGCGTCCTTCGTGTAAGCTGCTTCTTGAAGGTCGGCGGATTTCTGTGCCAAATCACTGAGCCTCAGGTCTATTGTGTCTGCGTCCTCAGGTCCTAGAAGTTTCGCTCTTTTTACATCCTCTCCCTTCTCAAGCTCTTTATTCACGAACAAATGAAGAGATCGAACATCACGTATCATTATCTGAAGAGAAGAACAAGTTACAATAGTATTTGAATAACTAGAGAACACACCAAACATACACAAGTATACCTTGTTATCCTCCATCTGATCCTTCGCAGTTTTGAAGTATGTAGACATGGCCTCGTCTGTTTTGATGCTCGTTCTCCCTTTATCTATAGCAGTCTCAATTGAATCCAAAAGATTTGTCAAGCTTGTTAATAGAGCGGTGTAGAGTCTAGAAATATAGAATTACCAGAGTTGCAAATATGGATGAACAAAATCTTTTTAAATAATAATGCATAGTTGACAAATGAAAAGGAAAGGACACCATAAAACTGCAACATACTTTTGTTCCTTTTCATGTAAACTTTTATCAACGTATTCAATTCTGCCAACTAATGACGTCATAACGTCATCAATATCTTTAGATTCATTTTCTCCCAAGATTCCATCATCGACAATGATTTTATGGATTTCGAGCAATTTGTTTGAATTCTGACGACCATCATCAAACTCGGAACGAATTTCCTAGAGTTTCAAAGACAAAAATTTATAAAAATACAAATATCGAACGTATTTGAAAAACGTCGAAATTTTTTCCTACCTTAACTTTGATCAGTTCGTTCTTGCTATCTTTTAAGTCCTCTACGTTGGATTTAATATTTTTTTCTTTTTTCTCACATCCTATTAACCACTTTATTGTAATCTTCTTTTCTTTCTCAAAGAAATTCATCATGGCTTGATTTAATCTGGAATAAAACAAACAAAATGAGACACTCACTCTACGTTACAACAATTTCTTCTATATAAAGGAGCAAGTAGAAAGTACGAAATAGTTAGCTTAAGTACTTTTTCTCTAGCCTTCAGCTATTCATTCTTATAATGTACCTTTTTCGACCCTCTTTTAACTGTTTATCCACATCAATCCTTCGTTTTTCAATACTTTTACATATAGTCCCAAATTCCTTTTCCGTCTCGGCTGCGATAAACTTATCATGACGTCTCTCTTTTAAATACGAATGGATTTCCAAGAACTGCTGTTGGTGTTCAGATATATCTTTCTCGGAAACCTTGAACGACATAGATGATATTAACATGTTGAAGGCGAATAATGATAAAGTGCAGCCTTACATGGAGTACAGCAATTTGCTCATGAATTGCTTGAGGAGAGGAGCCTGGAGGTGAGAGTTGTTTTATGATAATTTCGTCTTGTTCAACAAAACAAAGACAAACATCAAGTCTTTCCTTGCAGTATATCACGATAGTCTCAAGTACTCTAAAAAAACAAAAATACATAATAAAATAAAAATAAATTTACACAGCCTTGGTTAAAAACACAACAAATGTCAATACCTTATTCTACACAATTCAACAAATTTTTCCAATGAATTCATTTTTGTTCTCAATTTAGTTAAAGTTGACCCAATCTCTTCCTCTTTTTCAGAATTCTGGGAATGACTATCAATTATACGTCGCCCCAGGACTACAATCTTGTTCATACCCGGTTTTCCTTCAGTCGCAAGTTTCTCAAGTACTCTCTGAAACAAAAACAATACAATTGGCACATCCCATAAACCAAAGTTAACCATAACGTGTGTACCTTGATCTCCAGTTCTGCTGTCTTCAGACTCTCGTTATCGCGTTCTACAATCAAATGAGTACATTCATCGTTGACATGATCAATCCATTGCGTCATTGAAGTCGTTTCTGATCTCCATTCCTCCAAGGTCAACGTGTCTGGATCGTCATCACAACGCTGCTCAGCCAACTGGTATTCCACTAATTTAATTTCCTTTGAAAAAAAAATTTGATTCTAAATCTACCAACTTAAGGCAAAGCAGTCAACACAACTGATATTAATTACTTCATTATTTAGGTTTGAAAATTCAACAATTCTGTGGTTGATATCATCCCAAGATGATTTCAATTTTTCGATGCGGATGTTCAACACGTTTGCGGAGTTTTCATCCAAGTCTTCTTTACATTCTGCCCGAGTTCCTCGGCCCAGTTCACAGAAGCTTCACAAGCCGCGCGATCTTCACATTTTATCTAATACAAATAAGGGAAAAGCTCTAAATATTGCGTCATTGTAATACACAAGATACTAAACTTTACTTACAACGAATTCTTTAATTAGAGTCTTATTTTCCTCGTTCAATTTCTCTATATCTTGACTTTTCAAAACTCTTTCGGAAACATCCCTCTTTTCCTCGAAGTGTCTCTCTTCCACAGTTTGATTGGGTTTTTCTTCCAAATCATTCAGCGCCAAAGGGTCAGTTTTTTCTTTCACAATATCTTCAGGAGGCAAACTTTGAAGTAGTTTCTTATTGGCTGAAAATTTGTCCACTATTTCAATGACGTCATCCATCCAATCTTGAGTGTCGTCAATGTGTCTGTGCATGGCATTTAGATGGCGACCGGATGACTCAAGCTAAACAGCAGAATATAGTATTTTAATAACATCAAATCATGACAAATATTGAAATGTTTTGAAGATCATCAAACCTCTCCAATCTTGACTTGAACATCATTCGCCATGTTATTCCAACATTCCATGAAATCTTTCAATTGTTCATCAACAACGGCGTTCGCTTCACACTCGTTTCCGAGAATATTCTTCAAGTTTCCAACTATCTTTTTCAAATCAAGAACTTCAGGAGATTTGTTCTCAATCTGAGACTGTATCACCTTAAAATGAGAAAACTTGATACAATAAAAACACGAAGTATCGAATCTCTTAAATTTGGTCGTTCCTTCGTTTCTCTGCTTGAACGGTGTACAAGCAAAATGAGAAATCCGCTCGACAAACAATTCAAACTTTATAAGGCGTAAAATTAGTCATAAAGGAGAACAAATTATAAAATAAACACAATGAAACGCGTGCGCTGATTGGTCTAGAGCTGTGTTTGCATTAGCCTGTGCTAAACACATCTGAGCTCAACCAATCAAATCAATCAAAACAATCAATCAGTGAAAGAGAATTTGCAAATCGATCATGAATACATTTTCGAGTGAAAATTAAAATGTTTGTTTTTTTTCGCATTATTGTTATTTTATGAAAAAATAAAAGATGTTTTCGTGTTTGCACTGGCTTATGCAAGCCTCGGAGACGTTTGTGAGAACTCTCGAGAATGTGCAACACTCGACCTTCAGTCTCGGGCTTGCACTGATCTGCTCTCGAGTTCTTCCAAAGGTTTGCATAAGCCTGTGCAAACATAGTAAACATCTTTTATTTCTTAAATGCAAAAACCATTTTCTTGTACTTTCATCTAAATACCTTAAGTTGACCAAGTTCTTTCCTAACTTCATCTTCGTTGCCTACATCAACTTGATCCTTCAATTTCTTTAATTCTAAATCTTTTTCATCCATCCACTCAACCAAATGTTTCAATTTCTCGCGCATTTCTTCCCACTGTTCCAGAATTGACAGTAACACTTGTCTTCGTTTTTCTGCTGATAGTTTGATAGACTGTAATCGGTTGCCAAGGTCTTTTGATGTCGCTTTAAGTTTGAAATCTGTATTATTCATCTTCTCAACTTCCTTCCTGATTTCTGCCATATCCTGTTTTTCTATCTCCGCCAGAAACTCCTAACAAAAACATGATGGAAACACTAAAGACAAAAATGGACTCGAACTAAATGATACAAACAAAAATTTTACAACCTCGCTTTCTTTCACTTTTTCCTTTACGTCATCCAAGCTTGACACGGAGACGAATGACGTCATAGCATTGGAATCATTCTGTTCAATCCATTGCTCTCTTTCGTTGAGAATATCATGAAGTAACGCCAGAAATTCCTCGTACAAGCTGTGTGGCGAGTAAAATGGAGATGCAAATCAATATATCACCAACATTGTTGAAGATTTATTACAAATAGACAAACCTTCTGTGGTTCTCAAGTTCCACTGAAGGAAGACGACCAACTCTCTTGATAAGTTCACGACGTTTTTCATCAATCATTTCATTCGTTTCTTTGGGAAGTACTCCTGACTCAATGATTTCTTGAGGACGTTTCACTGACGTCATTGTTTCAGTGTATAAATTGTTTACACCAGTCACGTGTTCCTACATAACAAAGATATCATAATGATGTCACGGTTTGTGCACATAAACGTTATACCTGTCATGTGTCCCCCCCCCCTACAACACAATGACATTAAACTGACGTCACTGTTTGTGTAAATAAATTAACAACACCTTTCACAAAACAATATAGTTGTAATGAAAAGAAAATAAGAAAAAATACACTGTAATTGTCACAGACCATGGATTCCTGTATCTGCGCTGTGGCTTTTCCCAACTCTCGCGATATCCCACTCGGCTTATCCCAGGCCTCCGCTTCAGCAATCTCCTTCTCGCTAGCGTCCAGTATATTTCCCAAACGCACTTTTAATGTCGTTTCCAGTCTAAAATTATTAACAGCAAAATACTTATTTGAAACGATCCAAAAAGATGTTAAATGAGAATATGCAATAGGCAAAGTTAACAGCTAGGTGACGACAGATGCATACGTCAGCACAGCAGGCAGTGAAAAGGGTATATGAGGCGTAGGCTCAAGAGTCAATCATAACCATTTGTAACGCGACGGCGAGAGCTTATAGCAGTAAGCAGAAAAGCAAAATTGAGTGAAATACAAATTTTGTTTTGTTGTTGTTGTTATCGACTGTCTATTTATCTTTGTCTTTGTCTCCACCATATCGGTGTGAAAGTGTTAGTAGAGAGGGGATGGTCAGCTTAAGATATCAGGAGCATGAATCCTAATCTCGACCCAAGGAGCATTGTTTTGGTGCCCAGGCCACCCCTGGATCATACCAGCTAACACCAAACCATGCAAATGGTAAGTAGAGTGAACCAGGTGTTAAAAGAAACTCAATACTTAAAAGATGCTGCTTATAATTTGTGCAAAGATTTTCACATCACATCATAAAATTCAATGGGAGGCACACATTCAACAGTATTCAGTTCTTGTGAACCCTAAATACTATCTTTGTAGCAAGTACACTTAACCTTGGTTGATCATAAAAGGCCATTTTGTGAGTAACGATGTAAAAATAAACAAAAGCGCGCAATGCATCTTGGTTGTCACACATTCTTTAAGATTATAAAACATTACAAACTTTTGTTGCTTTTCTTCAACATTCTTCTTCAATACTTCATAACGATGACTCATTAAATTAACTTCAATTTGATTCTCCTCTATTTCGCTTTCACTCCAAATCATTTCGACTTGAATCTGATTAAAAATCTTCACAACTCGAGCATTTAACTCGTCCCCAGTCGATAGATCTTCCGCAGTACTCTTCACTTTTTTGTATTCAACTAACGTTGTCTCAACATCTTCAACAGAATCATCAATTTTTTTTTCTTGTCTTTCCATCTTCTTCAACCATTTCGTCAACTTATTCATAGTATTTGTAAATATGTCGACAAGATTTCGTCGCGTTCTGCCGAAACGAAAATAAAATAAATCATCTAAATAACAAAACAAAGTTCTTAACCATTAAACTGATGGAGAAATACAGTCTTGTAACATTTAATGTACAATGAATGTAGTTCAAAATATGTAATATCAATTCATTGAATTGTTGAGATTATCTTGGACGATGAAAATTTTTCCCACCTCTGTTTTATTTCATTGTACAGCTTTCTAATGGTTTTTCTCTCAACCGACAAATTTTTCAATCTTTCCTCGACAAAAGTCACAAGTTGACTATCATGGATGAAATTGCTTTCCTTCAGTTCATAATATTGTTCACTAGTTTTCTGGAAAATTTTCTCATTTTCTTCATGCCTGAGCTCGGCTTCCTGCAAAATATAATGAAACGTGACGAGGAATCATAAAATCAAAATCATTAGTATTCGAACCTTAATGATTTTAAATTGAAGTGCAATCGTTTCATCATCCTCTCCGACAGGAAATATTTTCTCTTTTTCATTTTTTTCTTGAGCCAGCAATTTCTCATTCTCCCTAATGCGCTTGTGGAAATATGTATAGACAATATCATCAAGTCTAGAGGACAAATGAATAACAAAAAGATGAAACAGCTGTACTAAATCCAATCAAAAGGCAATGTTTGTAATTCATCAAAAACATAAAACAGATCATAAAGCAAGACAGATCATACAGTACGGCAATGGCTCAAAGTTTTTGTACAATATAAAACACGTTAATATGTTTGTTTCAGTTCAAATCACGTGTTTATTGAAATTAAATACGTCACAATGATTGTCTAGGATCTAATGAATAACCACATAATTACACGGTGAATGTCACATGCGATGGGAGAATTGCTCAGTAATTTGTAATGTGACTTTCCACAATGATTGTCTAGGATCTAATGAATAACCACATGATTACAGGGTGAATGTCACATGCGGTGGGAGAATTGCTCAGTAATTTGTAATGTGACTTTCCAACAATGATTGTCTAGGATCTAATGAGTAACCACATAATTACAGGGTGAATGTCACATGCGATGGGAGAATTGCTCAGTAATTTGTAATGTGACTTTCCACAATGATTGTCTAGGATCTAATGAATAACCACATAATTACAGGGTGAATGTCACATGCGATGGGAGAATTGCTCAGTAATTTGTAATGTGACTTTCCACAATGATTGTCTAGGATCTAATGAATAACCACATAATTACAGGGTGAATGTCACATGCGATGGGAGAATTGCCCAGGAATTGGTACAAATAAATAAAAAAAAGTTAATTTCTAGAAATGAAAGTTTTGGATTAAAGTTATCAATTATCAAAAAGCACTTCCGTAAAATCTTACCTGAAGAGGTGCAATTGGACAACGACTCTTAAGCCTTCAATTTCTTCATGCAAAGAAAGAACAGCTACGGCAATTTCTTTTTTCGTTTCCTTAGAGGCAGGACCATCATCTGGCATACAAAGTTTAGCACCAGCGAGACGTACGACTTCGAGTTTTGGTAAAATATCATCGTCAATTTCTTTTTGGAATTCCTACCATTAAGAATAATGTGTCATAAATGTGTAGAGTTGGTAGAATAACAGCTACAACCAGAAAAATGATTTTCCATCATATGAACAAAATGAACGTTATGCAAAGCAATCGTAAGAGAAAAAAAGAAAAAGAAAATACTGCAACCTGAACACTAGAGAAATCCTTCTGTATCTTTTCAAAATCACATTCATTTATTTTTTGTAGCTGATATTTCAGTTTCACGTCATTGACAATGCTGTTGAGATCGGCCACCTTTCCCTTCCATTCATCCAGTGTTTCCACTTCTGCAACAGAATCTTCATGCTTCGGTATCATCATATCATAATGAAGATAGGTGACAGACTGCAGTGACTTGACACCCTGGGAAAAAATAACGAAGAATGGGAAAACATTTTAAAAAGGACGTCAAATTTATGGTTTGAATTAGAAAAGTAATGTCAACATGTGTTTTTCATGTAACCTCAATCTTTCTCCAAGCAACTCTGTAAACGGCAAAAATAAAATCGTCCCATTTCTGGTTTATGGTCGTCAATTGATCGCCAAGTTGTGGTGTGTTATAAGGTCCAGTAGAGAGTACTTCATGCAATTCATTAATGTGATCCATTTTAGCTTTATATTCGGAGGTATTAACTCGACGAAGCTGAATAAAAAGAAATTTTATACTAATTAATTTTTTCATATGATTTTCTATAATTGCTCCGTTCAAGTTGATCGAGTTCTTGATTAAAATAACGCTATAATCCAAATCCAAAATATCTGTCGTTTGTTCGAACTCGCTGGAAAACAAGCAAATTTTAAAAGTCATCTTTAAATAGATACACAAGAATCTAGAATGCATAACTCAACAACTAATGACGCCAAAACACCGGCCTTAGGAAATTCATAAAGACAAAGATAGCAATATAAAATATCTTTGAAAATAACATATGACGTTGACTATTCAAGAACATGGAAATCTATAGTCAAGAATGAATTATATAACTAAAAATAAATAAATAAATAATGTTGAAACTAACTGCAATTTTCTCTGTGATTTCATTAACTTTTTCTACCATCTTCGCGCGCTCGACGTTTTTTCCAGATTCAGATTCTCCATCGTCTTCTATCGGTGTCTTGTCGAATTCTTCCAGTTCAGTGGCTGCCTCGTTGAAATCATCAATCAAGATTGTCGTAGCATCAATCCAGTTATCGACGGAGTTCAGATGTTGTTGAAGTGTTTCCACTTGATATTGACGTAATTCACGCTAATTATATAAAAAAAAGAATAAAATGGTAAAAATGGAAACAATACGATACAATAAATATTGAAGCCTCAACAAACCTCGTTGATGGCAGAGGAAAGATCATCAATAAGTTGATTGTTTTGTTCTATGACAATCTTTTCCTGTTCTTCGATATTCCTGCTTGCTTCAGTATCATTTCCAATACTTGAGACAACATGCGGCAATGTTTGCTGTAATTTCCATATTTCCAATGAATTCTCCAACGATCCAGCTTGCATGTCCTAAAAATGGATTCAATAGATTTAGAAATATGTTTGAAATGTTACCACTTCACAATGTTCAAGTGACTAAATCTATATACATAACATGAACATAAATTATACAAAATGCAACAAAATAAATATACATAACATGAACACACATCAGACAAATATTATATTAAAAATAATTTTATGTTGATACCTTAAGAATTTCAACGTTATCTTTGCTCGGATCGTTCTTTTCGTTTAATTCTAAGATATCCTTCTGTCTTGCATCAATGAAATATTTAATCCTTTGCGCCTGTTCTCCAAATTCTCGCCATTCAGCGATCCCTGTTTTCAAATACACAGTTCGTTTGGTTGCCCAAGAAAAAAGATTCGACCATCTTGAATGAAGATCATGAAGTTTTTGAAGTGTTTCCTTTTTTATCTCAATCATGTTTTCAGAATCTTTCATCAACTGAGATACATCGTGCAGTTTTAACTCTTCAAGAAACGTCTACAAGAACAAACGTTACGAAAAAAGGGTTCGCTAAATTCATCAGAAACACCAATACTCCGATTAGATTCAACATGACGAGAGGAATATATGTCTGAGAAGGGCATGGGAGATCAACAATAAACAATGAAGATCATTCACAAGTAACAAAGATCATTTATGGATAGTGATGATGACTTACATCGTGATTTTCCTGAAGCTTGACGAATCCCTCAAGATCCGCGACATTTTCAGTCGGTGGTAATTCAGTCCTTTTTTCATTTTTCTCCATCCAATTTTCATGATTTTCAACAAGGCTTTCAGTCAATAACAGGAACTCGCGATTCAATCTGGGACAAATAAGAAAAAATACAAAAAGCCTAAAAACACAAAAGAGAAATCATTGAATTGTTGTGAGCAGACCTTTTGTACTTGTTAAGAGCAAAGGCAGGAAGCGATTCTGTCTTTGGTGTGACAGTTTGAATGCGCTGTACAATATTTTCTTTATCGTCATTTTTAAGATACTCGTGTTCGCTGACAATTTTTCCTGTTTCTTTTAAAATATGAATAGACCTTGTATGCAACGTTTCAATGACGAATACTGACGTCTAGATAAAGAAAATTCAAAAAAGATCAAAGCAAGGCAAAAAAGATCTAGCAAGGATCTAAAAGACGGATCCGGGATCTCGTTCAGGAAGGGGCGCATCGTTTGGAAATGTCTTGATACAACAACATTTTCATTAACAAACTATTGAATTATCCTTTTTAATGATGGGCTAGCAACCCCCATCTAGATCCACCCCTAGATATAGCAAGAAAGATCAAGCTAACGATTTTCGACCTTCATTTTCTTCAACTGTTCCTTGGCTTCGTTATATTCCGGGGAAAGTTCTTCAGGCTCAACCCATGTCTCTGCTTCGTTCACGGCCATTTCAATGGACTCAAGCGGAAGAGAAATTGACTTCAACAATGTGACATACAATCTAAAAGATTATTCATCAAAGTCCCATTAAAATATAATTTCCAAAACAGCATTTTAAATTGTATAATTTCTACAGTCCACATATTTTCCACACCTTTTATCCTTGCGTTTGATTTCTCTTCGAAGATCATTGTACATTGTAGTATAATTAACGACATATTTCTCCGTTTCATCCAGTTTCTTTTCTTCAAATACTTTCAGTTCAATCATTCTTTCAGACAGTTGTTTGAAATGCTGGAACTGAGGCTCCCCCAATCTAACATCTCTCGTCAGTTGCTGCGGGTAAAAATATATAATTTGGCAAACATCACAAGGAATTATAAGCACAAAGACACTAATCTTTACGGTGTACCTGGACTTTTCTATACTCAACATTAGAAGCTTCTAAACCAACAGCATCTTCGTCAATATCCTTTAATTGTTTCGAGCAAGAACTGAGCCAGCGGTCAACTTGTTTCTTTTGTTCATTTTGATATGAAATCAACGCACGATCAAGTCTGCAAAAATCAAAACAACGGAAACCAAATTATTTAATTCTCTTTAATACCTCCAGTGGCGCCGACAGGTAATTTTTTGGGGAGGAGCACAGCACCATCAAAATGTCACTTAAATATTTTACGCACGAAATGAAATGATCTTCCAACTACGGATCCAAGGATAAGACAAAGTTTAAAAAAACACACTGTCTTTTGACTCAGATTTGGATGAATTTGAATCAACCATAAAATGCTTCATGCATTTATTTTATTTTACCTAATTTTAATACATGTATCGGAAAAGCCTAAATAACAGCTTGATGTCTCTGTGATAAATATAGAAACTACTCTGTACTCACCTCAATTTTTGATCTTTTAAATGAAAGCTAACGAATTGAGAATTTACAAGAACAGTCTCCTGCAACGCTTGAATTTCATTAATTTCAAAGTCCGTGTACTCAGGGGATAGAAGCATTCCGTTGCTGGAAAGCAGCACATCATTAAGACAAGGTTTACCATACGCCTCCATGGCATCTAGACACAACTGCAATCAAAGGATATTAATGGCAATCAAGGAGTCTTGAATATACACTATTTGGATTATAATAAGATTGTATTTATTGAATAATTACGGTAGATGTACCTTAGTATCCACCTCACATTCCTTCATGTCCTCATAGTTCCCGCTATCGATATCGCGAATATTCATTTGCATGTTGTGGAGAAAGTCTCGAAGATTATTGACAATAATCAGCCATTTTGTAAATTCTAGAGTTATTTTATCATCGTACGGTTCAACCAAAGGTTTTAATTCTGGTCGCGCGGGCTCAACTGGAGAGATGCCTTCCATTATATCAGATGATGACTCAAGAGATGAAGACATTTCAATGTCTGTTATGGAAGGAACGTCGGTAGTGACAAGTCCAGTTTCAATAATGGGTATCTGGGGAATCTAAGGAGATTTATTGAACGTTAAAGGATCATCAAACGATATGATAAAGAAATACTTGATAGATTAATCTTACTTCTTTTAGTTGCATGTTATCGAGGCGATTTTCAATGACATCATATCTTTGACTGATAACAGAGATATCTTTCTGTATGTTATTATTGCCCTCTTCATCTAAATTTTCCTTTACTTCGCACGCCAAAAGTTGGACACGTTCAATGCGGACTTTATTTAGATCTATCGTACGGAGATTTACCTAAAATAAAATTTATGGCTCATAAATTCATTACACCTGACGCTATAACTTAGTTCTAAATTCGGAATGGTAAATTTTCGTGGAAAGCAAATATCATAATTAGTTGTGGACCTCCTCTTCCAAAGTTTTAAACCGATGTATTTTTCCCATACAATATACCTTAATATCATCTTTCAATCGTTCCAGTCTCTCTATCGTTTGCTCATCCTTTACATTTATAACATCCACATCTTCACTCTTATCTTTAGTGACATCATCCTGCTTTGACTCGTCATCAGGTTCCTTGTCGAGAGCTCCATCAACACTAGACGATTCGATCTCTTTCTGTGGTATAATTTCTTCAGTTTCGTCGATAGTTTTAAGTTTTCCGTCAGTATCATCAAGCCACTCCGTGACGTATTTCAAATATGAATGTATGGCTTTGTGAGTACGCTTGGATTTTTCCATCTAAAAAATGGTTTTAAAGAATGTATGGCTTTGTGAGCACGCTTGGATTTTTCCATCTAAAAAATGGTTTCAAAGAATGAGCATCGGAGTCAGGCTAGGCGCGCTTTTTTTCCAAAAGAAATTTTCGTGTGAAGTATGTAATCATCAAAATTGGAGTATTTCGAGGATACAATGGGGTTAGCTATATATTAATTCAATGACCATTTCGAGTAAACTATTCTTTAAGGATTTCACCTCCATCGTGCTGCTAAGGGGCTGATTACTTGGAGCATCTTCAACCCTTGGATCGACTGAGCCCCGATAAGTGAGTTGAAATTTGTTGCGTTTACATTGAAAATCTCATCCCAGAGGATACAAATTAATGGGTATCTTATCTAATAGCACGCGAAATATAAAACATAAAAAATCAAGCGTAGCTGACAACAATCAGACTACGCATGCTTAAATAACTAGCCCAGCGTTAGAGACGAAGACATGGCGTAATTTTTGTATCAGTGCTGAGTTCAATCCAGTGTTGAAATTTCAGCACCGGGGTGAACTCAGCACTGAGTTGGAAATTTGCCATATAATCGCGCGTTTGATAAAACGAGTTTTTCCTATCAAGACTTGGCTGAAATTGCAACTCACTTGACGGGTCTCAGTTCAGCCCGGGGTTGAAAATGCTCCTTGTAATCAGCCCCAAAGGTTATGTTAGGTGGTTTCGTCTCGTTCATTTACTTCACTGAACATTTTGTGATATATCGTCTTGTAAGCTTTGAAAAAGACATATTTACAACAAGTACTTCAAATATCAACGGAGTGCCCCTAAAATGGCCCATCAAACGCGTCACGCATTAGCCATAGAAATATTCTACGAACAATCAAATCTTTTACATAGTTTACAGTATTTTTCCTTGTTTAAATTAAATAATGAAAACACAGCACAAACCGATTCAATTTTCTCTTTGATGTCTCGCTCTAGCTTCTTCCAAGAATCTTCAACATCATTCAGCTGTTTCTTCACTTGATCACATCCATCAGATTCAGGCGTCAAATTTTCAAGCAATAGTGTTTCGGACTGCGTGACATCCTCTATTTGGGGACGATGACGATTAACTTCGGAATTTAACTTCTACAGAAGGAAAAAAGTTGGAAAAAGACTTGAAAAGGTTCTTGTGAAAATGATTCAAAAAAAAAAATTAAAAGGTCATCGAAAATCGGGTATTGATTAATCAGAGCACGCGTTTTGCATATGTTCTTTTATAACACATTTTCTTTACTAGTTTACCTTCAAAACGTTTAATCTTTCGTCTACAGCATTTTCATTTGCCACATTCACAGGAGCGTCTAATTCCTTCAATAGTGATTGTTTTTCATCGATATATGCAATAAGAGCTTCTTCTTTGTCTTTGAACGTTTTCCATTTTGCTAAGGTCTCTTGAAGAAAGACATTTCTTTCACTGGACCAATCCTTCAACTTACTCCATCTCTCTTCTAAACTCGTCAAATCTGACAATGCAATCTTATCATTTACTTCGCTAACGTCGCGAATTTGATCCAAAACATGACGAACGCTGTTCTTCTGTAATTCTTTCTCAAAATCCTTAAATAATTAGACAGTATTTAAATGAAATTATGTTTAATGTATTCTCGTCGAGTCTAATAAGGAAACACCATAGACTTCTTACTTCATGTTGGTCTAGTTTAGTCTGCAAATCAACAATATCCAAAGCATCTGTCGTTTTATCTTCCTGCAAACGAGGCTCGTTTTTTTCAATCCATTCTCGTCGTAATTCAATCAACTTCGTAAGATGAACAAGATATAAATCGTAGACTCTACAAACAAAACATCCCAGCCAATCACATTTAATGTAAAAGTGACCTGATAGAAACTTCAAGAACGATAATTCCTTTACATACTCTTCATATTTATCTTTCGATGCTTGTGGTAAATCGTAAGCTCTATTGTCAACGATTATCAGTTTTCGTCGCAGTGCTGTCTTCTCGTCTTGCGGATACATTTCGGAACTTAATAGAACATCAGCTTTCTCGTATAATATTCTTGTGTCTTCTTTCAACTGGTCAGAAGTTTTTAGAACCTCCTGAAACACAAAAATGGGATATCTTTCAAGCTATTTAAGCAAGCATAAAATAAAACTAACTTCTATGTTTATTTTATAGGTTTAGACGAACCTTTAAAGAAGCTAGATGGTCAAGAGACGCAACGGGATCGTCAGGATGGGATGCCAAGGCAACAACGTCTTCTCCCTTTTTAAGTTCAGCGTCTTTGTTCTCTAATTCAAGGCTCAAGAGATTATGAACAGTCTTTGATAGCCTGTTAAATGTAGATGTCATACAAGTTAGTGAAAAAAAATAAATAATTTCGAAAAAAATAAATAATTCCATACTTGTCCTTTTTTTGTTGTAAATCCTCCGAAATCTGATTACGTCGCAAGGTTGAATTCTTTAAATCGTTCTCTGCATCTTTGACTTTTTTATCAAACAAAATTTCGTTTTCTGACACAACCTTGCCAAGTTCGAGAGTCTTTTGGTAATTCGGCTCTCCTTCCTTCCACACATCATTCGCTTCCTAAGACAAAAGACTACTGATACATCGAGAGATACTATGATGTCCATCAATGCACCAAAAGATACTATGACATTCACTATCGCACCAAAGGATACTATGATATTCACTAATGCATCCAGAAATACTACGATATTCACTAATGCACTGAAAGATATCATGATATCCACTAATGTATCACGAAATACTATGATGTCCACCATTGCATCAAAAAATACTATGATATCCACCGATGCACCAAAAGATACTATGATATCTACTATCGCACCAAACGATAGTGTGATATCCACTAATGCATCAAGAGGTACTATCATATCCATGAACAGATCTTATACAAGAATGTCACAAGAAAGTGTACAGCAAAGCACGCAGTAATATAAAATAAACCAAAACATACTATAAATAACTTCAGCGCATTCAAAGCTTCATCAAGATCTTCAACATCATTAGGAATTTCTTTTTCTTTCTTCTCGCAAATTTTTAACCACTTGACAATCTCCTTTCTTTGACGATCAAACACGTTGAAGATTGCACGGTGGAGTCTAAAGATGACATAATGTAACAATTATAGATGAAAAGAGATTGGTTTAAAAAATGGTTTATTTGAAAGGTTTTAAATCTTGTGATAATGAATATTAGAAGTTGTCATGGTTAATATACTGTTTAGAAAAATGAGTTTGCTTTTTATTATTTTTTCCCCAATGGAAGGACCTCCTTGAAAATCTTCTTTTCTTTTTCAAATTTAGTAAAACAAAAAGAGTCTTACTTGTTCTTGTATTCGCGTGTCTGTTTATAGATTTGTGTTCGCTGAATGGCTATATCTTCACATTCATCTTGGTGATCTTGATTGTATTCAGGTAACGTCAAAATCCTGCTTTCTTTTATTTCGTTTAAATGAATTTGAACTTCTTCAAAATCACCTTGGTTCGTCTGAAAACTCTTTTCATTTTCCTACAGAAAAAGAAACCAAGCAGATACACTGCTTTGAAAAATACTTTCGTTTTTCGCTTTGAAAAATACTTTCGCCTCAACAAGATGTTCCCATCCTCCCGAGTTTTTAATAATCCAGAGTTCCTACCAGCAATATCGTCAATTGATGTAAGAGAATATTCAAATCATCTCCCGGTCGACTGATCAGCTGTAATTGAACTTTTTCATCACCAACATTTGCTTCACAATTTCGCATCCTTTCATTCATATATTGTGACGCAGTATCTTGGAGTCTGGAACCAAATATAAAAAAATTGTTTATCTCGTATTGACGAAACTTCATTTATTAAAGATTGGTAACACTACAATGAACGACAGGAAACCTTAATTTTCGAAGGTGTAAAGCACTTTGGAGGTCTTCAAGATGTTTTTGCGATGAGTCGAGAACATCATCGATTTCCTTTGAATTGACACTGGGATCTAGTTTGGCGATTTTTTCCCCCGAAGAACGAAGTTCCAACAGCTTGGGTTTAAATTCCGCATTCATCCTATCAATAGCATCCTAAAATTGGGGAAGAAAAACCCAATTAACAAATATGAGATGCAATAGGAAACACATTCCCAAGAAAAGTCAATGATGAACTCAATATTTGTGACAATTTTCATTATACTGTGATAATGAATTTGCAATAAATACGAAAGATTACGGAATGAAAATTATCTTCTTTGTTTTCACTAATATGAGGTCAACATTACGTTTTCATTGGAGTATGTTTCCTAATGTGCATAATCTAGAGCACAAACATTAAGATTGATAAAGTTATAGAATACTCAGGCATGGATGCAGGATGATTTTGTAGGGGGGTGCTCTAGTTTTTTTCTAGACGTCGTTTGGTCACTCTTGTGTGGATTAGATTTCGGTGGCTCCTTTGTGGGTGTCGTTATGTCATTCACTTGTCAGACTTTTACTGGGTATGACTTGAGACCCTGGGGTATTGTGGGTATGACTTGAGACCCTGTAGTTGTTTTAGTTTGATTGGTTTGTCTATTAATATTTCGTCGGGAAATTTGCCTCCCTCCCCTAAAATATATCCCTGATTTTACTGCCGACCAAAGAACAAAAAATACTTCAGTAATTTATTTGCTCTTGTATGCAAGAAACATTCAAACCTTTGTTTCGCTTTCGGATTTTTTCAAACTGACGAAGTCTTTCCCATCAACATTGTAATCTCGAAGATCATTTCGTGATTTCAACATAGCTTCATCGATTTCATTAATTTCATCTTTCCACACGTTAAAGTCGACTATTTCTTCGTCGGGGGATGTTGCTACTTCACTAAGTTCTTGCAATTTTATAGCTTCTTCCTAAAATTTTAAAAACAGAAATATTGATACCTCTAATCACCAATAATATGTTGAAATCGACCACAAGACTTGAGACTAAAAATCATCACGTACAGCAATGTTATTTTCCTTTACAGCGTTGTCCATTTTACCCCAGATGTCTCCCCAACGAAGGTCAAAATCTTCAACTTGCTTCTGCAGAGTTTCTCTTGCTTGAGGACTCAAATCATCTTCCAGACTAGCTTCCAGTTCTTTAACATGATCGACTCGTGCCTTTTCTTCAGGTTTTTCGCTTAAACGGAGCTACAAAGTAGTCAGATAAGTAGATCAGAACCAAAACATCTCAAAGTAGTTTGAGCGTAAGTTGACAAGGTAAAAATAGAGGGAATCACTAATGACAGACGAGATGACATCATCAGACACGACTGCTTGTGGTACCATTATAAAACTTACAGATATTTGATCAACATGTTTATTCAAGTCTTCAGATGAAGGTTTTTCGTCTGGATGTTGTTCATTTCCATTGATTTCATCCTCTTTTAATGAATCTTTCTTTTCGTCAGTTGGATGTAAATCATGCAAAGTTTTAAGAATATCTTCATCTTCATCCAAGGTGTCGTTGATCTGGTCTATTTGTTCGTACAATGCTTTCGTCTTACGTTCATTGTCGTCAAGCTGCCAAGTTCACATTTGCAGGAAAAAAAATCAAGATGAACAATGCGTAATTTTACATATATGAGATACATATAGCTTCACTTATAATAAAATGATTACTAAGTACTAAATACGGATTTTTCCCGCTCATGATAAATCAGTTCCCACCCTTCCCCTCACCTTCTTTATCCTCGTCAATACATCATTACCAAGGCTCAAATGACATTTTTTAACATCATCAAATTCTTTATCGATGCGTATACCGGATTCGGTGTCGGCTCCAACTTTTTTGATCAAATTGTTAGATAATCTCTCCATTTCCACTACTTCATTACCAAGCTCTTGAACATCGGACTGAAGAGCCTTTACAACAAAGGAAAGAAGAGTTTAGTCGAGTTTTCTTATGTACTAAAGAGGAGAAAGATATTAATACCTTCAGTTCATTTCGTTGATTCTTCGTTTCATCATTATCAGATAAATCAACTGGAGCAGAGATTAATTTTAACCGTGAGTCATTATCGTCAATTTTAACAACAAACTCCTTTTCAAGTTCTTGAAGTCCTTTCCATTCCTCGATAATACCATCCAGATTTTGGATTCTATCTTGAGACCAGTTGTTTATCATCCACCATTTGTTATGAAGATCGTAAATAGTGACTCTAGTATCAGGGTATAGCGACCTGTTGTTTCTTGCTTGATTCAAAAATCCCTCCATTTTCCGCCTTTCTAACTCATATTGAAAGATCTAAAAAGTATTTAAACATCTTTATGGAGACGCTCAGAAAAAGCTACTTCCTAAAAACTAGTTGTACCGTAAAGATTATTAAGTATAGTAAACTTTTAAAACTACATCTTGTTTTATTAGTGTACAAATCTTCAATCCTATATACTGTATATGACAGGATATTTAGCTCGAGACGTGGGACAATTGTTGGATAGTTGAAATGTCATTTAAAACACCTTCTGTTCATCCAGTTTTTTAGAAAATCCATCGAGATCATAAACATCACTATCAGTTATCTTCATCCAAGATTCATTTTCATCCAACCATAATTTACGATTTTTTACTTCTTCCTCAATGATCGTGTTGTATTGCTTCACGAAACTAGAAAAAATAAATAACTTTATTTACTGTGGAATCATCGACAATTTAAATAATTATTAATCAACAGCGACTAATTACTTACTAGTATTATAATTAATTCACAGGCAATATAATTGATTTATGATTAACACATATATTGTTGATTACTTATTTTATTAATCATAGACCAATAAATCATCGTGTAATTAATTTACTTTTGTGAATAAACATGTTCTTTACTCGTTTGATTTTTACTAGTTTAGTTTTTAAGGATTTTATTTCTTCCTCTTTTATTTTAATATCTTACTTGTCATATTTGTCGTCCAATTTTTGCGACAGTCGATCGCATTTCCCCTTCAATGAAGAGCGACGTTCGTCGAATTTCTCTTCGTCTTCATTATTAAAGACGTTCTCAAAAACAATGACTTGAACATCTTGTAATGAATCTTTGTTTTCATCGATGCTTTTATTAAGTGCTTCGTGACGTTTCTGTGTGTAGAAAATAAAAATATAAGCACTTGTAGTCTCGTGAAAAGCACCAATTGTTAATAAAAAAACTTATCGCATTTTAACGCTTTTCATAAAAACATAGCTACCCTTGATATTTGTCAGCCATAGTTATCTTAATGTACCTTGACATTTTGGAAGTCATATTCAACATGAGGATATTTGTCGGACATAGTAATTTGTTCAATTTCTTTTTCAACTTCAGCTGTATTCTTGTCCACGTCATCTAACTTTGTTTGTGAAAGATTCAACAGCAAAATATACAAAACATCTTTCTTATCATTATGTCGTTTCCTTAATGCAGAAAGTCTTGTGGCAAATGCTTGCATTTCTTTCTCGTTGCTCACAAACCTCCATCCGAACGAAACATTATCAGCCAATAACTGTTGATTAAGTTCGACGGTCGTTTCATATGTCTTCTCGCCATCATCCAATTCTTCACGCAAAGACTGATTGTTAAAGAAATAAAGGAATTTTAACAATCAAGTTACACAAAACGAGACATACCCAAAATTCCAACTGTTCACCTTTAACTTGATGTATTCGTCTAAAGGATCGTGTGATGGCGTCGGATCAATGGAAACATTTTTTTCTTTTCTCTCACAAGAGGTCAGCCATTTTGAGACGGTCTTCTTTAAATCATTGAAAAAGGATAGGAGACGACGATGAATGCTATTGAAGAAATACAGAAAGAAAGGTTGTTTTTTTATACTTTTGTGCACCAAAGAAAATCACCAATTGACTATCGTACCTTGTTTCGCATTCGTTCAGTTTCTTTTCTACATCATCACGTCGTTTTGTGATATTCTCACTTCTATCCTCGAGAGTCCCTTGAAATCCTTGCTTCGAGACGAACTCCGATATCTTGGGATCATTAATTTCTTCAAGAGTGACATTGTATGATTGTTTATTCTTTTCGAATTCACTCTGGACCTCTTTAAATTGCTTCATTTGCTCTTGTGTCGAGACAAGATCATGTTTAGAAACCAGAAGAATTTCTGCTTTCCTCTTCTTTCTCGAGATTAATTTCACATTCGTTAAAACGATCGTTGAAATACTTCAGCATCATATCGCTAACTCTATAGACAATGAATCAAATGAAGAATGAGATTAGGGTTTGCTTTTTTCTAAAATATTACTTTTCTACAGGTAGTCGTTCATAAACATTCTTTTAAACAACAAGTTTTACCACAAGGTCGACTAGGCCTGAGTTTATAGAGGCAAAATGAATAATTTCCAAAGATGAATGTGTGAATCAATAAAATCAATCTGATTCATAAAACAGCGATTAAGAAAATAGGATAGTTACTTTATTTGACCATTCCTGAAGTGTAAAAAGGAACACAAGTAATACCATCCTACCCAATCTTAACCATGCTTAGCCACACGTAAGACACCTTAGCTATACTTAGCTATACTTAGACCACGTTGGTCTTTGCATGGCTAAGGTATTCAAAGATGACTAAGTATGTCCAACGTGGTCTAGGTACAGCTAAGAATGGCTAAGGTTTCCTACGTGTGGCTAAGTATGGTTAAGATGTCCTACGTATGGTTAAGATGTCCTACGTATGGTTAAGATGTCCTAAGTATGGTTAAGATGTCCTACGTATGGTTAAGATGTCCTACGTATGGTTAAGATGTCCTACGTATGGTTAAGATGTCCTACGTATGGTCAAGATGTCCTACGTATGGCTAAGGTTTCCTACGTGTGGCTAAGTATGGTTAAGATTGCGTAGGAAGGTATTAAGTGTGTTCCTTTAGAACAACATATTTATACACTTCAGGAAGGGCCAGATAAAGTAACTGCCGAAAATAGGATAAAAACAGCTGACCAAATAAAACGCATATTCTTCTTACTTAAGTTTCAAGAGATCAGCGTTCGTTTCCAAGACTTCGATCCTTTTGTATATGGTGTCTATGGTACTCGTGATTTCTTCTCCTTGATCTATTTTATGAGGTTCATTGTCAATAATGTTGTATCCTTCCAACGATATTGCTTCAGCCCTACGCTTGCAGTATAAGGACAGCGTCTTTGTCGCTTCCTGTGATAGCAAACGTAATATCAATTAATTTAAAACTGTCCATTGAAAGTGTACGCTGTAATTATGACAATGCAACAAAATATTACGATAATATGACCTTGGAGTTTGATGCCAAAATTCTTATTATAGGATAACTAATGTTGACATCAGCATTGACGGATAGCAATCTATCCACGTAATTCAACAGAAGGTTAATTTTTCTGACTTTTTCTCGCCATCTGTCAATTGGAAACACTGTATTGAGATCTGTTTCATCAAGAGACTCCAGATCTTCCGCTTTGATTGCAGCAATTTCAATTTCCTGCAAGGGAATACGTAAGCAAGTTGATAAACTTACTTAACTACCCATCAAAAATATTTATTTCCAAGGTTAATTCTACTCATTATTTAGCTGTCGATGACAAATACGAGCACTGAACTGAATATATTTAGACTACAATTGTATAATTTTTACTTTAATTTCAGCGAGTACGCCCTCATGTATCACTCACGGGAACGTCTCGATCACAGAACTCCTTCAATCTCCGCGTGACATCATGCCAGCGCTGTTTGACGTTATTAATCTTAGTTGTGGCATTTTCTGTGGTCGTTTCATCCAAATCATCACCAAGATGGCGGACATGGTCTTCCGCATTGTTGAGTTGTGTCTCTCGTTCAGGGAGTTCCTTTTGTTTTACCTGGAATAACAAGAAAAAGTCAAATCATTAATGCTTCAACTAAAATATGGAGCAGTTTTCCTGTTGTGATGCAAAATTAGGTAAATTACAGTTTATTTCATTCATTACTTAAGACATAAGACTTCCTGTTTTACATAAGTTTGTACGGCTAAAATCATAATACGTTAGATTTCTTGATTAATGTAATTATTTATTTCATATTTCATTGTAGCTTATATCCAGTTATATCTTAGCACTATGTAAAGCATTTCACTGTAAGTCAATCTGCCCAGCTATTTTCATAATTGTTTTTATTATCATAATCAAAACTCTAAGATTACTTAAAAAGCGTATTCATTTTCTACTCACCAAAATTTCTTCAACAACATGAACAATCTCTTCCTTGATACCATCATCCTTGGATGCTTCTTGATCACGTGAGTCATCTTCATCATCACGTGTTTTTTCGCGACTTTCATACGTGTTAATCAGACTCTCCGTGGTATCGAGCCACGAAGTAACGTCATCCACATTTCTAAACCAATCCGTAGTGAGCTTCTTGACAGTTTCAATCTGTAAAAAGAAGTGGAAATTATAGGAAAGTTATGAGAATACATACACCATTTTGTCAAAAGCATCGCAAAAGTACAAACTAACGATGATTTATGTCCAAAACAACAGCTTAAAGTTAAGTATTGCGGATGGACGACGAAGACTACCTTTTTAATTCTGTCTTGGATATCATTCATTAACTCTTGCTTCACTGATTTAATTTCACCAACTTGATTATTTATGACAATAGTAGCTGATGATTCGTTAGGAAGTTGACTGAGTAAGTCTTCACTTGCTTTTTGCAGTTTTATCTCTTGTTCATTACCTTGGGTATTCGCATCATCTCTTATCGTCTATAGCAATAAAAATTTCGCAAAAACGATTCACGCTGTACGTCATGTTACCACGTATTTAACTAAAAGTAATATAAAATGGAATACGTCATGTTAAATAACTGACCTCGAATTTTTTCAATTGTTCGGTAACCTCTTCTTCATCAGCGTAGTTAATTTGATTTTTGTCAGCAGCACCAATCGATAAATCCTTCTCATCAATCCAGTTAAGCATATTCAGTTGTTGCTCTCTGAAGACAGTCCAGTAACCTAAAAGATCCTCGTAATAATTTACGTCATCTTTGTGAACATCTCTTATGGCAAGCCATGTTTCATTCAACTGTATCAACTCGTCCTTTATTTCTTGTGGAACGCTATCATCATTTTCCGATTCTTTGATCAATACTTCGATATTGTTATCATCAAGTTCACGAATAAAATCCTTTCACAAAAAATAATAAAAAAAGAAAGTTTAGCCAGGCATACTAATCATCGTGAGAGGCAAACAGTCTGTTCAATACATGCTTGGAAAGGTCAGGAGATGAAATCAAATTTAACTGCGTAAAAGCACTACTGATAATGCGCATTTAACGAATACGACAAGTTTTTAAAAATGAACATGTTTCATCACATCATAATGCCTTCTTCTGTATAAGTGAGAATATTATGTATATGATAAATATATATAGTAATAACATGCTGAAGTGATAGTTTATACAAATATAAGTACAATACATATACAATGAATAATTGGTTAGATGAGTGTACATATTTAATGATGACTAAATATTGTGTTAAAACAAAAAACTTAAAGATTGACGTTGGGATTGGTTTTGTAAATGTGAAGTGCTTCTTTAATTCTAAGAGTTAATGTAGTATATGAAGTGTCGACGATTTCAAAACAAGAAGATGAATAGTTAGTTAGATGATTAGTTACAATCACTTCATCATAATTATTCTTATACTGAAGGTTGCGGTTAGTTTGTATTTGACCAACTTGGAGTTCAGGTTCGTAAGTGATCCCAATCATTGAGAGCCTGACCACCCCCCCCCGACTACAACTTATCACACCGAACCAAGTTCGGTGGACAAAAAAATTTTGTTCTGTACTCCACCGCTACGTGTTGATAATGATGACCTAATGCTATGTCCGTGCATATGGCATGCGATATGTGATACTCCTTCCCAATCCCCGCGCGCCGTTCCTACGATGTTAACCTTGGTTACTGCATAACCTCATAAAACTTCATTAAATGTTAATTTCATGTATTTGTTCATCCAAACCATCGCACACTTTATAAATGATAAAAAAAACAAACCTTATGATGGTCATACTTCTGTTTGAAGTCCTCATAATCTTTTATGTCTTCATCTTTGGCAGAAATGTCGTCCTTGTGATCATTAAGCCATAATTTACGTTTTCCAATTCTTGAAGCAATAACGTTCCATAACCTTCCTTCACACTAAAGTAGATATATACTTTATATAAGAGCCTGCGTAGCTGGAGAGAAGCAATAAAATAGAAAGCCTGACGATGAAAAAGTAACGTACTTATATAAGAATAACATACTTAAGTTGATTGTTAAGTTTTGTCTTAATGTCGGTAACACGATTCTCTATAGTAGTCTTCTCAGGTACTTGTAATATATCTGCCGAGATAACATCCTCCACAGGACGAAGTTTGTTCATCAAATCATCGTTGCGCTCTTGAATCCTCGCATCGTGACTCTGAAAAGTAATTACAGAAAAAAAATCATGAACGATAAAATAGAATAAGCATTTATAGCAAAAATCAACAAATAAAAACGATGCCTCGATAAGTTTCAAAGTGTTCAATATTTTAACTTTAACACAACATTACAAGGAAGTCAGCTAAAATCAATGGTTAAAATATCTCTTTATACATACCTTCGTTTTTTCCTGTTGTTCTTCCTCACCAATGAAATTGTCATCTTTGTCATCAGGTTGAAACCACGGTTCTTGTTCATTTAGTTTATCATCAATGGAATTCAAGATAATTTCACAGGAGTTAGTCAAAGATTCCACAATCCTACAACAATGAAGCACTCGTTCTCATTTGATATAATCGATAATAAGAATATCCCATTATGTACAATGAAACCCTTACTTGTTCTCTTTATCGTCCAAGCGTTTCTTTAAGCTGTCGTGGCGAGATGTAGCATCATTTAATTGTTTTTCAAAATCGACAGCTTTCTTGCTTGGTAAAATCTTGTCTTCAATAGCTTCTTGATGAGCTTCTTTTACACTTAAGTAGTTTGCTTCGCCATTATTGAACTCGTTCTTAGCATCCTATTGTTAAACACGACAACATGTTATTACAGAGGTAGTACATGATAGGACATTGAAGGATTCGTGCTTTCTTGCCTTCAATTTGCGTCCCTTCTCGAGGACTTCTTTAAGACTTTGCGCATCGGAAACATCATCAATGTTTTTCTCTTTGTTTTCGACGGTTTTCAGCCATTTTATGACGATCTTCAACGACCGATTTATCAGATCAACTAAGTTGCGGTGTAATCTGAACAATAAATGATGATTTAAGACTGAGATGTTGAATAAATCTCCAAAATTAAATATGACACCAAAGAACATTTATTCATACTTTGGTTTGACTTCTGCGATAGCTTTACCGACGTTTTCTTGTTCCTTTTTTACTTCTCTGCATCTGATATTTAAAGTACCGGCAAAACCGTCACGGGGCAAAATACCCGCATCTTCCATTTTGACAATTTTCATTTCGGTCTCTTCAACTTTTTCTTCCTCTGATTTGATTTGCTCTTCGACAGACTGCACACAATAGAAAAAACAAAAGAATTAAAAGGAATGATAATGGAAAGAAAATAGAAAACAAAGGATACCAAGGATAAAGGCATTCACCTTTAATGTTGCCAACTTATCACGAACTCCGTCCAAATCATTTGAGACAGAAGGTAAGGAAGATACAGTTTCGTGAAGTTTGATGGCGTTCACTGAATATTTGTTTAGATCTTCATTGAAAAGACCAAGAGCAACGTCTCGAATCCTAAACATAAAATGTTGACAGCCAGAAGTTATAAACGCCTAAATATTTAAATCTGTTGTTTTATCGACTTACTTAAGTTTTACGATTTCAACAACTGTTTCAACTTTCTCCTCTCTGTCTTTCAACAACGCCATTTTGTCTTTCACATCAGTTTCATCCTTTGGTTCAAGTTGTTCATTAGTAACGAGCTTATTACCATCTCTCAGAATCACATTCAACAACGGTTTACAATCGTTTTCAATTACTGAGCTGGAATTCTGAAAAAAATTCACTATATTCATACTTTGTTTAAAAAACAGCTCAATTTTAAGACTTGTTCAAACCTTTGTGTTTTCAGCCAGTATTTCTAAACTTGAAAACTCCTTTGGTATGTCAGATTTCGGATCAAACTTTTCTTCCTCATTACTAAGATATCCTTCAAGTTTATTAACATCATTCCTCCAGGCTTCGTAATCAACCGTTTCGACGCTAAAACACACCACAGTAAAAAATGCGATTTCAACAACGAACGATCAAACGATATTCAAATGCGATGAGCAAAGCTTACATTTTTATTTTGGCGACGATATCATTCCATGTTAATGGTAACTCACGAAGATCAGTCTCAATGGCTTCCTGTTGTTCTTGAGGTCTTGTAATCTTCCTATCTTTTAATTTGAAACCATCATTCATAACTTTATCAAGATTATCTTTTAGTGTTGGTCTATTGATATGAAACTCCTAGAGACAAGAGGCACAGGGATTAATCAACACAATTTGAAGAACCAACCAATAAATTAGTTATTTTATTGACAATTTTAAGATAAATCAAGATGAATGCTGACATATTATAACAACAAAGTCAACAAATCACATTGTGATTATTTCAAAATTCTTACGTTCAAAATTATTTTTTGTCTTTCCTCTACGTCATCATCGTTCGTTGGTTCATCAAATATCTTTAAGTTGACCTTAATTTCATCCAGTTTTCGTTTGAGGTCATCGGCATTCTTTAGCCAATCTTCCACATTCTTTCGATCGTCTTCTTTATCTTTCTCAATTCTGGTAAAATTTACAGTCACAGTAGAGTAAGTTAACTCAATAACACAGCATCACTGATCTTTGATATCTTAATATCAACTCTCGTGTTCAAGAAAAAACCCCCATAAAATTAAGACGTAAAATTGCATCGCTACTGTTTACTAGTTTAATTATTTAATTAAAAGGTGATGATATAAAACAATGACCAGACACTATTTGTTATACTTACATTTTTACACCATCGCCCACTTTGGCGATGACATCACTCCAGGTTGTCGGTAATTCACGAAGATCAGTTTCAATTGCTTCCTGTTGTTCTTGAGGTCTTGTGATCTTCCTATCTTTTATTATCGAACCATCTTTTAAAACTTTATCAAGATCATCTTTTAGAGTCGGTTTGTTGACATCAAATTCCTAAAGACAACAGACACATGAATTAACTACCCACAATTTGAAAAACAACCAATAAGATATTGATATAACTAAGATAAATTCTAGGAAATCATAATGAAATTTACAACATTGTAATTATATCAGTTCAAAAATCTTACGTGTAAAATTATTTTTTGTCTTTCCTTTACTTCATCATCGTCCGTTGGTTCATCAAATAACTTTAAGTTGATCTTAATTTCATCCAGTTTTTGTTTGAGTTCATCGGCATTCTTTAGCCAATCTTCCACATTCTTTTGATCGTCTTCTCTCTCCTTCTCAATGCTGGTAAAATTCACAGTCACAGTAGTTTCATTGAACTCAATTACACAAGAAAATAGCCCTTTCAATATCATGAAACAATCCCAAGGTTTAATAAAGTAAAAAATATAAAATTAGGCCGTCAAATTTCATCACTACTGTTCAATTATTTTACTAATGAGGTGATGATATAAACAATGATCTGACGCAATATGTGACACTCACATTTTTCCACCATCGTCTGCTTTGGCGGTGATGTCACTCCAGATGGTTGGTAATTCACGAAGATCAGTCTCAATGGCTTCCTGCTGTTCTAGAGGTCTCGTGATCTTCCTGTCTTTTAATTTGAAGCCATCTTTTAAAACTTTATCAAAATCATCTTTTAGAGTTGGTTTGTTGACATAAAATTCCTAAACACGAGAGATACATTCATTAATTACTCAGACTTTTAAAAAACAACCATGAAATAACAAATTTTAACAATGTCTACATCACAACACTGACGGTAACCTCACAACACTGTCAGTAACCTCACACCACTGTCGGTAACCTTACACCACTGTCGGTAACCTCACAACACTGTTGGTAACCTCACACCACTGTCGGTAACCTCACAACACTGTCGGTAACCTCACACCACTGTCGGTAACCTTACACCACTGTCGGTAACCTCACAACACTGTCGGTAACCTCACACCACTGTCGGTAACCTCACACCACTGTTGGTAACCTCACAACACTGTCAGTTAATCACATCGTAATTATTTTAAAAATCTTACGTTCAAAATTATTTTTTGTCTTTCCTTTACGTCATCATCGTCCGTTGGTTCATCAAATATCTTTAAGTTGATATTAATTTCATCCAGTTTTTGTTTGAGGTCATCGGCATTCTTTAGCCAATCATCTACATTCCTTTGATCGTCTTCTTTGTCTTTCTCAATTCTGGAAAATTTACAGTCATCAGTCTTAAAAAACACTAGAATATAGCTCATTGATATCACAAAATCAACCCGTACGAATTTTATGAAAAAATTTAGAAGTTCAGAGAAAATCTGTCGAAATGCGTCATGCTTATGCGTTCAGACTGAAAACTATAAGTCCAAATATTCATTTTGTAGAAAGTAATTTTTGTAAATAATCATTTTCGCATTAATTAACACACACTTATAAAAAGCATCAATAATGGTGTGGTTTCTTGGAAACTTAGACTTACTTTGATAGTCAAATTTCATCGCTACTGTTAACTAATTCAACTACTATTCAACTAAAGGGTAATAATATAAAACGATGGTCAGACACATATGTAACACTTACATTTTTACACCCTGGTCTACTTTGGCAAGGATGTCACTCCATGTTGTTGGTAATTCACGAAGATCAGTTTCAATTGCTTCCTGTTGTTCTTGAGGTCTTGTGATCTTCCTATCTTTTATTATCGAACCATCGTTTAAAACTTTATCAAGATCATCTTTTAGAGTTGGTTTGTTGATATCAAATTCCTAAAGACAACAGACACATGAATTAACTACCCAAAATTTGAAAAACAACCAATAAGATATTGATATAACTAAGATAAATTCTAGGAAATTATAATGAAATTTACAACATTGTAATTATATCAGTTCAAATTTGAAGAAACAATCGATAAATTATTTACTCATTGAATATAAATGGCAACATATTATGACAATGAACTCTACGACATTGTGAGTAAATCATTAGAAGGTTTTTAAAAAATCTTACATTCAAAATTATTTGTTGTCTTTCCTTTACATCATCATCGTCCGTTGGTTCGTCAAATATCTTCAAGTTGGTTTGAATTTCATCCAGTTTTTGTTTGAGGCCATCGGCATTCTTTCGCCAATCATCTATATTCCTTTGATCTTCTTCTCTCTCCTTCTCAATTCTAGTAAAATTTAAAGTCACAGTAATTTTAGAAAAGTCCATTAGAAAATATCATAACTTCGATTATCGGAATTAAATCCCCAATTATCTTCAATTTTACGTGCGCAAACCAAACATGTGGTTGTCGTTTTTTAAACGTTCGCTGTGAGTTGTAAAAGTATTTTCATTTTCCAGGAGCTTACGATAAGTTTGACTAAGCTATGGTCATCTGAGAAATTAAAACAGTCTTGTTTAAAAGTAATCTGATCTTTTAGAGGTCAAGTGAAAATCACAAGATCTCGTGAAAATCACAAGATCTCGTGCTAAAACACGTGAAAATCAAGGATGACGAATAAAGATTTGCGGATGCAAAACAAGTACTAAGTGAAGGAAACAGGATCTTCAGAGATGAAACATAAAACGAGGGAAAGTTAAGTCAAACCTGAGCAAATCGTTAAAGGTGGTAACCATAGAAACAGAGAATACATGAAAATGTAACTATAGAAACGAAATATCCGTGGGAAGCCAACAAGGTAAACGGTACAAAAAGGACACAAACACATAAAATAAACACGGACAGTACGTAACGTACTCAAGCAGCTTCTTGTCCAAGTCATCAGCACCGATCATTATCCTAACGTCGAAAGCGAAATTCAATAGCTCGTTCCATCGAAAACGATAATCTTCAACTTTTTCAGAGATGTCATCAAGACATTGATCAGGAACTAATTTCTTGTTGACGACATGTTCGCCATAATTGATGACGTCGTTCACCCTCTTTTCGTTTTTCTCGCGTTCATTCATAAAGTTCTACGAGAGAAAAACGACAAAGAACATATTTAAACTAACGTGCAGTCAAACTTTAACGGTGTGTAAACATACTTCAAAGAATACTTTCTCTTGTTCTTCGCTATCAATATGACAGGAGTGGAGATTTTCTTGATTTTCCGTTAACCAAACAGATAAAGCTTCAGATTTCTGTGTCCAAGTAGAAAACTCTTGAACTTTATTCACCTGTTCATCAAGACTAAAAAAGAAAGAATATAACTGAATGAGTCAAAGAAAAACTTTGACCGAGTGACAGTGAATAGACTGTCCAGCTTACTTTTTCTCGAAAGCAAAAGCTTTTTCTTTCAAATTATTCCAACGATCCATGACTGTCTTCATTTCACCCATAACCTTGTTACAATCTTTCTCGTGACTCATCGGATCACTCCCAATATCGCTTGCACTCGTCTCCAACGATGAGACGTTCATTTCATATCCACTGACATCCTTTGTCAACTTCTCAACCTCTTCATGTTGTTCACGTATCGCACTGATCTCCAAGCTCATTGGCTGACTCTTTACCATCTCTAGTCGTTCATTCATTTTATCCATCCAATCAACAATATTGCGATCATCAGTCCACCATTTATCAATCTTTTTAGTTATATCAAAAGCTACAGGCTCCTCAAAAGTGTCTGTCGTCACAGTTTCACGAACAATGATGTCATCATTATCTACTGTTTCTGGTTCGGTAAAAGTGTCCGTCATGACAGTTTCAGGAACTATGATGTCATAATCTTTGGTTTCGGGCACCTCAAAAGTGTCCGTCATTACGATTTCTGGAATAATGACGTCATTATCTTTTGTTTCGTTCTCAAATATCTCAGAAATAATGTCTATAGGTTTTGGAGGTTTTTTCCCTTTGATTCTGCAAACAGAAGATCGTACGTTCATAAAAAAGTTGGCCGAGTCATATTCCTCGCGTCTTTGAAAAAAATAATTGAAGTTTTAACTTACATTTCGTCTTTTCGGACAAAGATTTCAAGAGATCATTGTAACGTATTTTGTACGAATCCAAGTCTTCTTTAATCACCTCACGATCTTCCTCGGTCAATTTTGGATCATTCAGGAGAAGACTTCCAAAGTAAGGCAGATCATTGTATTCTTTGTTAACCTTAGGCAAGCTATTCTTGATCACCTTAATGATGGAAACAAACGATTTAAGTAAAATAATACAACGCCACAAGAACGTCCGTCTTTACTTGAAACGTACCTCCATTTTTGTTTCTATGGCCGTTTTATCGTCATCGTTTAACATTCCGCCAAGTTCCGAATTCTCTCGTTCAACATCCGACAAAGGTTCGTTCAACTCGCGACATTCACGTGACCATTTTGTCATCAAGCGTTCACGATGGATGACGTCATCTCCATCAGATCTACAAGAATAGAGCAATGAAAAATGTATCAAACCATGTGACTGCTGGTTCCAAAACTGATACGTTCCCAGATTTCATTTTTAAAAATGAGGATTTCGAGAAAATATAAAAGTCTCTTTTCGGTTATTTTGAATGAATGCATGGAATACAGTAATGAAAGTAAGGAGATTATAAAATCAAGTACCGCCATTTTATTCGATATTTCTATTTTGGAAGAAGCATGCTACTTTACTGTAGCGGATAAATATTTGTCATTTCAAAAACTCAGAAAAGTTCGGTTCTGTTCATTTTTAGTTTCAGAATTTAAGAGTTTTCTCGCTTTACATAAGCGCCACTCATGGTGGTGCCTCGTAAGAATCACCTTCAGTACTTTTAAAAACGTTCCCATACCCGTCAACACTGGTATAACTGGTTTGAAATGACGAGATCAGCGAGATGCTTTTAATAATATAATAACATTACCCTAATATTCAAACAACGCAAGAAAAAACTAGAAGACTTATCATCCCAAATTAATTTCTCAAAAAAATGGTAAAAATTTTCACGGTTTGCTCTGCGGTCAAAAAAATATTTTTTCACTCATGCCACTTTATATTAAATTTTATATTTTCATTTTAAGTTTCCTTTGGGCATTATGTTCCTTGAATACACGACATAACGGAAGTCTGAATTGTTCAAATCAACTCACCTATCGGGTGATCCAAAGATATCCTCATGTGTACTCCAGTCAATGAATATATCATGATGTCTGTTCTCAACAATGATTAATTCCTCCAAAGCTCCAGCTTGAGGAAGTTTAGCGATCAGATTCTTTGCACTTCAAAAAGCAACACCACGTGATTAACATGTGGCAAAAAGAGATGAATGGTAGGCAAATTGACACGTTAAAATGACTAAAACAAAATATCCACTCACGTTTCACTTCGTGAAGAAACAGATCGAATAAGAGCATTCCATCGTTCTTCTAACGATGTTAACTTATTCTGAAGATAATCTTTTTCTGATTGGTCAGTTGAAGGATCTTCTAAAACTTCCCATGAATTTTGACGAAACTCGTCAAAGCGAGGTTGAAATTCTTGAATATCTGAAACAAGAAGCTAAAAGAAAAGATTGATTTTAGTCCAGGGACACTTCATGTAAAACATAATAAAATGAAAATCACCTCAATTGATGTTTCCTTTGCTCTAACTGTGGCCGGGTCACCTTCCACTTTACCAATTGCATCATCCTTTTCCTTCAAAACTTTCATATCAACATCCAGTTGTTTAAAGATCTCTAACAGATCTGTGTATCTTTGTTTCTTTTCCGTTAATATTGTATCCAAAGCATCGCTGTACCTGGTGGATTAAATTTCAGATGACGTTAAACAAAAGCTAATATAGTCTTAATAATCATGAACATATCGGAGAAAACACGAGTATAAGGACAGGATACATATACACGCAAAATATGCAAGCGAACAGGAGGGGATATAAGTATACAGGAGAGAACTGCAGTGTTCGCGAGGATATGCATCTAGACAGAAGGGGATATGAGTACACAGTAGAGAATTGGAGTAAAGAAGAGTTGTGAGTAGACGAGTCGAGGATTTTGAAAGAAAATACGAAAAGGGATATGGGTTAACGAAATGAAAAGGGCGTACGTACAGTGATACAGGAAGGAAAAGGAACCCAAAAGCAAATAGGTATTCAGGAGTATATATGTGTATGTATGTGTATACATGTGTATAGAATTAGGTACATTAAGCAGTATGATACGGACAAAAAAATGGATGGCAAATCTGACACAAATTAACTATATCGAAATACCTCTCCTTAACATTAGTAACACGGTCACAAATTTTCTGGATTTCACTACGCATTTCAGCGATCTGCAGTTGGACCTTTTCCTTCTTTTCTTCTGGCAATACAGAGCCTTTCGCAATAGCATCACCATGCTCAAACGTAGAATTCGGTATGTCATCCGATTTTGCCTTTCCAATCAAGAGCTACACAAAGAATAACAAACGTCAACAATAAACACTACCACAATTTTTTTAAAAAATGAAAACATTACATTGCAATTATTGATTTGCTGTTGTAATGACGTAATGTCTTCAGAAGGTTCCGTGGATTCAAGATGTTCAACAAGATCTTCGATTGAGTCCATCCAATCACTTATGGTGACACATTTCTTTCGCCACTCTTCGAGTGTTTCTTTCTCTTCCACATTGATGTCAACACTTGATAATCTGTAAAGGTTCAAAAACTATTTTATGCAAACACAACAACAAATGAAATTATTATTGAAACTTAATCTCACAAAATTTTAAACTACTCAAAAAGATTTGAAGCTAGAAATTCAACTCTAGTCCCAATCCCTCCACGCACGGCACGCTCATTCACAACAGCAAAAGAAAACATACTCCAAATAACATCACCTTGTTAAACTCGAGATTCGAATTATTTTAACACGAGACAATGTACAAAAAGCTGTATTTCTTAGCTTGATTATGTCTTGAAGTCAAAATATTGATATCAATGAAATAAAGTCAAAATATTGATTTTCTACATGGTCTTTGATTAAAATAACTTGAATATTGAGTTCATAAAATGATGCAATTGTACAGACACGCGCAACTGGAGGTGAAATTTAGCTTCACGTACGTAAGTACAGGCATCTTTACAAAAAGCCAGCCCTACCGCAATATATTTAAGTTAAATGCTTAGTGTTCACAAATAAATGCTTCAAGAAAGAAATATACCTAAGAAAAAATAAAAAGACAAATTCAAAAAAGCAACCAACCAACCATACCTTTCATCTTCATTTTTAAAATCATCATTCACATCATTCCATTGCGATTGAAGTTCTTCAAACTCATTTTCAATTTCTTTTAAATCGTTTGGACTCAAACCATCAGACTCGGAGAGATTCTGTCGACGGTCTTGTAGTTCGCCCATCTTTTCTTGAATTGTATCCATATCGAGCTTACTTTGCTAAAGTAGAAACACGAGGGATTTGGTATCGAGAAACATCTCTATGTGTCCCTAAATGTCCCTATTTCAAGGTTTTGATAATGTCGAAATGAACTAAATATCCATCAAAAACAGACATTTATTCAATTTGGTTTCACTTTTCACCTTTAACAAAGCAGCAGATGCATCGCTTGCAGGATAATCTTTAATGGTCTTAATGTTTATCACCAAAGTCTCCATTAACTTAACAATTTCTTGATAAAGTATCTTATAACGAACAACATTTTCATTCTTAGGTATCTTTGTCATTGTAAACGTCTGTTTTCCAAATTTCACCTTCGCATTCGTTATCTTTGGTTGCCTATAATTTATGTACATAAAATAACATATGGGATCACTTGTGATTCTTAATTACATAATAATTATGAACATAACAGACTGGAATAGTAAAACAATTTTTTAAAAATATTGCATTATCAATCTGTAAAGGAACGACAAAACAAAGTGATCAAATCCATGTTCCAAAGATGAAGACTGAATGTGCAAAACAATTTTCGATCATAATGGTTGTATTGAACTAAACGTTGCCGTGAGATAGTCGATGCTCAAAATAATACATAAAGATAGAACTCTACTTTAACACAAATCACTCTATGTTCAAAAAAAAACACACAAAGATAGAGCTCTACCTCACCACAAGTTACATCATTGTCAAAAGTAACATATAAAGATAAAACTCTACACTACCACAAGTTACCTCAGGTCCAAAACTAATAACTTAAAATAGAACTGTAGGTTACTACAAGTTACTTTAGATTCAAAAGTAATACATAAAGGGAGCATTGTACCTTACGACGAGTTATTCTAAGTTCAAAAGTAATATATATAATAAAGATAGAACTCTACGATAGATACTTCTGCGACATAAGCAGAAGCACAACATAGCCAAAACTATGTGCTCTTCTTATGCTTATGCTCGAGTTTATTGCAAGTGATGATGATGATGCTTATGTATGGGAGGAGGGATAGCTTTTGTGCAATGTTTGTAGGTTTATAATAATTTATCTTCATAAAAAAATCTTTCTGTATTTTCTTTAATAATTTGCTTGACCCCTACAGATAGCAGCATGTAGTTCGTGCTGAGATGTGGATTAATCTATCGAGTTTTCTACATACTGAATTACTTGTGCTAGTTAATTACGTAATAATACAAAAAACATAAGATATATTGAGGACATAAAAGTAAAAGAAATAGTTCTATATGAAGTAATGAACACAACTCACCTTCTGAATTCTTCACTACTCTGTTTAACAAGTGTCGACCATCGGTCATTCAATTCTTTCGAATCCTTCTGGATTTCTGAGAATTCGTTGGGATCAACACCCTGAGCTTTAGACATTTCTTGGTTTGTTTCATTTAATTCTTTAACCTTCTTCTGCAGTCCCTGCATTTCCATTTGCACTTCCTAAACATAATTTAATGATTCTTTAAAAAATTACCGTACTTTAAAATCACAAAAGAAAAATCTAACTCATTTTTTAATTAACACACCCTCAACTTCTTAGCGTTTTCCTGACTTGGATCCTCTTTTTGGATCTCTTCCAGTCTCTCCTCCAGTCTCTTGATTTTGTATAAGATGGTATAGTAAATGGTTTTGTATTGTATGACAATTTCATTGGTCGAAACTGTTTTATACTAATGACTTCACCATCAATATTTAACGACGTCGTTGTTGCTGTAGCGTGTGGAGTTTGACTCTTGATAAAGAAAAACAAATAATTTGTTATCACCTTCAAAACAATTAAATGAAAGAAAGATCATTGCGTGAAATAAAATATGATTTGAAATAAACAAAAACAGCTTACGGTTACTTCCTGTCTAGTTGTTGTGTACACAGTCTCTGTCGTCAGAACAGGTTGTCTAGTTAACAGAAAAGGATGCTGTTGTGTAGATACTCGGATCAGAGAAAGTTAGACTTGACAAGTTGAAACGAGGATTGGGGTGAAAATTTTACCTTTCTTTTTCTGTTGAAATAAAGTTATTGACATGAGTGCGACGAGATTCAAAATCTTTAAAATCATTTTGCAATTCTTCAAGTTCTTCTGGATCAACGTTCTCGGCGTCTTTCATTTCACTCATTAAATTATTCAATTCAGTAATTTTCTCTTCAAGATGATCCATTCTCTGAATATTTTCCTAAAATGCAGACATCATCAACATTTCATTGTTGAGATTGTCACGTAAACAGAGTACGTTTTCTAATGGCGTCATTTCAACAAACAATGAAATTCTTTCATCATTATTCAACAAAATACAATGTATAATCAACGAATGCTGATGGGCTAATAGCCGTTCTTTAAATCATCATGTCAATGGAGAGACGGCATAACGCAGTTGAGCATTACGTCATGCAAATGACAGCCACATCAACGTCTTAGAGCAACGAGAATATAAAAACGTTGCTAACGACAAACATCCAATGATAAACCATCATATCATATTCACCATCACTCAAAAATTGTTCAATACCTGTACAATATGGTTACTTACATCAAGTAATGCGGCCGTTTTCTGACTCGGTTCTTCTTCTTCGATGATTTTCATGTTCTTTTCAATCAGTTTGATGATGGTTATAATTTCATAGTAGACAATCTTGTATCTGATGACAATTTCATTAGATGATACTGACGTAATGTCAATAACTTCTTCACCAATCGTCAAACGACAACTCTGAAAACAATATAAGCAAACATGATTGGCTCATGGAAGTTCAACAAATAGAAAAATTAATTCACATTATGACGGTAAATTAAATCAACTCACCTGAACCGTTCTTGTCGTCCTAATTTCGCGAACAATCGTGGGTTGTCTGACAATAAGATTATTTGATAGAAAATTTTCATTTACACAAAAAAACATAATCATTCACCTCACCGAAGAAGGATGAAAATCATTTTTCTTTATATGAAGTAATGCAAACAACTCACCTCTTAATTTCTTCATTACTCTGTTCAGCAAGTGTCGACCATCGTCCACTCAATTCTTTAATCTCATTCTGGATTTCTGAGAATTCTTTGGGATCAACACCCTGAGCTTTAGACATTTCTTGGTTAGTTTCATTTAATTCTTTAACCTTCTTCTGCAGTTCCTGCATTTCCATTTGCACTTCCTAAACATAATTTTATGATTCTTTAACAAAAAAAATTACCGTACTTTAAAATCAAAAAAGAAAAATCTAACTCATTCGTTAATTAACACACCCTCAACTTCTTAGCGTTTTCCTGACTTGGATCCTGTTTTTGGATCTCTTCCAGTCTCTCCTCCAGTCTCTTGATTTTGTATAAGATGGTATAGTAAATGGTTTTGTATTGTATGACAATTTCATTGGTCGAAACTGTTTTTATACTAATGACTTCGCCATCAATATTTAACGACGTCGTTGTTGCTGTAGCGTCTGGAGTTTGACTCTTGATAAAGAAAAACAAATAATTTGTTATAACCTTCAAAACAATTAAATGAAAGAAAGATCGTTACGTGAAATAAAACGTGATTTGAAATAAACAAAAACAGCTTACGGTTAATTCCTGCCTAGTTGTTGTGTACACAGTCTTTGTCGTCAGAACAGGTTGTCTAGTTAACAGAAAAGAATAAGAGTAGATGTTACACGTAGAGTAGAAATGAATACAGTGATACTGGGATCAGAGAAAATTAGACTTGACAAGTTGAGACGAGGATTGGGGTGAATATTTTACCTTTCTTTTTCTGTTGAAATAAAGTTATTGACATGAGTACGACGAGATTCAAAATCTTTGAAATCATTTTGCAATTCTTCAAGTTCTTCTGGATCAACGTTCTCGGCGTCTTTCATTTCACTCATTAAATTATTCAATTCAGTAATTTTCTCTTCAAGATGATCCATTCTCTGAATATTTTCCTAAAAAGCAGACATCATCAACATTTCATTGTTGAGATTGTCATATAAAAGAAAGCAGTTTCTTCTACTGCGTAACTTCGTAAACAATGAATTTTTTTTTCATCTTAATTCATGAAAACAGAACATATATTATTACTTTTTTTAGAAAAAATAACGACGATAGATTGGCCAATAGCCACGCTTAAAATCATGAACAAGGAATGACGCAACAACGTAGTATACGACATTTTTCATCACGCTATGACATCATAATGCATACGTTAAAGTAGTACATCACGCTATGACATCATACAAATGACGACGACATCAACGTCCCAGAGCAGCAAGAATGAAAAAAAAACACAACATTTTCAGCTTCGTTTGCTAACGACAAACTTCAAGATTGATAAACCATCATATCCTACAAAATTGTTCATCATTCAAAAATTGCCTGCTACATATAATATGGTTACTTACATCAAGTAATGCGGCCGTTTTCTGACTCGGTTCTTCTTCTTCGATGATTTTCATGTTCTTTTCAATCAGTTTGATGATGGTTATAATTTCATAGTAGACAATCTTGTATCTGATAACAATTTCATTGGATGACACTGACGTAATGTCAATAACTTCTTCACCAATCGTCAAACGACAACTCTGAAAACAATATAAGCAAACATGATTGTGGAATGGAAGTTCATGGAAGTTCAACAAATGGGAAAATTCATTCACATTATGACGGTAAATTAAATCAACTCACCTGAACCGTTCTTCTCGTCCTAATTTCGCGAACAATAGTGGGTTGTCTAACAGTAATTGATAAAAAATTTTTACGTACACAAATAAACATCATTCATCACACCGAAGATGAACAAAAATCATTTTTCGTTACATAATGTAATCAAAACAACTCACCTCTTAATTTCCTCATTACTCTGTTGAACAAGTACCGACCATCGTCCACTCAATTCTTTTAACTCGTTCTGGATTTCTGAGAATTCATTGGGATCAACACCCTGAGATTTAGACATCTCTTGGTTCGTTTCATTTAATTCTTTAACTTTCTTTTGTAGTTCCTGCATTTCAATCTGAACTTCCTGTGTAAGCACCATAAAAATCAACAGCGTTTCAAGCAACTGCTCTTTGCACAAGTTATCTTTTTGTATATAAATAATGAACACTTTTATGATATCGTTAATTACCCTTAATTCTTTGGCACTTTGTTGACTTGGATCCTCTTCCTGTATCTTCTTCATCCTCTCTTCCAATGCCTTCACTGTGTACAACACGGTGTAGTACAGTTTTTTGTGACGTAAAACAATCTCATTGGTGGAGACTATCTTAATATCAATGACGTCATCGCCAACACGTAACCTGCTGGATCCAGGCTCATCCTAAAGCATAAGAAACACATATAAGCATAAGTGGTTATCGCCAGGGGCAGATCCAGGAGATTATGAAGGAGGGGGCCGAACTCTATTATTATTCAATTTGTTGGGTATTTTCTAGCAAAAGAGGGGGGCTGCAGCCGCTTCCCCAACTTTACCTCAATGATTAATGATGTCCTTTTTACTTCAACAGCAGCAGGCATGTTCTCCACCTCAGGTTCATGATTTCTTAATACTTCATATAAAGTAGACAAGTACATCAACATGCCATTTTTGTCAACGTTCCCTTCTTCAATATCTAAAAAGTCATTTTTATTCAGCTACTAAGAAATTTGGTCAGTCCAGGCAACTATTTTTGAGTTATCTATGTCAACCTGAAGGATCCAGTAAACTAGGAACACCAAACTCCTTGTTTGCAATGTCAAATGCATATTCCAGTCGTTTTGGAACAGACATCTTTTGAGCCCCATTTATATCAACAGCATTTGGACTAAATGAAGAAGTATAAATGTTCAAGGATGTTCTGTAGCAAATTTGATGGTGCGTATGATAGCAATACTTACCGAAAGACAAAAAGAAGAAAGACGAAAGCAAGACCATCATGCCAACTCTTTGTGATATCATTAATTGGAACCAGGTCTGAAAACCTACATAAATTCACAATTTAAGCAATGGACATGACTTAAAGAAAATTACAATCCCTAGCAATCCTGTAGTTACCCACGAAGGACATCCTGTGCCCATTTCAACAACATTTTCTCAACGTCAGTCTGACTCAAATTTGATTTCTTTTGAGGTGAAGGTTTATCATCACTCTGACCTTCCTCTTCATCAAACATAATTCCTTGAACCTATAAATTTTCAAAGTTACAGTGTTTAGTTAAAAAACAGTTGACCTTCCTTTTTTTTCTCTAAACTGACATTGCCAACACTAAGCATAAACATGACTGAAAATGTGAAAATGACAATGTTGAACAGCTAGAGACATATTTCAAAGACTAATTCATATATAAGAAAATACCTTATGTTACTAACCTGAAAGTGTAATATAATCATCCACAATAGTCCAAGGATTGAAGTCTTATTTCCATCAACAATTGCTTCATTGTGTATAAAATGAAGCTTCAACTGGAAACATAACATTGTAACACTCAGAACAAGAAATCGTCATTATAATGATCTGTACAATCATTTGGTTCTAAAACCTGATAGTTCTAATCTTAATAGTTTCTTTAACAAGACAATTCTATTTACCTTTACTGGTATTTTCAGCTATGTGTGTTTTTTTAGAGACAGAGGTTAAACTGGATAGGGTCTGCTATGTGGTTCTTTCGAACTTAGAATGTCTGTGTTATAGTAATCTTTCTAGCTAGAAGATGTGTCTAGTTATACTGGTTTCTCTCTCTTTACTTCAATTACTTTTGCTGGGTAAGTCTCTTAATGAGTGGGTGGGTTACTGTAAGTGAGTGGGTTGTTCTTAATAGGTGATCTCTCAAAATGGGAGGGTGTGTCTCCATGAAAGGGTAGGTCTCTCTTTCAGCCATATTGATGACTTTTACAAAACAGGTTTCTCTAACTGCCTAGGTTGCTCCAACTGAAGTGTTTCTTTCAAAAAAGGCTCTCTATCTTTGGGAGTTTTTCTATAATTTCTGTACTGATTTGTCGAACATCTCTGTCACCTCTCTCATCACCATAAATAATATGCATAAATTCAAAGCTTACCCCGGCATCTTTCAACAGGGTCAATACTTTGCTAACATTGTTGAGTTTGTGAAACCTCAGATTTCCTTTGTCTGCCTGCTAAAATAGAAATATATATTTGTAAAGATATATGATGTTTGTTACCCTTATTCAAAAATAACAAATGAACAACACATACAATTTTTTTCTTTAACAAAACTTCAAGGAGTGCAATCAATACACGACCATCTTGCAGGTCTTCGATCAAATCCTTGACTGGAGGATGAGTCTAAACACAGAAACCAAGAATAAGGCATAAAAATACTTTAAATAATAATGAAGTAACAATTCCTTCAGTACCTTTGGAAGTTTCGAATTTATCCATTTTGTATAAGTGCGAATGTTCATCTCTTCCAGTGATTCTGTTAATGGGAATTATATTTTCATGATGATATATCTCCTGGAGGTGCGTGTAAGGTTGAATGAAATATTTATGCGTGGTATACATAATGGTTTTCAATATACAAGAAATGTTGAATATTCAGCAGTTGTGCTGAACAATGTACAATCTATGCACTCTGTTATAATTGTAACTAACGCGTTTCATTTTCTTTCAACGCCTAAGTTCAACATGACTTCTACTTAAAATGCAAATAAGATTTCAAATCAAATCAAATGCGTGACACAAATATGAAGTTAAAACTCGCAATATTATGACAGCTTTGCATGTCATGCAGTGCGAAGATGTACAACTTATTAATTTAATCACGTTACACAAATGCTAACAGTATGAATACAACAAACTCAAAACTTGTTTTCTTTTACAAACCCTCGTCAAGTATTTCCCTCAATAGCTGAAGTATCTCAAGTTTGATAATAAAAAATAACGCTGACTACCCGAAGGAAGTCTTATACACGGATAGGCGTTCACCTTAAGTTTGCACAACGTGATTTCGAGTAAAATATTTAGTTTCATCTTTCACAAATCATGTGACAGAAGATGCTGGAATAATCACCAATGTTTGGTATTGAATGCTACAAACTACAGTAATCCTTGACAGAACAGCACGAAGACCAATATTCTTACCTACATTATCGCGGATCATTTTACCTATTCCTACATCACCATGAGCCATCGTGAAGGGAAACTTCGCAGAGTAAACCAGTCTGCTCACGAAGGCAGTCTGCGTTAAATTAGCTCCTTGGCATGCTAATGTTGAGCGTAAGTGTTTACAAGATTCAATGGAGCAAAACGCATATTCTAATTCTGTATTATTCAGAAGACTTTCATTGGCAAATACTCAAATTGCAAGTATTTGTCTAAGAAAGCACTTTCATGATTGGGCAGGCTGAACAAAAACAATGTAATATAACACTTAAATCCTCACGAAAATGACAAAATCCACAAATTGACAGGTTACCACGTCAATTTCAAATTTTTGCGAACAAATTATAAAAACGGTGACCCACATGTACAATACACGAACACAAATCGAAATACACTAACGCCAGTCCATATTTTGCTTACTTTGACAATGACGAATCGAAATATCCAGTATACAGTAACATCACAATTGCTTGCGGCTTAATAAGCCGAGCTTACATTCTCAAAATGGAAGAGGCGGTACGATCAGTGGTGTAGAAGTGGGAGGGGGGCGCTTAGGGGAGGAGCCCCACTTCTACTTTTGAAATTGGTAATTTTAAAAGGGCACTATTAACAAAAACGTCAAGAGAGCCCCTCCTCTGATAAATTTAGTTCTACAGCACTGAGTACGATACAGTAAGAATTATCAAAACAAAACTATTCTGAGTTTACTACGTAAATTCCATTACATTTCTATTTCAAGAAGTACTCTTTTAAATAAGGTGAAACAGCATGGGCTGCGTTGACGCGGGAATGTTGTTGATGAAGATCGAATCAGACCATATATATTACGAAATTACGAGAACTTGATGGATACGGTAATATGCTTGCACATATAGCTATTTGGAGGCGTTTGCAATCTAAATATAACGTTCAAGTACGTCGTCAGTTATTCAAACTATGCTCAAAGAAATCGACCCTGAAGCACCGAGACTTCGACGAGCAAACAGACTAAAATACCCCGACGGGTAAAATAAACTGAAGCCGTATGGCTTTACAGTTTACGTAAGCATTGACAGCTTTATAATCAAAATTATCGGCTATCGGATAATTAATGAAAATTATGCGATAATCGATGATTATAATTAATATTGCGCCAGAGGGCCTCGTGTCATGGTAAATTACGCGTGAGAAATTGAGTTAAATCAACTCATTGACTTCTGGACAATGATGTGGAAACTTGGACAGGACTTGTTTTCATATTTATTTCGGTATTCGAATGAATTTTTTGAAGCGTAAGCTAACAAAAAGCTCTATCTCAAACTATGTACTGTCAAGAGTTCAATCTCAACCAAAAGCTCAATCTTAAACTATCTGCTATCAAGATTTATCTCTGTATATATTTGGTGTAATCATTTATCTCTGTATCATTGGATACTGTATCATGTATTCCAAATCAGCTTTATTTTCTCCCTGAGTCGGTTTGTACAGAAGACTATATAGAAAAAATTTGTCTTAGATGATCTTCCTTGGCATAACAGATGATGAAAATGGAATTTATCAAGAATATTTTTCATACAACGCACCTTAGCTATAACTTGAAACACCGCAAATCTGGTCATATAACTAAATATCATTTTCAAATCTTAAACAAGATTGACGTAAATAATATTAAATATGTAATTGTATTTTAACAACGTTGATAAAGTCTACTTTATTCAGTAGCTATATACTTGCAGACTACCAACATGTACGCAGCGTACCTACTTTTAAATGTATGCCATTGTATTTAATAAACGCAGTGTTTTGGGAGATACACCCAAAGGCCAAGAAATGAAAAAGAACCTGCATATTTCATCATAGTTACAATAAATAATGTTATGAAAAATAACTTCGCTTGGCCCCAAATGTGGACACTGTTTTTTTTTCCAAAACAAAACGAATTGGGAGGGAAAACCAGTGAATCCGGTAAAAAACCCTCCAATAAAAGAAAAGATCAAAAATTTAGAAAAATTTCTTTGAATTTTTGCAGTTTTAAGATGTTTCATAGTTTTCAATTTCTTGTTTTCAATGATCCCGATGATTTACTTTAACATGCAGCGTAGTCAGATCGTACGTCGTACAAACTTATAACAATTTTAAATTTACAGAGCGACAAAAACGCGGCCTGACTACCTTTGACACAGCGAATATTTTGTGTTCGAATAAAAGAGACGCAAACTTTGGTAGGGAACAAAAAATGAAAGTGCGCAGAGTGTTTACAAAAATTTTAATAAATAGACGAAAAACGAAAACTCATTAAAGCGTACGACCTTACCATTCACCTGCCAATAGCAATGAAAAATGAAACGACCAAAGTGACGTCATGACTTGCATAAAAATCATTTTTGATGTCTACTAGACTTCATTCAAAATTTCTATGTTGCTTCCTTAAGACCTTCATTAATAGCTGGCTTTCACTCGTGTGTTTTATCAGAAAATTTAGTTTTACAGAAATTTTTAACGGTTGAATTTGAAAATGCGTTATACTGATAAACATTATGCATAACCAGTGGCGTAGCTAGCGGTCCCGCTACTCCCGCCCGGCGGGAGTAGAAATTTCCCAAAAAAATAATAAATATTCTATTTGGACATAAGATATACATTATTTCACGAACAATTTGTAATATTATGTTTTATTCGTTCATATTTACGCTTTTATTAGGTGGTCGTAATCGTAATACAGCAAAATCTCAAGATTTGTTATGTAACCTAGCAACCGCCTTTTCTCGCACATTGCATACTCGCGCGATTCTCCACGTATTCCGCCCATCTTCAGAGGGCGGAACATACAATATAATTCTATATAAGAAGTTTTGAATGCTGGTTGGCTAAGGGACTTGACGCATGCTCAAATCTGCTGTTTTTATAGTCGAACTCCCGCTATTTTAAATTGGCGGAGGTTGTAATTATTCGACCTTTTAATACGAGTACAGCGATTAGTGATTATCAAATTACGTGTCATTGTCGGTATTAATTTTCCATTGTGTTTACTCTCAAATTGCTATTTTGTATTTGTGTATGACACAATGGCTTCAAGTGCGACTGCGATTTGCTCAACTGATGTTGATTTAGTAAATAGCTTATTAGCTAAACCGTTCTCTGCTCGATCGTCGGTCGAACAGAATGTTATCGTTCATGAACGGCCTACTCCTGATTTAACTATCCAAAATAAAGGAAGAGCATTTCAGAGATTGGTATGAGGCGAAGGACTGGCTGTGTGGCAGTACAACCTTGCAGAAAGTGTTTTGTTGGCCATGTCTAATGTTTTCCCCAAAACATCGCCATCGTGGACTAAGAATGGCTACAACGATATGCGGAGTATTATGTCTGATGCTAAGAAGCATGAAAAATCTAAATCGCATTTGACTGCATTTAAGACATGGAAAACGTATGGAGCTAGTGAACGAATTGATTGTCTTATGTCTCTCGCTAGAAGAAATGAGATTCAGCGTCACAATGAGGAGGTAAGACAAAATCGAGAAATTTTAAAAACTGTTACTGAGGCCGTGCTGTATTTGTCAAAGCAAGAGTTGCCATTTAGAGGTCACAATGAGTCCGAAGGTAGCTTGAACAAAGGTAATTATAGAGAGTTGCTCGAATGTTTTGCTAAGTTTGATTCTGTATTTGAGCGTCGACTGCACAGTAGACTAGCAGAATCTGATATAGTTGGTGACAGAAGATTTACTGGAGTCTCCCCAGAAATTCAAAATGATCTTATCAGCTGTCTTGATTCAATTATTGAAGATGAAATCAGAAAGGAAATAAATGATTGCACATTTATGAGTATTCAGGTTGATGAAGCATCTGATGTCTCCACCAAAGAGCAGCTAAGTGTTATTGCTCGGTTTGACAAAGCAAGTGAAATTATGGAGAGGCAATTAGGATTTGTGGATGTAAGTATGAACAGAAATGCCACAGCAATATCACAAGTTGTCAAAGATAAACTTGGTGAGTATTCTAATATAAAGAAAAACTGGTTTTACAAACATATGATGGTGCTTCTGTCATGTCTGGCCATATCAATGGTGTTCAAGCATTGGTTCGACAAGAGTATCCTTTTGCTCATTTTGTTCATTGTGCAGCTCATAGATTGAACCTGGTCCTATGCCAGTCAGCCTCATCAATTTCTCCTGTTAAAATCTTTTTATTAATATAGCTACATTCAGCACATTTACAAGCAATGCCCCAAAAGAAAAGCTTTTCTCACATCTAACAACCTTGAGTTTCCTGCCCTGGTGAAACAAGATGGTATTATCGCTCTAGATTAATCAATGTATTGCACAAAAACTATGAAAACTTTTAGATATTTTTGAGGGGTACTTGAACAACCAGCTGGGTGGGATGATGAGTCATTAAGTAAAATAAGTGGCTTACTGCATTATCTTGATAGCTTTCTTTTTGTTTTCTAGTGTGTGTTTTTACAGGATTTTAGAACAGTCCACAATTTTGTATTCCATTCTTCAAAATAGGAAACCCATTTTAACTATGGCATAAGCAAGATTGACAATTTCAAGCAGTTTATTGTGTCACTGCACAGATCAAGCTTTCACTGAGTTTTACCAAACTGCACTAGAAAAAGTAGGCCCACCAGCAACCAGAGCAGATAGTAGATACAATTACAAGCAGCTTTATTTTGAGATTATTGATTCCATTAAAGGCATGTTAAGTGAACGATTTCAAGATATTAATCAGTTCGAGTTTTTAGACCTTGTAAATCCTAAACTATTTACTACATGGAAGGGCATAGTTCCACAGGAGAAGATCAATCTTCTCAAAGATAAGTATAGTCCTCTTTTTGACATCCAAACTTTGGAGAGTCAACTTTCCTTCGTTTACAACGACAAGGACTTTCACAAAGAGTGCAGTAATGAGGTTCTTAAATACATCTTCAAATTTAATCTCCAGTCGAGTTTAGGTCAAGTGGTAAATTTGTTAAAATTGAATGGTGTGTTGGCAGTGGCAAGTGCTTCAGTAGAGAGGTCGTTTTCTTGCTTAAAAGGGTAAAAGCTATTTAAGAAATAGAATGGGTCAAGGTCGGCTTAGCTCTTTGTGTAGAATATCTATTCACAAAGATATCATTGAAA